TTGTGTTAATCTTACAAAACAGATAGAGGATATTTAACCATTAGTGTAAAGAGATATCAAAAGTTAGCAGATTAGGGTTGTTTAGGGTTTCTATAATATATGAGGATCTACCAGCTGGAATAAGGTGATTTTTGGCATGGTAAGTCGAGGACTTTTAGGCGATGATCAAGATATATTAGTGTGGATTTACGGCATTTTTTTGCAACTTGTAAGTTAGATTAGATTGAAACTTCTTGAGTATTTAGAAGGCTTGCAAAGACATTAGTGGTAGAAGTTTACAACAATCAGATGGTCAGATTGAGAATTACAGCTTGCCAAAGCTCGCTGTCTAGGATTAAGATTAAAACTAAAATAAAATAAAATAAAAAATAAAAATTAACAAATAACAAAAGACTTTATGCTTATAATATCTTGAATTTATTAAAAATAGTGTTTCTAAGCACTCTGTATTGAGATTAAGCATTTATATTGAAATCATTCTCAAGCAAGATAGTACGTAATACAACATCGTCCCTAGAAAGGGAGGTAATGTCACGGACATACACATGTAAGCTAATAATTACTTATATAAATAAGTAAAAGTAAGTAGGTAAATGTAAGTTAATTCTGTAATATCTTCTATGGAAGCTTCTTAAAAGCTTAATAGATGCTGCTTTGACTTTATAGATGTTTTTAATTGACTTTTTGGGTTAGAAACGTGGTCAACAAATTGGCCATGTGCCACACATATTGTTAGCTTAAAGACCAAGCTAACTATGTGGCCCACACATAGAGAAACTTGCCATGTAAGTCAAGGCATGTGTCTTATAAAGTCAACACATATTGGAGGTCCTATAGAACATTGCCACATAGTCCCTAGTTAGATGGTATATATAGAGACAAGAGTGAAGCCCTCTTCACTCTTGTTAATTCTTTTTTTGCTTTAAGTCTAATTTCAAGAGTATCAAGTTTTTTTGTCTTTTGGCAATAGGCCTTTCTAGTTTTTATTAATATACATACTTTCTTATTTCTATTTTGTCACTCTTTCTTTGATACTGATTTCATTGGTTTATGCATCATCTTTTAGTTCACGTCCTTGACAATGCCTAATTTTTGTAATTTTGATTTTTTAGTTTAACATCTATTATTTTTTTATACTCAAAATTCATATCCACTTAGTTCTATAAATTTTTGTAAAAGACCTATTATCAATGTTATATATTATTTTTAAACTTTTTAAATCAATTAATATTTCTAACATATTTTTAAATATATATATATATACATATATATGTGTCCTGAGTTCTTCAATCTTTATAATAAATATCTTTTCAATTCATAATCTTTAGATTGCACATCTTTACTTACATAAGCCAATCTTTTCTTTATTTCTTCTTTATCATGATTTTCTTCTTCAAAATTTGATAATTATAACAAAACTACAATAATTTCTTTTAACTTCTTTTGACATTTCTTTAAAAATATATCATTTATTTTATCATAATAAGACTTCAAATCTCCTAATAGTTCTAAAAATATCTCTTTATTTTTTATTTGAAAGATATGTGCTTGACACCAATATGGTACTCCACATTCTTTCATTACAATGCATATTTTAAACAAATGCATTGGACATCACAAAATAATAGTTCACATTTGAAGCTTTCTTTCTTACAACTTCTAAAGCTTTCAAATACTTTGTTAATATGAACAAATGATTTTCAAAGCTTTTTATATTTATTTTTTTATGAAAGTATTTTTCTTTAATAATAACTTAATATCTTTGTTGTAAATTTGACATTAAGATAGAGTATCCTTAATATCAATTTTATCACTTTTAATAAATCTATAATTTTTTACAAATTTTTTTATATTTGATTCAATCATAAACAATATAATTATAAATTTTTAATTCTTGATGATTATATATATATATATATATATTTGAGATATAACAAATAATTTTTATATAACTAATTAAATCACATATGTATCTTATCATCCATAAAAAATTCATGATAATTAGTGTATATACCACTTCAGATATATAACATTTCATTCTTAAAAATTATTCATAAATTTCCAAAGCTTGCTTGAATATAAATAAATATTTAGAAAGTTCTATAATTATTGCAACCCTTATAAATAAAATCAATTCAAACATTAATAAAACCACCTTTTATAACAATATACAAACATATATTATAAACATAAATTTAAATCACTTATGTGACAAACCTCAAGTTAAGTGAATTCAAAACATAGAAGCCTATTTTTTAAAGGATTCTCTATAAAATAAAATCTTATAGTAAAATCACATGTGCATTTAATCACATCATATTATGCATAATATCCAAAAAAATAATTATCATAACACTTTGTCAATATTGCTATTACTTCATCTCTAGTTGTCTGTTATTACTTTCTATATTCCTTCTTTTGTGTGTAATCTATACCATTAGCAAAATTACAAAAAAAACAAATCTGTTTAAAAATAAAAAATAAAATAATAAGATAAAATAGCTTAATTTATACTCACCTTATCTTAAATAAAACAAGGCTCCTAAATTATACAATAAATGTATTATTTCAATCTAAATCTTTTATATTCTATGCATTTGCATATCCAAAAATTATTATTGTTAAGCTCTTTACATAAGCAAATATTCTAATCTAATGTAGCTTTATATTTCTACACAAATATGTAATCATTTTGATACCACTCTCTATACTATAGGTCTAATCTTTTATCCTTTAAGAAAGTGTGAACTAAATATCACAAGCATTCTCTTCAAATAACAAGTTTGGTTCGTAAAAACAATCCTACACATAATCAAGATATAATATAGCTTACCAATTATAATTTCAAGATGTATTCTATACCTCTTTAACCAATACTATCTTATGATAATACTTCATTTTATTTATTAAGTGATTTTTACAAATATATTTTTTCTTTTTTTTCTTTTTTATAAATTGTGTAATTTTTTACTCAAATTTCAGATTTTGAGATTAAGAATGAGACAAGAATATGAAATAAATTATTTTATTTTCCTTGAAATCTTATACATTTAGTTTTAAAATCTGTAAATGTCATGTTAGATATTAAAATTGTAAATTTCATGTCCAAAACATTCATATTACAAATTTATCTTTGAAAATATCATTTACTTTAATACCTTTAATTATAAAATATAGCTCCAATACAACTTAATACAACAGCATTCTCTATTTAGTATGTAATGTGATGTTACACAATTTCTTTTACTTTAACTTTTAAACAAAATGAGGCACTCGCATATAATCTTATATCTACTTGGTATCATGATACAGTAGCAGCATAGTGCAATTGAATTCATTTCATTTATTGTTGAATCATGTTAATTGCCAATGGTTATTAATGACCATCATATTGTACCTGGAATGCATTGGAAAAGTAATGTTCCACTAAATAAAAGTTGATCCACCAAATATTGTTGTCTAGTCATATCGACAAATAGATTCAAAATAAATTAAAATTAAAATTAAAAATGTATAAACATTGGCATGAAAATGATATTAATTTAAAACAATTCAAAACTTATACAATTATTTAAAATACATTAGTCACCGGGTTAAAGGAGACAGACTGACAGAATTGGATTGCGGCAATCAGTAGCACTGCACAAATAAATTTAACATGAAAACATTATGATTGCTAATACTCTGTTTGCATGCACTTCTACAACAACAAAAACAAAAAATACAATCAAACAAAACAAGCAAACAATAAATGATTTTAGATTTTGCATGATACAAGCACCAGAGATAATTATGACCATGTGATAAATACAATTTGGACCATTTATATCCTACAAAAAAAAGAAAAAAGAAAAAAGAAAAGTTTTTGTTTGTATTTGATATCTTTATTTTGTTACCAAAATTAGATAATTGCAAGCCTTGTATTGTCTGAGATGGAATGTATATGTAACACATTTGAGCAAAAAATTAAATTAAATTAAATTAAATAAGATTTTTTTATATATAGTAAATTGTAAAATTGACCCAAACATTTACTAAATCAACCCACCCATTCTAACCATCATAAAAAGAATTCCGCTATCAAATCCAGGTTGGTTGAAAACCAATGAAAAAATGGTTGGCTTCTCAACCAATGATAATGGATGGGTTAATTTAATAAATTCATGGGTCAATTTAAAAATTCCATATATATAATTAAAAATCAATTGCAAAAAATATTTTGACACAATCACACGTGTTTTGAAAATCATACATGGACAAAAATACAAAGAGATTTTTTAACCAATATTTTGGAAACACATTTAGCAAGGTGTCCAATGCCCTTCGATACCCACAAGAACACACCTTACTTTGCCCATATTTACCGATATATGCTGCAGTCAGTTAGGGTTGAATCCCTGAGGGAGGGGGGCTCCCGTGTGAACAAAGTCCAATGTGGGGCCGCCCAGGATTAGGGCACCAGGTGTGAACGAGGCTCCACCCGAGCGAGAGCCAGGAATTTGAAACTGGCATGGGAAAGGGGGTTGGTTCCACCTGATGGCACCTGCCCACCACCACTAGTAAAGATTCAATGCCCACCACACTGGTTTTTGAATATAGGATCTTCCTTCTCCTTCTAATTCTTCTCTTGATGGATGAATAATATAACCGATGAATGAGTGGGCACATGGACGGGCCTCGCCCCCTCTCTACTCTCTGCAATACATTACAAAATACATACATGTATACATAGGGATTTGATGACTTCAATACATACACACTACAAAACCGGGTCAGGAGGGGGGTATAACCAGGCAAGCCCGAGTGGCGGGCAGTAACAAATACACACCCCCAAATCGTATGGGCCGGACACGTCTGAGCGACACGCGGGTGCCCTGCCCTCCTGCCCCTTCCCTCGCCCCTTTTCTCTCGACCGCCTGTCGCCGGCCCGGCCCAGACTCCTGCCAACCTGGGAACCAACCCCCCTTTTTGGTGAGTGCTCTTCACTTCCCTCGCACTCGCTGCTCAAGTTGAGGGAGGGAGGGAGTAGGAGTAGTCACTCACCCGGCCTGGCCCGGTCCGGTTCCGGTCCGCGGGGGCTGCGTTGCGCGACCCGTTCTCGTGGGGTTATCTCTGGTTCTCTATCGCTCGCTCTTGTGCATCGTACTGCTCCTACTTTTTCCCATTGTTGCTATGCTCGCTGCCCTGCGCTGCTTGGCCGTCCGTTGTGCCCCTCGCTCGTCAACCAAGCACTGCAGTTCGCTCCCGCATTCCTTTCTGCAGCACGGTGTATCTCTCTCTCTCTCTCTCTCTCTCCTCATCTGTTTAGCGCTGGTGCCGGTTCTCTTAAGGTGAGAGCTTCTGTTCTATCGGTGTTCTCGGTTTTGGTATGTGTGGTGACCGACGATCGGTTTGTTGTGCACGGTCGCTGGATGTATGGTCGTCTTTGTTCTTGTTTAGTTCTGTGTGGCGATTAACGTGTTCTTGGAGGAGTATTTTTGGCCTTTGTCTGCTGATGCGCTCAGCAGCGTTGCGTTAGTGTAGGCTTGTGCTTCACATGAGCGTGCCGCGCGTCTAGGCGTGGTGTTTGAGTTGAATCTTTTGCCGAATGACTATAGTTATTGATTTCTTGTTATCTGTAGATCTTGTGCTGAGATATGTGGTGTAGGGATTCGAGAAGTGCTATCCCCTTGTTGTGATGAACAGTTTTCATTTGATGTGGTTATCATACTTTGGAGCCTTGCATTCCGGATCGTCATTAGCTTCATCTACGTGGCTGGATTTTTCCGTCAACCGTAGACTGAAGTGCCTTAAGGGGTTACATGTGCTGAGTTGACTACATGTAACAATGGCATGCAAACTGATTGCGTGCACTTCATACTTGTATTCAGTTCGTTGTAGAGTCCGGGATATATGTTAGGTAGAATAAAGAATCTTATCTTTCGGCATTCGAATAAAAATTTCATCCTTTTTGAATGCACCTTGTTTGAAAGGTCGCCCCATGCCCACGGTTGACTGAGAACAATGTCTGCGCATCAGTTACTGATGGTCGCACCTGTTGTCACTAATTTGAGTGATTAAGGTTTCCTACCGGCTTTTTCTTTTCCACTGATTTAGTTTATTCTTCATCAAGTTTACAAATATTGCTCTGTATATCACGGTTTTTGTTAGTCTTTGATGTAATCATATTACCTGGGTTTATTATCTAGTGAACTATGACTGATATGCTGGCGCATATTCTCCTACTTAATTTGACCTTATTAGAAGATGTTCGTACTTCGAGTACCTTTTACTTAATGTAACTGAATCTATCATTGCTTTCGTTCTTAATCGTGCTACAAAATTTAACTCATTCTCTCGTTAACTAATGTTTTTGAGCACTTGCACTGTTTTTGAACTCCTGTAGGATCATTCTAAAAAATGGCGGGGGAAGGTGAGGATGTCCAGCCTTTGGTGTGCGATAATGGATCCGGAATGGTCAAGGTATGCACTGTCTACTGTTTTTTACCCTCACACGAACATTCACGTTCCCCTTCTTGTTATGATACACATTGTAACTCCTGGAATTTGACTCCAAATTAGGATGTGTTTACCTTCGCACCCTCTGGAAGATAATTTTCTGTTTCAATAATTCTACTCAAATGAATATAACCTTAACTTGCGTACCCTCAATTTTTATCATCACTTCATCTGTCTGGAGTTCACATCTCTTGTAACATGATGAGTAATCACGTGCGGATTTTATGCAGGCTGGTTTCGCTGGAGATGACGCCCCCCGCGCCGTGTTTCCGAGCATCGTGGGACGGCCGAGGCACACTGGTGTGATGGTCGGTATGGGACAGAAGGACGCGTATGTCGGCGACGAAGCTCAGTCGAAGAGGGGTATCTTGACGCTGAAGTACCCGATCGAGCACGGAGTGGTGACGAACTGGGACGACATGGAGAAGATCTGGCACCACACGTTCTACAACGAGCTGCGTGTGGCACCGGAGGAGCACCCAGTGCTGCTGACGGAGGCCCCGCTGAACCCGAAGGCGAACAGGGAGAAGATGACTCAGATCATGTTCGAGACGTTCAACGTGCCGGCGATGTACGTGGCGATTCAGGCAGTGTTGTCGCTGTACGCGAGTGGGCGGACGACGGGTATTGTGTTGGACAGCGGAGACGGTGTGACGCACACAGTGCCGATCTACGAGGGTTACGCGCTGCCGCACGCGATCCTGCGGTTGGACCTGGCGGGGCGCGACTTGACGGACGCGCTGATGAAGATCTTGACAGAGCGAGGGTACTCGTTCACGACGACGGCGGAGAGGGAGATCGTTCGGGACATGAAGGAGAAGCTGGCGTACGTGGCGCTGGACTTCGAGCAGGAGTTGGACACGGCACGGAGCAGCTCGTCGTTGGAGAAGAGCTACGAGCTACCGGACGGACAAGTGATCACGATCGGGGCGGAGCGGTTCAGGTGCGCGGAGGTGCTGTTCAACCCGTCGTTGATCGGGATGGAAGCTGCGGGGATCCACGAGACGACGTACAACTCGATAATGAAGTGCGACGTGGATATCCGAAAGGATCTGTACGGGAACATTGTGCTGTCGGGAGGATCGACGATGTTCCCGGGGATCGCAGACCGGATGAGCAAGGAGATCACGGCACTGGCACCGTCGAGCATGAAGATCAAGGTGGTGGCACCTCCGGAGAGGAAGTACAGTGTGTGGATCGGAGGGTCGATCTTGGCCTCGCTGAGTACGTTCCAGCAGATGTGGATCGCGAAGAGCGAGTATGACGAGTCGGGTCCATCGATTGTGCACAGAAAGTGTTTCTAGATCTGTACTGCACAGTTTTACATTTTTCAGGCTTGCATTTTGCTGGGATTGAGTTCTTGTTTTGATAGAACTCTGGACGCAAATGTCTTTGACTGCTTAGTTGGGCTGGCGAGCACACAGTAAAGAGTGGTCCATGTTGCCGAAAACTATGGTTTGTAAAAATAGAACGTATCTGGGCGCATAACGAACTGCTTATATATGTCGCTGTCTGTTAACTTCAATCTCTACATGTCCAGATCGATGCGGTAGAACCCGACCATTTTTTGATCGATGTTTGAACCTTTTTATGTTAAATAAAAGGTACCATGTTTTCAGCGCATTAATCATATTTATTTTGGTCACTATGGACTTGATGTACACCGGATGTTACAGCTCAGTTCTACTTCACAGTTATTCACTGACTTGCCCTGAAAAAGTCGGAGTGCAGATCTCGTTGTGTTTTGGTAATCTGGTTGGCCAGTCTCAGAGCTCTATTTTTTGATGAATCCAGTTGATTGGCACTCAATGTTTTTTTTTATTTTTTACTTTTATCATAGTGTCAAGGTTGCTACGCCAGGAATGCTGTGAGGCACATTCTACCCGTATGAATTTCCTCGTTCGCAATAGCTGCAAGCTCAATTTAGGTTTTTCTGAGCAAGTTGTAGAACTATCGTGTACTCTCACCAGATTTCAGCCTCTCAGTGCTGAGTGCTTTCGTCACGTTAACTAATTGTGGAAGATTTGGAATCATGGTTGCATCCCTTAGTTTGACAGAATTCACAGTCGTTAGTTGACTTCTCTATCTTGGTCCACCATATGTCAACCTGTTCAAGAGGGCTGTGCTCGGTTAGGTAATCACTCAGAAGTTTCTTCCTACAGAAAACTTGTTTTGTGGGCATCATCTACGTGGAAGAATTGTTTGAGCATTAAATCATTCAACACCTTCAGTTACATGAAGTAGGTTGGAAGCAGTGCCTTGAAGAGATCCTTCACAGAAAGCCTCTCAATTCTCATGAAGTCTGCATCTAACTTCTTTTGAAGTTTGTACACGTGTGGGCAGAATTGAAGTTGGTTTTGTGTTGTTTGAAACAACTGTAATTTAATAAATCCCAAACAAGACTAAGGCCATCTAACGTTTTCACATGTTTTAAAAAATTACATTGAACTTTGGGCTATCGTAGTTTTAGACAGATGCAATTAAAAATAAAAAGAAAAAAATGAAAAGAAAAAAGTCTTGTTTGTTTTAGTTGTCTGTTTTGTACAGTTTTGTGACCTATTTTAGAGTGTCATGTATCGAACATTTGACTCACAATTATAAGGTTTTATATTTTAAATGAGTCTTGTTGTCTTTTATTTTATTTTGTTCTACATTCTGTAATATTAAAACTTCTATTGAAAACACAACAAACATTTAATTTCAAGTTTTTCAAATTTATATATGCATATTTTGTATGTAAATTGTACAAATGTTCATAATGCAAATTGAAATATTTAATGTAAGATTATAGCACTTAAACCTGATCCAAAAGATAATAATTTTGGGCAAATAATTAAAATTATGATAGACAAAGTTTAGAATGTTGTAATAAAAATTTATGGTAAGTGCTAAAGTATGTAAAACAAATTTCATAAAGAATTGCTTGTAGCATTTTCAAGAGAAAAAAATAAATACTTACGACTATTTTTAAAATGACACAAATAGTAAATAACAATATATTGATGTATATATATATATATATTTAATATTTAACATTAGTGATTTTTAAACTTGCATAGTATTAATGTATGGGAACTGCAAGGTAGACACCTCCCTCTTACTGTATAGACACCTCTACATATACACAATAAAACTTTTACCTATGCTAAAAAGTTCCAAGGTAAATTTACAAAAAGAGATTCCTTATAAGAAACTAATAAGCTATTTAAAGTAAATAAAATAGTTATATGAAATATATTATGAAATATTTAAAGATTCAATTTAAAGAAAAGAAAAGTGCTATAAGCTATTGTATGTAAAACTTTTAGTGTAAATTTACCGTATAAATTTTAATATAATTAAGAGTTTTTATAGTATGTATGCTAAGGTGTGTAGCATAGGGGTGGTATTCACATAGTAAAAGAGAGATATTCACCCAATGGTTCTCTAATGTATTTATAAGGAATATGTTACTTATCATTATTATTATTAACAATGTCTTATTTTTAATTATAAAATATTTGATATTTTAACACATGTAATTGAGAACATGGATCTGGACAAACTTGTAAAATAACAATATATTCAAGAAATAATATCCAAGAATAGATATAGTTATAAAGTAAAAAGTTATTAAAATCACTTCTGCTAAGTAGAAAGAGATTAGAGGATCATGAATGAAGATTGGAATCAAGAAAGATGTTGATAAGATTGAAAAAGGTTTTTAGTTTTGCATCTATAAATACTAGCAAATATAAAGACAATGTAAAAGTTTTATAAGAACCATAAATTGATTTTGCTTACAGACTCAATATCTAAGTTATAGGATACTTCTATAGTGGCTTTTTAGAAGTAGAAAACTTATTAGTGAAGATATAATTGCAGTATGAAATAGATCTAACTTGAGTTTGAAAAGCTTTCTTAATATTTTTTAACAAATATAATATTATATATCCATCATATTAATGTCTACTTATACATACTTTTATTTTTATAAGTAGTGCATGTATATCCATGATATGTGTTAATGTTTATATATAAAACCAATAAGAAAAACAAATAAATAAATAAATAGACCAACATATCATTAATATTTTTTAAAAGTGAGAACAAATTTGAGTTAAGTACTTTATTATATATTTTTAAATTAATTTAAAATAATCTTATTTGAATGAATATTATAAAATTTAAATGATTTACTTTTAGTCTTTTAGAAATACAACAATGATAATGCTTTAAGTAGTTTTAGAAAGATTATTTATTAATATACTTACTATTTTATTTTGTAATAAAAAAATCAAAAGTATCTTAAAGCTATAAGTAGACCCATGCCAATATTCTATAACATAATTTTTTTTTAATAGAAAAAAAGGATGATGGTCGTTTTGCTTCAAAGTTAACAATCATAAAATTAATACACCCCACAATGCAGATTCAAATTACAATTAGTGCACCAACTCAATGTGAGAGGAATCACAATAGTGGAATAGTACATATTTTGCATACAACGAAAGTTTCAGAGGCAAACAAAACTACCTTTATGCATTATGTACACATTTCTTGATATTTGGAAAATATTTACAACAAAATCAGTAAAAAGAAACCTCAGTCATTCTAGAAGTTTCTGCAAAGAAGCTCAAGGGCATGCGGAGAAGCTCATAGCGCGGGGAACCCGTTCACAGTTCACACCTGCGAGAGGGGGGCCAATTGATTGTCTCTTTGTTCATGACGAATGCGAACCTCGTCGTCGTCATCGAGAACCGGCGAATTGCGGTGACGAGAATTAGTTGAGGCAGAAGAAGGCTCAGTCGGATCCGGGTCCTGACCGGACATGGCGAGATTACCCTATCCTCACTGAGGCTTTGCGATCAACGTCGCTGCTCCCCACGTCGCACAACCAGTTCCTCAGGATAGGCTGCTGTTGGGTCCGCGAGGGAGGGACTTCATTCACCTGCCATCTCACCGCTGTTGCTGCTGCTGCGGTCGATTTTGTGCAGCAAAAGCATTCGGGAAGCTGGTGGAGTGGTGGTTCTTCTGCTCCGCCGCTTCTTCTCATCCTCGCGCCTATTTTAGTGTATAATTGCGGAGACCGGGGAATGGTGAATTGAGTTCCGAGGCTTGTGTACGAGAGCTAAAACCCTAGGGAGAGGGAGGGCGGAATTGGTGAGATTAGTAGGGAGGTTTGTCGTGGAATAATAGAATAAGATGGCGACCTTGTCGATTCATGCGTGCTCGCCGTCGCTGTCGACCGCGTTGGCAGTGGAGACGAATGTGGCTGTGAAGCCGTATGTGGTGTTGTCGCTCTTGCCAGCTGCGAGAGGGTTGAGGCCGAGGAGGGGATTGCTGTCGCGGGGACCATCTCTGCGAAAGCATTCGGTGAGGAGGAATGGTCTAGTTGTGCCTAAAGCTTATTCCGGCCAACTGCCTGACCCTGAGCATGTGAGATTGGCCTTGAGTGCTCTGTCGAAGACGCCAGACGCGCTGGAGGGATTGCTTACCCGGACGGAGGGGCTGTTCTTCACGCTGGCGGATGCTGCTGTGGCAACTGATCCTGGTCAGGTGACCGACGCTGTTGTGCAAAAACAGGATGGAGGTTGGCTTGGAGGCATTACGAATACTCTTGAACTAGCATTAACGGTGAGTATGTTTTTCTTTTTCTTTTTCTTCCTATTCTTCCACTCTCGATGAAATCTCATATTTTTTTTTGTTTTTCTGAGAAACTCTCCTCGAACCTCGGTGGTTCATCAACTAAATGTGTATTATTTATTTTCTTTATCACAGTTTATTTTTCTGACGTTTACTTGCTTTATTAGTTGTGGATTTTAGAGAATTTATCGCGTCTTGAACTTTATTGAGAATTGAATCTACTGTGAGTCGTCACTATATTTACGATGTGTCTGCTTTATTTTTCTGATACCCGTAAATTTTCAGTACAGAAACTTTGAAATGCCATGTCGATATGTTTATATAGAGCGGTGAATTTACTTGCTATTTTTGTGTTCAAAATGGAAGCAGTGTTATGTCATCTAATTCTTGAGCCTAGCGAATCAGTCATTGACGTGGTTAACAGTATCTACACTTTTCTAAAGGCATGCACATATTGAGTTACGACACTGTTGATGCTACATACGTCTGAGCGATAGTAATCATGAATTGTAGTCTGGTTTCTGAGCGTGCGTTATGATAGACACCGGAGATATTTAATAATGAACAAAGAAAATGAAGTTGATTTTTACATCATATCTGTCTCAAATCCGCATTCTATATACTTCGTCAAAAAGTTCTTTTCATAACGAGTTTAGTGTACATGATAGCCTCTTCCTTGAGGGAGCACAGCCTAAACATCTTTCATGTGTCCCAAAGTTCATTCAATTTGATAATGACAAGCATTAATAGAGCACCGTGTTGAATATACTGGTGTCATTCGGAATGGTGATGACTTAAGCTTGCTGAAATTTAGAGGTAGCACCATACGAGATTCAGGGATTAACTGATGTTTTGTTGCTTGCAGTTTTTGAAGGACGGCATTGCTAAGATAGGCCTACCTTATTCGTATGGTTTTGCCATTATTCTTCTTACTGTAATCGTGAAAGCTGCTACTTATCCTCTCACTAAAAAGCAGGTACATGATTGTTTACATTTCCTTGTTTTTCCCCTTTGAAATCTCTTGCTTATAAGCTATCCTACTATTTCATAGATTTTTTCTTTGCAAAAAAGAGAAATTATCTGGTTTTGCACAGTTCTGAAACCGTAATTAGTGCTGGATTCGAGTATTGATTGTGTTGATGTATGTTAGTATCTGGTCGGGATTGAGTTTATTGTCAGGCCCAAACCCTATTTATTTTGGGAGAATCACATTGGTGTGTCACATTTAATTGAGAGTGGGATTTATGTGACAGGTAGAATCGACTTTAGCCATGCAAAATTTGCAACCTAAGATCAAAGCTATTCAGACTCGTTATCAGGGCGATCAAGAACGCATTCAATTGGAAACAGCAAGGTTGTACAAGCAGGCTGGAGTCAACCCTCTTGCAGGTGCGGTTGCTTCGATAAGCCCTTTCTGTGGAGACACTTGCATTGTTTGGAGAGTAACTTCAGGTTGTTTTGTGACATAGAATATAGTCGCAGAGGCACGCTAATACTAACTTGGTGCTACACGAAACTCGCTAAGAAACGTTGTGGTTTCTGATTGTACAGGGTGTCTGCCAACCCTTGCCACTTTACCGGTGTGGATTGGTCTGTATCGTGCTCTATCAAATGTTGCTAATGAGGTATTGCATCGTCAAATGCAGCGCATAAGATGGTTGTCTATGTATTGTAATTTGTTGCATATTTGACTTGTGAAATGTTAAGTGTCTACGAAAAATTTATAGCTATTGAAGTGCAGTAACGGATTAATTTTTTCTATTTCAAAGGTACATTTTTTGACAACGTTTCCGTCGAGAAGTCGTGTAAGCATGAACTTGTATTTCCGGAATTTACTGATGCAGTTCTGGACTTGCAGGGACTCTTGACTGAAGGCTTCTTCTGGATTCCATCCTTAGCAGGCCCCACTACAATTGCCGCACGTTCTAGTGGCAGCGGGATCTCATGGTTATTTCCCTTCGTGGTGAGTTGGTCCCTTGGACGCCACCCTTTTTTTTTTGTTAATGATTGTTGATATCAAATCAAATGACGCTGATCATATCTATAACATACAGCAGTTGGATCAGCCATGAAACGCTTTATTTTGTTCTTTGTTCAGTCCTTGTTAGAGTAATTATTGGTCTTGGTTTTTGTCTCTTCTGAGACGAGATGTGCCCTGTATGTGAAGTGGGTGGGCAGTAGCTAGCTTGATCAAGTGAATCATTTCTACTTTTCAGGATGTGCTTACTAATTGAACTTGATGGGTGATCAGGATGGTGCTCCTCCTCTGGGATGGGGCGACACAATTGCTTATTTGGTGCTGCCAGTACTCCTTATCGGTTCACAATACGTATCTATGCAGATCATGCAACCGGCTACTGCGGTACGCCTGTAACATATCTGCAGACAACTTCATTAACTTTCAAAAAAATTCAATATTTTGTGCACGTAACAAGCAGAGCTGATATTAAGAAACAAATAAAAATTTAACTTAAAAATCTATTCTACAGAAATCGTAACATGTTCGTAGGTGCACAAGAAATAGTAGAATAGCATCTAACCATAGCTGGTTCTGTTGCAGAGCAATGATCCAGCTCAAAATCAATCTCAGTTGATCCTAAAGTTCCTGCCCCTTATGATTGGTTACTTTTCTTTGTCTGTGCCATCAGGACTCAGTCTTTACTGGTGAGTTTATTTTTGTTGTTGTGTGTGTATGTGTGTCGTTTTTCAATTATAGTGCTCTCTTTGTTGTGATTACATTTGAGCTTAATTGTTATTTTCAAATCAGTGTTAAATGACACAATCAGACAAGCTCTGGTGCTATCGTACATTTTAAAAGTAATTGCTCTAAGAGTTCTTGTTTATGGTCAGGTTGACCAACAATGTGTTGAGCACGGCTCAACAAGTGTACTTGCGGCAGTTGGGTGGTGCTCAGCCAATAGTGGACAAGGAGGGATCAGGCATAATTAGTGCCGGTCAAGCTAAGCGGACTCCTCTCCCACCTCCATCTGCTACTGCTACTGCTACTGATGCCCCTACTAGTACGTCAACAAAGGACAGCCGTGGTACAAGGTTGATCATTTATTACGCTTATCTCGGACTCCTCACTCCTTGGTATTACTTTTCGACGAGCTGATTCATTTGTGTAATTAACCTCTGTCAACATTTTGCCAACAGGTTCAAACAGTTAAAGGAGGAAGAGGCCAGAAAGAAGGAGGCTCGCCGGAAAGCAGCCGAAGAGGCTTCAAAAGCTGCCGCTGCTAAGGCTGCAGAAGAGCGAGATAATATATTGAGGGCACAACTAGCGCAGGAAGCTCAGAAATCAGCTGCTTCAGCCGGAGAAACCAGTGACGAAGCACAAGTTGAAAGTGATGGAGAAAAGGAAGACTCTGATAATTCTAAGGTATTGACGCTAACTTTACTATTTGGATCATGGTACCAGTTTGAATCAGTTGACATGACGAATCATTGTTCACCTCACATCCTCTAATTTCGATAAGTATAATGCACTAGACTTCGCTGCCTCCCAGAAATTTTGGCATGCATAAATTGCTCCTAATTTTTTAAGCATGTATTAACAATGTTTTCGACGACCTGAACTTTGAACTCTGGACCTTCTGTGCCTTCTGAAGGATAGAACTGGGCTGAATCAATCCAATTTCGAGCGGAAGATGCATCAGACATAAACTTACTTAAATCACCTTTTGTTTCAGGCGATTTCTTAGTCATGAAGTTCTCATTATCATTGGAATGAAACACCTTAAAGAAAATCGATTCTAGCAACACGCGAGTAAGACGAAGCTTGTCTAGGATGCGTATTTCTGTTAGCAATGCTCCTATCTAATCTTGGGACCATCCGACTCTTCGTTTCATGAATTCGAAAAAAAAGAGTAAAAACAGTAAATAAAAGTACAAAAAGAAAGTATTGACTGGCAACGATATGCAAGGACTGTTGCTGACTTCAGTGAACATATTGGCTGCAGGAACAGGCCTTAGCTGCAAATGGAGCCGTAGGAGATTCGTCGGGGAAACAAGCAAGCAAGCGATCGAAAAGAAGGCGGTCTCCTTAAGTGTTCTCTATTCTGATTATTGAATACTTGATTTTGAAGTTGAGTTTAATGTGATCCAGCTTTTCTCTTGGGTAATGCAATTGTAGACTGGTAACTTAAGTGTTCGCTCCATCTTCGTGGCTTTGGATCAGATTTTTACAATTCAACCCAAGTTTGTATATTAAGCTGGAGTTACTTACCTGTTCCAACTTCTCTTTGGAGGGATTGGATAATGCGGCCAATCTGGAAGTTGTAGGCGTTCCCGCTAAGAGATAGATATCAACTTCAGCTCTAGTGGTATTCGTATGCTATTTTTAGGGCTACGTATATTGGTAGTTGGTTCTTGTGTTCCAGTGAGTGAATCGATATCTTAATCAATTGATGAGCTTTTCCCTTTCTTTATAACTCTGATTTTTGTTACCCAGGTTATCTGATACTCTGCACGATGGTTTTTCACTTCCAGTTTTTCACTTCTACTCACTAATGGAATACATTTCAAATACCACTAGGTAAAGGATTCTCTGGTGAAAAGATTGTGCGCACCTCTCCATTTTGTTGTATCCTTCCGTAGCGTGCGGAACCTTCTGTAATTTGGGGGGGGGGGTTGACTGTAGTTCTTAAGGTTACCTCTAGCCGTAAAGTTCATGCCAATCGAGTCAATCTTCTATACGATATTTTGTAGACGGCTTCGCCAGATGATTAGTACGTGTGTATGCAAACATTTGATGAATGCCTCTGCGCACGTACTGGAGATAGTTGGAGAATTGCCTGGCCTACCCACCTGATGCCTCAGAGCCCCATTGAAAGATAATATTATTATTGAAAGTACTGAAGTGCAGAAATTCAACACACAAACCGTGTGTCGGAATGCTACATTAATTTCTCAGTTGCTTTTTTTTTTATTTTTTTAAAAGTATCATCCGCTTACAGGTGGTAATCATACTTCAACCCATAATCCTGTAGCTCACTGAACCCAACTAGAATTAATGATCTGAGCCTTCCTCCACTCGCTCATTGACTCCAACTGTCAGTCAGCCGACGCTCTGAGGTCCACCAGTGTTAAAGCCACCAGGGGGAGGGGAGCTTAAGACCAAAGTACAGAGGACTGTAAGCGGCCCTGTATATTCCGAGGGGGCGCGGGAATAGGTTCCAGGGTGACCATTAAAGAAGAGTGCGGAGAACAGGAGCCCCGCCAACCAACTCTGCCCAGCTCTTCACCAACTGGTATACTGTGGTAATGCCCTCCTCCACCACCTACATAGTAGTCTGTTTCAGCCTCGAGGATGGGGAACGCGAATCCTCCAACCCCAGCCTATGCCAATGCCAATGCAGGGCTGGCCTTCTTTCTTCCTATGCACAAACTCCACTATGAGTGGGTTTGGTGGTGCCTCATCCACCCCCCTTATCATTCATAGGAAAGAAGCCAATATATATATTATATATATATATATATATATATATGTATGTGTGTGTGTGTTTTTATTCTACTTTTAACTTTTTGTGAAATTGCTAACATTATTCTGGGTGTCTGTCTTGGGGATAAGAGTTCACAACAAAAGGTGTGTTTATTGTGTACATGAACAGTGTGTGTCAATGTTAGGCTGGTAGAGAAGACTGGTTTTGAAGTTTGGGAGTGAGCCATAACAATGTAAGTTGCAATGTAAGGTAGCCAATCTATTTCCAATAACTTAAGCATTTCACCATATGTGCAATAAGTGTGGAAATGAAAGAAAAATATTTTTATGTAGGAAAATGGAAATTAAGAGGATTCCATGTGTTTTCACACAATTTGATCCAAAAATAGATATTTCAGATATTTTGTATAAATATTTTAGCTGAAGATTCTTTTCAACTCAAAACTAACATATATGCTGATCTAATTCCAATCAGTGGAGGGTTACAAAATTGAAAACCCTCCTTTTCCATAATCAAGAATTGTGGCACCTAATTATGCTATTAAGCTTCACCTATTTCTATACCACATATGGATGTTAATGTGTGGATGAGGTAACCAGAATTCAACCTCTTCTTATTGAACTTGAATTCCATCCCAACCAATCAACAACTGCCACCTAAATTAAAACATGCCATCTTGCGACACTTTTTATGATAAAAAAATGCTGTAAACTTAATAAGCATTGGACTTATTTCCGACTAGAAGAGTGTCAGAACCAGTCATAGATTGGTTGCCAAACTCGTGGAAATCCCTACTCTATAGGTTGGAAATATGGAGGTGGTCTAGAACAAGTTGGCTACCTTAGACATGTTTTTATGATATTTTTAATTTCTAATCCTTTGAATAAATGTACAAGGTTTTATTGAGATACATAAACATTAATTTAAGACATGCTTTGAATTGGATGTTTGGGATTAACAATGTGCAAGGTGGGAGTTGTGGTATTGTGAAATAATGTGTTAAAGCAATAAAAGTTGGTATATTATTATGCCGCAAAAATTATTCATGAAAATTTGATATCAAATTCTTTTTGTTGAATGCATTTTTATATCATGTAAGAGTGCAAATGAAGAACATGTAGAGTTAAAAAAAAAAAAAATAGCCACTGTTTTGTATGTGTATAAATAAATCACTTTAATATATATATGGTAAAAAAAATAAAATTTTACATATATATATATATATATATATATATATATATGTATATGTTTATCACTTATTTATAATTAAAAGAGCTCAGGAATTATTTGAATGTTTACCAGCTAATAAATTGCATGGAAAGAACTTAAACTCAAGTTAGAAATTCATTTAGAATACTGTACCATTATATTCAAAGATATAAGTGTGTGTTCTTTTTTTTCTTCTTTTTTTCCCTTTCCATTCAACAAAATTAAGAAAAAAATAAAAAAAGAAAACCTGAATGAAAATGATGGTTCAACCTTTACAGGACTTTAGATTGTGAATCACATTTATATAAACCCTCGCTGATACTACATCATCCTATCATATTAATTTGATAAGACATTGCTGGATCATCCAAATTAGAATATAGATAGAGGAAGAAAAAAAAACTAAAACAAAAAACTAATTAACATTGTGAGAAGGGAGCCTTGGCACCACAGATGCCAAGCTCACCCATTCTTTGAGACCCAGAAGGGCAAGATTTCTTATAATATTGTCAAAAGCTTACTCTCAACAAATAAATTTCACACACTGTTATACTTATGTTGAATTGTTTTTTGTTTTTGTAAGGAATGAAAACAACAGCAATACAAGAAGAAGAAGAAGAAGAAGAAAAATTAACAAAGAAAATAAGATGTTTGACATGGGCTTTTGGTGATCAACTCTCATGCTCCAATTGAATGTGTAAATAGGAAGAGCAAATTGTCCATGTCTATGAGAAATTTATTGTTTCCATATCCACCAAAGGATCTGATACCAACTTCTAGAGATGTTCTAATTGAAGAATTTGAAGTTTCTAGCACCATCTACAACTTCAACCTTAGATTTGTCAATTAAAAGGCCAACTGCTAGAAGAAAGCTAAAATGAAAGACTACTAATAGAACCAAATAAATAGAGAGTGATTGATCAAAGTGTTGATTGATGATTTCGTTTTTGGTCCATTTAACCTTTTCTTTTTCTCTAAGATTGTTTACTCCAAGTTTTGCTACTATTTAAAACTGAGGAGATAGTAAAACTTCCTGCATAGATATGTGTTATTTATTGTATCATCAATAATTCTGTTGCACAAAACTTAAATTTAAGTACTCACGAACCATCAACATTGAAAAGGTTTCAATACTTTTAATTGCCCCCCCACACATACACACACACATGAATATCTCTCTGGAATAATAAAAATTAAAAATAGAATTCACACTTCTATTTTGTTAGCATACCTATATTTTAATAACAAAAAAATAATTGTTTGATAAAACAAATCCATAAAACATATCTAAAATATCATTGTTGTTATTGTTTGTTGAAGATGCTCTAAAAATACCAGTTCAAAGATGCTATTTACTAAAGACATGTGAGGTTGCATTGGAAATTAGAAAATAAAAATTAGGCCTTAAGTTGGAGTGATCTTAACTAGTCAAGAAAAATTTAAACATCAAAATCTTATCTATGTATCTATCTATATATACATATAAATACGATTTTGAATTAATAAAAGGATGGCACCAACACCATTGACACACTCACAAAAAAGGAAAAAAAAGGAGAAAGAGTGTCCAAAATACCCTTATTAAAGAATGGGACTTTTATGATTGTAGATATATTAAATAGTATGAGACACTGGGTATTGCTCTTAACTGTACAATATGCATTTTTGTTGTTGTAGCAATAGCTTTTGATTTATGATTGATGGGGTTCTAAATTTAGTTTCTTGTTGCTATTGACATGACAAAAATGCTGATCTGGCTGCTTTTTTTGACAACATGGTGATTCGTTTTTCTTGCAATTAGCACAACAAACTTGAGGATGGGGATACAACTCATTTCAAGTCAATCTGCTCATGTGTGTATTAGTATGCAAATAAATAATCAAATCTGATATATATGGTGAGATAAGAACATGAACTAGTAATGCTAGAGAAATTCTGAATTATGTTGTTTTTTTTTTTGAATTTTTTACACTTCAGGTGAATTTGGAACTATTATTTAGATGTTTGATAAGCATTTCCCATTTTTCTGTGTGGTGAGATTAGTTGATTGCCAAATTTTTGGTATGGGCTGCTTCTGTGTATAAGTATATACTTTGATACCAATATATATATAGATTCATTTCTTAATCATTGCAATTAATGAAACCACAGAGTAAGAAAATGATGTAACCTAAACTAACATACATTGTAGTAAACTTTTATTTATAAATATGTTCTGCTTAATCTATGTACTTTACAATTTGTAATAAGCTCTATAAACGTCTAACACATGATTGCATATTCCTTTTGGGTTGTGAAATGCTTGACTAATAATTGTACAGTGTCAAAAACTTAAAAGTATAATTATTCTATTTCTACCAATGAAATCTTCCATATTTACAACAATCTATTTAAATGTCAATAACTACATACATAAATATGTCTTGTTTACTTAACTAAGAACCATTAACACTAGTTTGAAAATCAATGTTTCATAAAACGATATTTAAAGTTGAATATGGTTTTTGAAATTTTACACACTGGAGGGTATTTTTCATGTCAAAGAAAGTGAAGCTGATTTGTATGTAAATGAATTTATGAATACCTAAATTTAAAAATTCTGCATTGAAGTCTTAAAATAAAATTTGAGATATTTCACTGTTTACTATTAAAATAAGGAATTTACATAAAACTGATAAGGGAAAAATACATTAAAATTCATCTTTTGTATTATTTTTATGTTATAATTTTTTATATAATGTTTTATTGTTATATAATAAACTCTTATGTGGTATTTTGAGTTTCACTATTAAATTTACATTAGGTTTAAATAGGATTTGTTAAAAAAATATTTGTTTCTTTTAGTAACTAAGATGAATTAATTTTCTGAAAACACACTTCAAAGAAACTGGACATATGTCATGCTAAAGAGTTTCATAACGCTCTCTTAACTTTGATTTTTAACTATAATTTTCCAATTCAAAACATTCCAATGTGTTTATTTTAAATTTCAACGTAGAAGTCAAACTCCTTCCTCTTTATGGTTTATCAATTATTTAAGTTTGGATGCTTTTCATCCATCCATTTGGGGTTTGTGGGTTTGGTGAAGGAATAGTGAGATGAAGTTAGGGCTTTCCCTTAATAATGCAAGGTCAGTAAGGCCCATTGAATACGAATGGCATTAAATAGTAATGGTCATTACATTGTGGTACTGAGACCCCCGCTTCTGCTGAATACGCATGGATGGATGAATAAATGAACGCCTTTACTCCATTCGTACAACCCCTACTTTCATCCATGCATTACGGTCCTCCTGCCCTTATAAGTGCCACGTGTCATCATGGCCCTCGTTTCGGTTTATAAAAATAAATAAACAAATAAATAAACAATTGCTACTTCCATAAATAAATAAACAATTGCTACTTCCATAAATAAATAAACAATTGCTACTTCTATAAATAAATAAATAACTACTTATATTTTATGTGGAAGCTTCTAGAATCTTGTAAAGCGGGGGGACATGACCTTCAATGGGTTTTGCAGTGCACAGGCTTGAGCAAAAAATTATTTATTTTTAATATATATATATATATATATATATATATATAAGGATAAATCATTAACAATTATTGTTTTATATCCAACACATCAATGTATTCGAACATAGTAAGACTGGATGGAATAGAACCATTAATTTTGTAAGTGTTGAGTACAAGTGTGCGTTGTTTAGTAAAGATATTAACTAGTAATTAGGGAGAAAGCTGAATTTAGCAAAGTAGAGGAAGAGTTAAATTTAAAAACTATGTTTTTGATAGAAAATACTACAATCTTAAGGGGCATGAATTTTTTAAGAAATTGGTTTTATACGGTTTTGTTTTTGTTTTTATTTTAAATAGTTACTTTTACGTTCATTTGGTTACATATCATTGAATCATTGGTCATGGGTTATAAATCATGGATTAACTAATCCCAAGCATAATTTTTGAATTTGAAGTTTAAATGTAAACACCAGAGTTGGGAAGAAAAGCATATTATGATTTTTGGTACATGGTGCATAACCAAATTGAGTTTACTTGATTTCTTTGTATAATGTGATAGGTATTCTAACATTTACATTATTTAATTTTGGACTTTCAAATCTCAGACAAAAATTTCAATCTGATATTCTCATAAATGTTGCAAATCTATTGAAAATTTATTAGCATGGTTAATTTCAATAACTCAAATTACATTGATTTCAACTTTTTTAATGCATCATTTAACAACATAATTGAAATTAAAAACTGATTTACAAACTCCTCCTCTCTTCCTTCAAGCATTGTTTATTATTTATTTATTTATTTATTTTTATCTTTCTTTTACTTTCTTCTGTAATGTAGAAAAACTTTAAGGATTGCAATAATTCTTTTCACATCAAACTTTTAAAGTAAATTCTTTTAATATTTTTTATTTCTTAATCACATCTGATCTTGGTCTTAGCTCTGTTGTATAATTTGGTGCACCTTCCACATTTTCAATTGAAGATGCTAACTACCAGCCCCACTTCCATCATTTATTGTGTTCATTTAATTCAATTCAATTCTTTTCATTTCATTTGATACATTCATGGCCAACCATGAGCTCCAAGTGAAGTGCCTCATCAGACACAAAAAGTAATATCTCAGAGACCTACTTCCACTGGCTATTAACTCCTCCTCAATTTGTCATGTTAAAGCCCCACTTTGTGATGGACTTGCAAACCATTTGTGGGCTGAGGGAGAGAGAGCCCACAGTAAATAAACTAAGATTTTTTCATGTGTGCAGGTAGCCATCTTCATAATACACAGTGAGAGTACAACCCAATGACAGGTAGAATCCCATTCATTATTCATTTATGAATATGTGATGTATATCATTTATTTGCTTTGCCTTTCTTCCAGTCTCTCAAGCCAATTCACCCATCATATCTCCCTCAGGGCTATTGTACATCCATGAAACCTCCTCTCTTTTCCTCGTGCAATGGATTAATTGATCCCCTTCAATGATGTGAATTATACACTCTCTCACATACACTGCCTTAAGAAATCCACCCACTTTCATACACATTCACTCTTTATTGTCATATATAAATATATATATATATATATACACACACATACACACACACACACATATATATATATACACATCTAAAAGTGTGTGTGTGGATATTTTGATAGATATTTTGATATTCATTCATTCATTCACAGGGATGAATTTTTATATCGATATTAGTGCTCACTGGCTGTTTTTATTCTTTAAGGAGATTCACAAGAACCACTATTGCTAGACAAGAACAAGCAAGGGACTAGAGAGTGAGACCAAACCAGTGAGTGGTAGATTAACTTGACAGCAACAAAACAGGAGGACAAGAGAGTGCAAATGAGAATTGCACTGTTGTGTGTGATACGTCTTCATACGTGTTTTGTCATAAGCAGCAGTGAGCAGCAGCAGCGAATGAGTTTCTCTCTGGGCGACTTCAACTAAGCCAGCCGGGGCAGGAGAGGACTCTGACACGCAACAATCTCCATGTGGGAGTATTCAAGCCCCCTTTACTGGCATCATCGACCATGCATCCCATGACAGAGCATTGGCAGTTGTTGTTTATTATGTAGTTTTTGTTTGTTGGACTAGGAGGAGGGTGGTTAGAGGGCCTGATTAAGGGAGCTAAGTGGGGCCTCAGAATCTAGAAAAGTGCCGAAGGGAAACACTGCTCGGGTGGGCACGGGCTCTGCTTCACTGCAGCACAGCACAGTATGTGTCATGGGTGGGTGGTCGAGGTTGGCCAGATGGTTGGCATAAGAGACAATGCGGGGGCACTGTCCTAGGATCGCAGCTTCAAAATAATGAGCTCCCATAAATGCCCTCTTCAACTACCTTGTCTGCTTCGTCTCTCCTTGTCGCCCGGGGTTCAGGAATTCCGGTGCACCCTACCTCCTTTTCCCCCCACTCCCCCTCCCTCCCCCCACCCCCTCCTGAGGTCTCATGTTATCGCAACCTGCAGTTTGTTTTTTCCCTTGGCAGCATGGCCACGCTCTCCACACCCGAAGCAAGCGAGCTTTGAAGCTTCTTCCCCTTTGCTGGACGCATCGTTAGTCGAGGTGGGCCATCAGTCTCGTTTCGAAGTTTCCTATGTTTCATGAGTTGGATCAGCTGAGTAGTTGGTGGTGGCGGGTTCTGGATTGAGAGTTCAGTTCGTGTTCTGCTTCATCAGGCTGGTGATTTTGTTGGAGCGCTGGGAAGCTTGGCTGGACCTTGAGTCTCTCAACATCCTGTTGCAGGAGCAGTCGTGTTGAGGTAAAGGGACTAGTTGTTTTTTCTTCTTTGCAGTTGGGTCTTCGAGGTTCTGTTTCGCAGCACGCTGTGCTTAGTTCTGGATACAAGGGGTTGGGTTCGGTTTTCGAAGCTTCGGTCATATGGTGGAGGCGGCCGACGATGGTTGCTGTACATACAGCATAGGTCGGTGGTAAAGAATCTAGATGAGTTTCGTCTCCTTCTTGCGCCAGTCCGACGTAATGGACCATGGCTCGTAAGTGTGAGTTACAAGGACATGAGTATTCGAGGTGCATAGTATGCTTTTGCAGCTAACTGTGTCGAGTTGGTCAATACCTTCCGCATGCTTCGACGGGTCTATCCGAACTACTGTAGCTCATGGGAGATTTGTTATTGGGCAACTAGACTGCACTTTATTCAGTGTGCTATCGAGCATTGAGAGGGCGACTTGCTTTTCCCACGGCTAAGTGATCTTTTGTCAACTAGTTTTCACGAGGTTAAAAATACTGAAGAGGGACACAAATGTGCTTGCTAATATACTTATTACGCGTTGGGCACATCACCGGAAGAGGTTTTGCACACAGCGAGCCCAATGCTTCATGTTCCAGTGGATCTCCCCAACACGGGTGGTATTTACAGATGTGAAAGGTGCCTCGACGTACAAGTCATTTTATTATCTCAATCCACCAGAACCGACATTATTGCGTCACAAGTGTTGAGAGATTCATAGCTTCGTCCTCAGTCTCCGCTGCGCTAGAAGCTGCAAATATTTTGTTCACTCGACTCATGTCACTCATTCCATGCTTATAAGTTTTTAATTTTGTCCCGAATAAAAGAAATTACGCTACCAGATACTTGGTTTAGATAAAAGGGAGACGCAACAGTTCAAGGTTTAAGCATCTAGGCAAACTGAGAAACTCGTGAAACACGGGCGAAGATGAGTATTGGGTTTAGTGTAAGCAATGTTGGTTGAAAGCACTGAGAAGTCTAGCATGCATTGCAACTACAAGTGATGACAGTCGCAAGTAAAGGAATGATATTGGCAAATAATTTCAGGTCGCTGTAGAGGTGAATGCGGAGCAAATCAACATGGCAACTGCTAACGGGAGGCACGGGCAGCTTAGTTCTGGCACGCAACGACAAGTGCCTCACACAATGCCCGGCATGAGCCCCTTGAGCGAGAGCCTGTGGCGGGACAAGACTGATACTGGAAAGGTAGGAGATATGTCAGCGCGCCTGACATGGGTCGACTTGTGGGTTACCATTGTTCAACGTGGATCCAAGCAAGCCATTCTGCAAGGAATTACAGGTACGCAGAGAGTCACACACCAGGCAAGTTATTCATCAAAAAAAAAAAAAAAAAAAAAACACTTCTCGAAACAGTTACTTCGCAGATCCTGCGCTGTGTTGGACGATGACACGTTTGGCTTTAGATTTCGCGCAATTGAGCCGTTGTGATGAACATCTCGTTGAGAATTTTAAAAGAGAAACCGATAATTACATCTAAGCAACTCTGACAACGCAGAGGGTTGCTATCGACCTGTTGCGTTTCCAGCTTTTTTTTCATGACTTGGGAAATTTCTGAGGACTAGAGGTGTTCAAGCACTGCATGGGGTTGAGATAAAAGTTGATTTTTGGTGATTTCAGGTTACGCGGAGCCGGGATCTTTCATGGCCATTATGGGTCCATCAGGGTCGGGGAAGTCCACTCTGCTAGATACATTAGCAGGTATTTAGATTCATTAAAACTCCACTGCATCGGTTCCACGAGAGATCGTTACTGTGTTGTCGTGTTAAGCAGTTACATCAGAGATTTTAGTGAGTTTGGTTTATTCAGCTGCAGTGTGGGGCTCGTGGGGTGGAAATGTCCAGGAAGACTGGCGAAGAACGCTGCGCAAACAGGACAAGTTCTGCTCAACGGTCGTCGCAAAACAACTCTGTCGTACGGAACTGCTGTAAGAACATGCACCGCATTCGAAATGAGTGAAAAACAACTCTTGGCAGGGGACCCCCTCTAAACATTCTTCACATGCAATGTCACAACTTTTTTCAGATGAATTAATGCGCTTTTTGCTGACCAGGCGTACGTGACTCAAACTGACGAACTCATAGGAACACTCACAGTGAAGGAGACGATTTATTATTCAGCCAGTTTGCGGATTCCGAGCACTGTAACGCGGTCTGAGAAGAAAGCCATAGTGGACAGCACCATTCGGGAGATGGGACTGTATGACTGCCGCAATACGCCGGTGGGGAACTGGCACCTGCGGGGGTTAAGTGGAGGCGAGAAACGACGGCTGAGCATCGCGTTAGAGATTTTGACTCGACCTCGTCTGCTCTTTCTTGACGAACCCACCAGTGGATTAGATAGGTTCGCATTCAAACTCCATGCACTTCAACCAAGCTTCAACACATTGAGAGCAGGCTAAGTTGGTTGCAAATCGTAAACACAATCAGTGATCAAGTGTGTTGAATGAACATTACTTTTCCTCCCTGCAACTGATAGATGGGGTAATTCACTTGCAGCGCTGCGGCATTTTTTGTGGTCACAGCATTGCGGAATCTAGCAAGAGATGGGCGTACCATCATTGCCTCGATCCATCAACCCAGCAGTGAGGTGTTTGAGCTCTTCGACAATCTGACCCTCCTCTCTGGCGGCAAGCTTATCTATTTCGGACAAGCCAACAATGCAATTGAGGTACAATGATCTCAGAGTTCTCACTGTCGCTGGCACTGGTAGAAATCACTCATCCTCGATTTTGGCTGGGATTGGGCTCGTGGGCATGCAACTGCGAAAAAGTTTCGATTCTCTTCCTTGTGAGGTAGATGGCCTGCATTCTATTAAACGAGGGATTGCTTGTTTGGTAACAGCATTTCACATCTGCAGGGTTCCCTTGCCCCCAACTTCGGAACCCCTCGGATCACTTCTTGCGTGCCATCAACGCTGATTTCGACCAAGTGAAGTCCAATCTGAAAGGATCCTTCAAAATAAGGGTGAGCCTGCACGTTCCCACGAGCCAGTGTGGCGAGCAGATGATTAGATTGCAGGTTTTTGTCTTGAAGATTGCGCTTCCGCATTCCACTTCTCACGTGGATTGCAGTGCTAACCATTTGTAACCTAAATCTGCCATTGCAGGACCGCGAAAGCATAGATCCCATCGACAGGATGAGTACCAACCAGGTGGTTAAGATACTCAGCGACGCATACCAGAGCAGCGACTACGCCATGGGAACTATATCGCGAATCCATGAAATTCTGCAAATGCAAGGGACGCTACTTGAAGCCGGTGGAAGTCAAGCTAGTTTCTTCAAGCAGTGCCTAACCCTCACACGTCGCTCATTCGTCAACATGAGCCGAGACATCGGCTACTACTGGCTTCGCCTTGTAATCTATATCGTCCTTTCGCTTTGCCTAGGCTCCATCTTCTACGACCTCAACACGAAATATGAAGGCATTCTGGTACGTCTGCTTCACTCTGCAAAAGTTTCTGGAGTTTCTCATTTGAAACGGTGCACATGCAGTGTAAAAATCTCTAAATGCAAGTCATTTACTCAATCCAACTCGTATCTGACAGGGAAGAGCAGGATGCATCGCTTACGTGGGCGGGTTTTTGACCTTCATGTCCATTGGGGGATTCCCATCGTTCGTGGAGGATATGAAGGTACTGATCTTCACTCATGTTCGATGGATGCGATCATCTATCTTGATGTGAAGAACTGATTCCAAAATTATGGAACAGAGAACATTGCAAGGCAGAACATAGTGACTGAACGATGGAGTTGAGTGCCTTTGTGCAGGTTTTCAACCGGGAGAGGTTGAATGGGCACTACGGGGTGCTAGCCTTCGTGATTGGCAACACGCTCTCCTCACTTCCATTCCTCTTCCTCATATCTCTCGTTTCCAGCCTCATCGTCTACTTCATGGTAGGCTTGCACCCCGGATTCGAGCACTTCGCCTACTTCGTGATCTCTCTCTTTGCTCAGGTGGCCATAGTAGAGAGCCTCATGATGGCAGTCGCAAGTCTGGTCCCCAACTTCCTCATGGGCATCATCACCGGCGCAGGAATCCAGGGCATCTTTATGCTGGTAGCAGGCTTCTTCAGGCTCATTGACGACCTCCCGAAGCCCGTGTGGCGGTACCCCCTCTCCTACATTGGATTCGACATGTATGCTCTTCAGGTAACCTCCGAAACCCTAAACCCCAAGTTGGTCATCCGGCTAGAATTTGAGATCTCTATGATATCCCTCTATCTCGAATTAGTCATCGACGGCTGCGTGTGATGACAGGGAATGTACCTGAACGAATTCATTGGGTTAACTTTCGAGAACTACGTACTGGACGGGAAGAAAATCGGTCCCCCGATTCCAGGCTGGTACGTGATCAGAGAGATGTACGGGATCAGAACCTCGATGACGAAGTGGGAAGACATCGCGGTGTTGTTCGGCATGATCATAGTGTACCGCATCATCTTCTTCATCTGCATCAAGCTGAGGGAGAATCTGGGGCCTTACATGCGCTTCAAGGTCACGCAGTACCGCACCAACAGGAAGCTAGCTCGGAAGCCCTCGGAGCTGCAGAACGTTATCCGCCCCGTGGTGACCCCAGTGGCAACTCCGCAACACGACTCCGTCCCTCTCCAATACTCTGCCAAACGACACGCACTCGAACATCACCATTAGCATTCTCTCCGACCTCGATCCACAATCTACCATTCCTGTACACCAAAAACAATCAGTCACTTTCCTGCAGGACCCCAAAATTCATTTAAACTTCCGCACCCACATCATCGAACTAGTCCCACTAGTCCACTAGTACAATTCTGATCTTGAGCCTGGAACTGTGTCCGTCAAACCTCAAGGCTCAGAATCAGTATTCAATAAACACAGGCTCTCTCTGCGAGTTCAGCGATGTGTATCAATCGCCGACACCGAGTAGGATCTCGTGTAGAACTTCATGCCCTGTCGAATCTCAGTGACGTGAACCAGTTTGACACGTGAAAAAGATTAATTGCCAGCGTTGCAAGCTTGGACTCCTCCATGAGTACAAGCATCATGTTGGACACAACTGCGGTGCAATCTGCCCCACAGCTTACTTGTAATTTTGGCCAGCATTCGCCTATCAAAATCAAATGTATGATTTGCTTTAACTCTTGCACAAATTAAGCTCGCAGATTCGTTTGAAATTAGCATTATATTGGAACAGGCGAGTTTTATTTTATTTTACTTGATTTTATTGTTTTATCTCAATTCTGACAATATTGCATTATGAGGAAATGGTTGTGATTGTCTTATCTGTTTTTAATGTTCTGTCTCTTGACCTTGAAGGATCTATCTTGTTACTAAAAGTTTTGGTTTATTGCAGACACGTGGGATTCTGTGCTGGAGTAGTGAGTGATGATGGGTCACTAGTGAGCTGAAGAACTATATCTGAGGGAGGTGGAATAAAATCGTAGTAACCCCTATAATTTGTTCTCTTGTAGAAAATTTGATTTCTGGTGCAGCATCTATTGAATTTCCAGACAATTGATGTGAGTTTGTTGGGAGAGTTGGAGTTTTGTTTTTGTGTCTTGAACAAAAATCGACTATTGTCTGCAATGAGGATGACCTAGATGAGTTTCATTTCTTTGCTTGCCAATTCATCTTGTCATTTCTTTCAACCTTTATTATTTACAAAGAAGTTTGTATGATTTGCTAGTTACTTTTTCCTGTGGGGTACGATGTTAGAAGCTCTTTTCTGCATAGAGTTTGTTTGAAGTCCAACAACTTCCAAGAAATAACTTCGCTTGGATATATATTTTTAAAAATTAGGTCATTGCTGCATAAAGTTTGTTTGAAGTTCAATTTCCACTCTATACTTTGCAAAAATAAATTTACTTGGATTTAATTGATAAGTGAAATGCACTAATATTAAGCTCTATTGCAATTCTTGTAATAGGAAAACATAAGAAAAAAAGACATAAAACACAAAATTTTGTATTTTTTTGATACAACAGGTAGTACAAGTGAATTTCTTTAATTTTTTCAGTAGTATAAAAAACATAGGGGAATTTACAAATACGAAAAAAAAATTGAAAGTATTTATGAAAAGGAAAAAAAAAAAAAAATACAATAGGAAAAAAATGTTTTTACTTGCTTTATCTGTTGACAATATGTATAATAGCATAGCAAAAAGATTTAATAGTGAATAATGAAAACACCACTTTTTTGACTTAAGTAATTGATTCATCAACAACTACCTTTGAAATATTATATTTTCATTTTTTTTTTTTTTTTTTTTTTTTTTTTAAAGAAGTATCTATTTCAAACTTGAAAAAGTTACTAATGTACAAAATCTTCCAAAAATAATGTGCAATTTCATTTTTTGCAAATAAATTATCATAAAGAAGAGATTTTACATAACAATGATAACTCTATTATAATAAGAACAACCTCTATTATTAGCTGTGACAATCACAAGTGCAGTGGTTGTGACCTTTTTTGTGATACTTTCTACAAGTAAACTAGTCTTTGAGATCAACCTCTCCCTAACTACAAAGATAGACCTTGCTCAAGTAGCCAGCTTATCAAATTTTGTAAAATTGAAGAGTAGTACCATTGATTGTGTCCATGTCTATAGAGACTATAAAACTAGTCTTAGAAACAAGGTAGATGAGTGCATTAAACGGCTTTGTGTGGCACAATTTAAGAATCCAAGTATTTATTGCTTTCACCATGTTTGACATAAGTTCTTCAAAACATGAAATTTTTGCATAATTAAGAGTCCATGTATCAAATAGAATTTCTCTTAAGTACATATGTGCTTTAAGGTGCATCTTATTAATTTCCGCCAAGGCAACTTCATGTGTATCCATTGTCAACGCTCTCTCATCCAAATCTCACCATTGAGCTTTGTCTTGATTTTGTATTGAAATTTTTCTTAATTTGCTAGATGTAAGTTATATGCACCATGTTTAAAAGTTTTGAAGCCACTCTATACTATATCTTCTAATAATATCAAGAAAAAATATATTCATTGTTTTTGATATAATAAAGTTTTTTACTATTATGTTCCAATTTGCAATGTATCTTTTCATGATTGCTAATTGTAGTCATGGTTTTTAAATTCAAAAATGGCATTGCATATGCAACTTGCTCATAAAACTAAGTATAGTTTTTAGAGCTTTTTACTAGTGCAATACCAAAAACAATAAACACAAGCTAAACCTCTCTCTATTGATGCGATTGAAGCCTAAGTAAATACCTTTATAGGTGAATTTTGATTGAACTGCATCAATTGTGTCTATTAGATAATAATATATAGCAACAATCTTTTATGTGGTAAGGCACAAAAATTCCCTACAAAAGCACCCATGGTTGTCTATATTAATTATTGCAAAGCTTCTAAAATTGACAATATGTAGTTAATTAAATAGCCTAACTATTTTTTAAAATCCAAGCTTGTAATCTGCAACAAAGAGATTTTGGTGGACTTCTTGGCTTCTCTAAGGTATAGTATATGAGGTTTTTACTTCCACTTGTGTCTTTGCAAGATTAAAAATGTTATGCAATCAAAAAACTTCGACATCGTACAACAAAAGTGCAAAAACTTTTATAAGAATAAGTCCTTGGAGGAGGAATATTTGCATGAATGTAGAGCAATTCTTATTATACAAAGTAAATGTGATTACATAAAATTACTTATCTTTGCATTGGTTCATAGAGATGTGGAAGTTGCACCTAAGGCCATTGTCTTACATAAATGTGTAGATGACATCTATTTTTTATTGTTCTTAAAATGATAGATAATAAATGTCCTTTGAGAATAGGAATCTAAGAGTGGCAAGAAAAGAAAGTGGTAGAGAATATAAAGGTATTGTAACTGCAATTGTAGTCCTATATAAGGAAAATTATTATCCTATTTGTAACTATTTTGATATTGTATTCCTATTTGAAAATACTTTTAGATTTTTTTTTTATTTGTAAATTCTTCAAAAATACATGATTAAATATTTTAAGATTTTAATTTTTAATTTTTTTAGAAATTATTTCAATATTGACTTCTAAAAAAATAATGAAATTAATTTATAGCTTTTGAAAAGTTTTTTTAATTAACCAAATTTAATTGAATTTAGAAATTTATAAAAACCTTCTTTAATTTACATATTTAGGTGCAAATTTTGTCTAAATTATTGATAATATTTAATATCTTGTACTTACTCATATGGACGTTTTTCTCTTCACTCCTGAATATTTGATCTTACAATTTTTAACTTAAACTCTTCTTTTTTCTTTTTTTATCCCTTTGTAAGGATGTTGGTTAAAGACTCATTGAAAGTTGGATTGAAGCTGGGCCAGTGGCCCGCTCATGGCGAAATTTGAGTGTAAGGCGAGTGAGAGAGACGAGCATCATTGGCTCAATGTGGTACCGACAGGTGTTGAACATTGTCGGTAACGAGTAATTTGGAGAAATTCGAGAAATTTCCTTCAAATCATCGGAGGTGGAGGTGAGGAGCAGAATTACGTGATTTTTCCTTAATCAGTTTGTTCATTCAAACCAGCAACATTTAACACACAATTCCTGGAGCACAAGATGTTGCTTCTCATGGAAGCAGTGTGTTTGAAATGTGGAGATCTTTCGAAGGGTAGGCAGGGAGAAATTCGAAAATTCATGAGGCTGGAGGATTGATGCCAGGCTTGTGGCAGGATCCTGACTTGGAGCTCTTGCACTCGTCTCTACCGATATGTCTGATAAGATGCAGGCATAATCAACACGGTCACCTGGCAAGTATGATAAGCTCGAATCCACAAGTATTCCGAATATTCTCCATCCTCCGTGTTTCGTTGCAGTGAAGCAAAATCGTTACTCTCTTTGTTCCGCGGGAAAATTGCCTTGGATTTTCCGCCCGTGTCTCGCCGTTGTGGTTCAGAATTGTAGACAAAGGGCTGGGTGCGAAACTCACAATTCAGAAGCGCATATCTATGTCTTCCATGATTTACTGGGTGCGTCAATGAGTCTGACGCGTTGAGTCGCACATTAAAGATTGCACTTCAACTATTCCGGGTCGAGCAAGAAAAGGATGAGAACCAAATTACTGCAGCTGAGAGAGCATTTGTCGATGCTTCAGCACTGACAATGCCCCTTCGTCAACACCGAGGGCCGCAGGAACGTATGCTAATCTGACCATCATATCGGTGATATAAATGGTTGGTGTCAACAACTGTAGATCCGAATAGACCTGAAAGCAGCTACTCATCAAGAAAAATAAACTGAATCCGACATGTGCGTTGTTCACTTCACAATGGATGCTCTAGTACACGGTTGATCTTAACATACACGAGTGAATTGGTAGACTGGCATCATAATCACAAATAGACAAACAAAGAAACGAAAGAGTAATCTACAGACACAAAAATAAACAAATGTGATGAAATCATGTGTTTTTTGAAGGAACCGTATAATTGTAGTATTTACATGTTTGAAAGAAAGATAGTTACAGAATAACCATTGATTTGAGTATCCTACTGCGAACACCATCGGAATAGGGGATTCACTTCATGCTAACGATGGGTTCCTCGATAGAAGTTCTTTTCTTCGTCTATACAATAATCTCAGGCACGATGCAGAGTAGATCAGCACGACCACCGGGCAAGGATGACAAGCTCAAGCCCAGAAACGGACAGAGTATTCGCACCGTGCTGCAGCATGTCTCATTGCATACTGCAGTACAGGTAGCTGACCTTGGAAATGGCTGCGTCTATCCCACCCAGATTGTGCGCATTGATCTGCACGAAGTCCCGTTGTACGATGCAGCTCCGGCAGGTGACCTTGGAAAACGCGGCATCCACCCCACCCAATTCGTGCACACAGCGGTACAAAACGTCCCATACGAGGCTGCAGCCCCAGTCGCGCACCTTTGAATGCGCCGTATTCATTATAGTGACCACCGCGTGATGCAAGTTTTATGTTGGGCTGCTTACCGGGCCCCACGATTTGTGCTTCCGATGTAGAAGCCATAGACTGCACAAGGACATCATGAACTGGCGTGTTTGATGCTGATCCCGTTGGCTGCAACTGGCCAAGGGTCGAATCTTGTGGAGCCTGCGGGTGGTTGAATGGCGCCCCGGTACTTGAAACTTGCACAGATTGCACTTGTTGGGGGTGGAATTGTCTGAAGTCCAGAAATCGCTGCAGGATATCCATGACATCTCCGTTCGTCGCCACTGCTTCTACGTCGGAGCCACTGGGATTGAACGCTATCATGACCACTTGGTTACCGCACAGAATACCCAGCTCCTTAGCCTTGTTGATCAAGCCAACCTTCCTCTTCGAATATGTGGTTTGAATCTTCTTAGCAGGCAACAACTCGATGTCGATCTTCTTCCGCCCCATGCTGCGCAACGTCTACAGACAACTTCTCCGCGGATCATGCACCCACAGCAATCCTCCAAGAGAGATTCCGCACCCTGCGATGAGAAGACAGCACAGTTGAGTTTGAGGAAACAATACCCGGTTCAAAAATATCATTGAAGTGCAGCGTGTAACTTTACCAGGGAAATAAAAAATGTGAAGTGATGTTGGATCTGGCGTGAACAAAAGAACTCTGTCTAGGTCTGTGGAATGGCTAGAGTTCAGTAAACAAGGCGTTGATCCATCTGTTATAACTCCACCACAGAAACTAACGCACCCGAAACTAATGCACACTGACTTTGCTGTGCAATCAGAAGCTACACAACAGTTTCAACACCAGGAACTGATTCAACCCACTTCTGATGGGGCAAAGGCCGAATGGACACTGCAGATTCAGTGCATTGAAACATAGAAACTTATGTTGAGGATTAATAGACGGTAGCCATCGCTTTTACTTTTCCCCAACACTTTTTTTTGTCTGCCGGGGCTTTTCCTTTTTCGAGCACATTTACCTTTTCCGACGTGCCATTTAAACTGGGAGAAAAGTTTCTATGTGGGAACTTCATTGAAACTTTAATGTCCTCGGGAGAATTGAATTTTCAAATTGCTACACAATGTTTTTAGTTACCAAAATTTTGTGGTTAAGTTATTGAACCAAATTTAAGAAGTTTATGTGTGGTTATATATATATATATATATATATATTTATAGAGGGATGTTAAATAGACCCCCCTTTGATAAAGAATAAGATAATCATGATGAATGTGGTTGGTTTTTATTGGTTGCAAATCTAACAGTGAAAAAATAAATCCATAAATCATTATTTCTTTTCATGATGGTTAGGATAGATGAATCAATTTAAAACAAAACTTTGGTCTATTTAATATTCCCTTATATTTTATGTATATATATATATATATATATATATATTAGTAGAAATATTAGGCACATCAATCTCTTGCACATCTATCCATTTCCTTATACATCTTTATGTCTTTACATCTTTATGTCTTTATTTTATACCTAAAGTGCTTTTTATTTATATATAGATAAATATTCTAGAGTTTTTGCTGGGTCCTAGTTTACAATCCAAATAAATAAGAAGATAATTTGGAGGTTTCTAAAAATCCTTTGGTATATGCAAACATTAATATTTAATACAATTATTTTTTTGTAAATTTCAGAATGTCCAGAAGTAAATATTGGAAAAATATTCGTAAATGGAAGAATTTAATGCATCAATTATGAAAATAAGAATTTAAGGCATCACCTCAGATTTATTTTACTTGTTAAATATGAGTTTTGTTATAATAAAGATAGGATAGATGCAAAACTTTCAAATATGCATAAATAGCTACTCTACAGCAAATGTGTGAAAAATAATATTCATTATAAACATTGATATAATAACTAACAGATTCATATGCATTTACTTGATGTAATCTTTGTATATTTTTTTGAGTATGTATAAATATCATGTTTGATAAATGTCATGTTTGAGTCACTTTTTAACAATACAATATTGAACTAATAAACACAATTGGAATTATAATACCAAATGTATCTATAAATATCAGTTAATTACTTGTTAGGATAAAAATATTTTGATAAAATAAGTTTTAAAATTAATTATTTTTAGAGGTGTGAGATTTTATTTAATTACAAAATCAATGTTTTATTTTTCAATCTTATTCTTTAAACTAGGTTTGACTTTTGTATTGATAGAGGTATGATTTTGTTGCATATAAAATTTGTAATATTAATTAATAGTATACAAAGACAAATATAGAAAAATTATTAGCTTGCATTTTATTTTTTTCATATATTTTTTTACAAGCAATTGCATTTTTGCACTCAACATCATTTAACAAGATTAGAAAAGAATGCAATGAAAGTTGTTAGACTGATGCATTACATTGTATATATCAAAATATTCTAAAAGTTGATTCATGATTACTTTTTATTATTACAAAAATATTTGAAATTCTAAGTCTTTGTATCACAATAGCAATTGGGAGGCTAGCTTTGTGATGTGTGATTCTTCAAATAAATTACATCCGCACACAGGATTTTCAAATATTTATTACTATTAATATTATGCTAACAGTTTTCAAAACGAACACATAATTCAATTTTATTCTTTATTTGTCTTTTACATTCACTTAACTCCATGCATCGATTCTTCATTTCAGGAATGTACTTTCAATACAATTACACTTCTATACATTCTAAAACTTACAAAAAATTCTGCATTACACATTAATGTTTGCAAACACCGAATGATATTAAAAAGCCCCAAATTATCCTTTTATTTTACTTAGTCCATAAATTAGAACTCAACAAAAAAATTAAAGTATATCCGTATACTCAGAAACTTTTCAAATATGGTTCAACAACTAAACCACAAACATTTGGTAACTTGGAGTAGCAATTTAAGAATTCAACTCTACCGAGAACATTAAAGTTCAAACGACGTAGACGACGCTTATCTCACACCTCAAACGATGCATCGCAAAACGTAAACATTTTCGATAAAGGAAAAGTCCCCTCAGAAGTAAAATGTGTAATGTACAACACCAGTTTCTATATTTCAATGCACTGAATCTGCAGTGTCCATTAGGGCTTTGCCCCATCAGAAGTGGGTTGAATCAGTTCCTGGTGTTGAAACTGTGGTGTAGCTTCCGATTGCACAACAAAGTCAGTGTGCATTAGTTTCGGGTGCGTTAGTTTCTGTGGTGGAGTTGTAACAGATTGATCAACGCCTCGTTTACGAAACTCTAGCGATCGAAATCAAACTCCGGTCATTCCATAGACCAATACGGAGTTTTTTTTGTTCAAACTAAGATCCAACATCATTTCACCACATTCGTTCCAAAATTGCAGTGGGTCATGCTTTGCATGTTACTACTCTGCTAAAATTACACTGTGCACTTCGACGATGCTTTTATGTCGGGTATTGTTACCTCGCACTCAACTGAGCTGTCTTCTCATCGCAGGGCGCGGAATCTGTCTTGGAGGAATGCTGTGGGTGGATGATCCACGGAGTTGTTGTTAGTCGACGGTGCGCAGCATGGGGCGAAATATGATCGTGGTCGAGTTGTTGCCTGATTCAGAGATTCCAGTTGGGTATTCGAGGAGAAAGCATGGTTTAATCAACAAGGCTAAGGAGCTGGGTGTTCTGTGCGGCAACCAAGTGGTCCTGATCGTGTTCAACCCCGATGGTTCCGATGTAGAAGAGGTGGCGACGAACGGGAATGTCATGGATATCTTGCAGAGGTTTGTGGACTTCAGAGAATACCATCTCCAACATGTTCACTCTGTGCAAGTTTCAAGTACCGGGGCGCCTAAGGACCACCCCCAGGCTCCACCCAATTCGACCGTAAACCCGCTCACGGTGCAGCCTACGGGAACTTCGTCGAGCGCACAAGGTTTGAATCCCGCTGTGCGATCCACGGCTTCGACATCGAACACTTAAGTTGTGTGGCGCGGTCCGAGGCCTCACACACAGATTGCGACATTCCCACGCCATATTAGATACTACCGCGGATTCAATGGTCAGCGGCGGAGGGTGCAGCTTGTACCGAGATGTCCTCCAGTTTAATGAGAGTGGGGTGGATGCAACGAATCCCACGACTAGCGACCAGGACTGCTGCCTCGTAAGGGACTCCCTGCAGCGCAATGCACACAATCTGGGTGGGGGATGGATGCAGCGAAAACTAAAGTCAGTAGCCGAGATCGCAACCTGGAGTGGGACATCCTGCAGCCCAATGCGCGTGGGATGGATGCAGCGAAATCCATGAGTAGCAACCGAGACCTATGCCTCGTGTGGGACTCCCTGCAGCGCAATGCGCTGAACTTGGGTGGAGGAATCTCACTGAGGAAGATCTTATGTATTTCGGGGGACTACATTTAATGCCTCAGTCGTAGCAGAACAGTATCCTCTTTCGTTCACATCCTTAAGCTTTGACATTGAGCAAACTTGTTTTAGATGACCTTCGAATATAATATCTTCTTATACAAGGCTTTTAATATCCAGTTGCACGTTTAATTATTTTGGCTTCAATAAACACGCACCAAATTGTTCATAATCATTTTATGGTTTTGATGATTTTGCATGTAATCTAATGAAGATTTCAAGCTTGTGTCTCAAATCAAGAAAGTGCCCCAGACAGAGCACACAGGACGGAGCCAGTCTCGAGATTCAAAGCTTTCATTCCAGACTCGTTAAAATTGTTTTACAAATGGATAGGGTGCAGCTTTAAAGCCACCTGAGTTCCACGTCAACTAGGACGGTAAGCTTGACATTAACTACATGCAGTAATCACTGTCCGTATGAGTACCACAACATCACCACCTGCATTAACGGTTAAGCAACTAACAGAAGGTGTTCTATCAAAAAGATCAGGTGGACCAAGATGTGACTGAATGCTGAAGTACCATTTCAAAGCATTGCTGGAGAAGGGGACATTTGGTCTGTGTAGTACGAGTTGAACCCACCTGCAGTGCACAAGGACAACAATTTCCCCTGGCCAATTTACATTTTATAGAAACCATCAGACTCTGGGTTGATAACATCTGCCACAGAGGGTGTCGTTCTTCTGTGCGACAATGGCTGCCACAATGCTCGTGTTCAGTAATCCTCAAGCACACAAGTTCTGAGGACTACTAATCTCTAGAGCTCAAATTATCATGTATCGTAAAGTTTTCCAACTGGTTGTCTCAGGTATTTACCTATAAAGCACAATCACGAAGTTCGTAGGATGGTATAATATTGTGGCTTCATCCAAGTAAGTTGTGTTTTTATATATGATTTATATATATATATATATATATATATTTATTTAATTCATTTTTACTGTATGGATTGTTTACATGGTATAATCTGAAAATTGCCTTGCTGTGTGTTTTGAAGCAGATAACATGGAATTAGGAGATTTGACAACTTTTTGGCTCAATGAATACAGGGTTTGTTTTAAGCCTCCTCATGGTTCTTGTTTTTTATTCAATGGTGCATCCACGGTACAGTGCACCACAACAACTTCAAGGATGGGGATATTGGGGTTAGCTTTTATTCAAAAGACACCCTTTATTAGTCAATTGAAAAAAAATACTTAAATGATCCAAATGGAAGAGTTGGTGCGGCATTCATCAAATCAAAAAAAAAGTATGAATTGGATCGGGTATGGTTTTCAACCTTTTTATTCCATTTTTGCCATTTTGTAGTTCGACTATTAGTACTAATTAATGACTTGAATTTTAATGCAGGATATGTGGCGCAAAGCCTGTGCAAAGCCACAAGGCTGTGACTCAATTCAAGAGTGTTAGCTGAGAAAATGTGCGGTTTTGAAGTAGTGGACCAAAACAGCCATGACAATAGTCATTCCAACATCGAACGAAAGCATCCAACATTGACAATACATGGATCTAGAATCTTACTTTATAATCAGAATCCCTCTGAATATCATTTTGTGAGTATGCTAAATAATCTGGTCTAACATTAAGCCAAAAGAGGTGATAAAGTTAGAGAGACCAAATTCTAAATCCCGGAAGGACGATGAACATGATTCAAGACTAACTTCAAATTTTAAGTTATCCAATAAAACACCCATATTTACCTTTACGTTAGATATTACAGCCAAAATAATCTTTTATTTAATATCCATAAAGTAACATGAATAAGCCATAACACAAGACATAATCTTTTAATATAAAAGAAGAGTTTTTTATATTATAAAATATTAATTGACATATTTATTATAAATACATAAAATTTTATTATTATTTTATATAATCTATTTTTTACTGCTTACAATTATAGCTCTTTGTTAAGTACTTGAATTTTGTAATTATCTTTCTATCTTTGGATAAAATTCAATTGTAATTAAAAATTAATATATTTCAAATTCTTAATATTTTTTAATCAACAACAAAGAAAAAAATTTACAATAAGAAGAAATGTTTATAAAAATTTAGCTATTAAATTAGCAATGTGTTGTACATATTGGCCACTTATGATATAAGTTGGCTATGTGGTATATATATTGGAGATGTGTCTTTCAAATTCAACACATGTCACATGATCTATAAAACATCATTATATAATTTTTTAATTAGAAAGTAATTATAGAAGCAAGAGTTATGCTTCTTCATTCTTATTAATATCTTTTTTACTTCTAATCTAATTTCAAAAATCTCTAATCTTTTTTATCTTTAGCAATAACTAATCCAATAATTTCTAGATATATATATATATATCTCTGTTAAGTACTTGATTTTTTTTTATTATAATATTATTATATCAAAGCTTCTTGAATTAAAAAATATAGTATTGTAAATGTAGGAGTGAATAAAAAATTTAATGCTTACGATGCATCAACTCAATTTACTACGACCATGAGCAACAGGATTGATTGGAAGTAAAGATGTAAAGATAATTGGAACTAACTTAATATCTACACCAAATCAAATTACTAGTTTTATAGTAAAATATCATTTAATTGCCACCAAAATTAATAGAAAATAAAAGATATTTTTCTTGAAAAGTTTCATAGTATAAGATCAAAGTTTCAAAGATTTATTAATCAAGTTCAATTAGTAATTGAGCTTCAATCTCAAAGTTATCTAATTCTTGAATCAAAAATTAAGTTTATAAGAAGATTGCTTTCAGGTTATACTTTATCATAATTTTTATCTTTTTTTAAATAACATAATTTAATATTAAAAAAATTTGAGGCTTTGTTGGTAAAATTATGTTTTATGTATAAAAAAAATGATATAATATACCTTACAACTAATAAGATTTGTATTTTGAATTGAAGTAATTTTTGACTATTATTATATATTTTATAATTTTAAAATTTTAAAATTAATAAAAAAACAAAATGATATTGTATTTATTAGTTAATTTTTCCATAAATTTCAATATGGTGTAAAAAATTTGATGTTAAGTTTATTTAATCTTTAGACATTGAATCAAGTAATTGATTTTTTTTTGTAAAGAATGACAATTGATTTTTTGAATTTTGATCTAAAAATTTCCCAAGTGTACCTTTACATCATTACAATTCAATAGCAATGCGAACATCTTTTCAATATATAGGCACAAAAGTAAAAGATATGCAAATTAATGCAATATGTTTTAAATCTCTTACTAAGGAAGAAAAATCTTCACATTATTAAGAAGGATTGTGTTTATATTTTAGAAAACCTAAGCATATTGCTAAATATCATATAAAAAAGCAACACAAATATAGAATAAGGAGCATAGTTGTCAATGAAGACAATGTATTAGAAAATGAGTTTGTTTAGTAATAATAGAGATTATGATTGGAATCTTATGCAACATCTAATAAAGGTTTTATTTTTTCTATACAACTATCTTATTATTTTACAATAAATGATTATTGAAGACCTAAAAATTACAAAGTCTTTTTTTTTTGTTAGATTTAGGAGCCTTAAGTTTTTTTTTAGATAAAGACTTTGTTAAAAGATATAGCTATCTATAGTAAAGATAACCAAGCTTATGTATATAGAAGTCATATATAAAAATAAAAATATTATAATAATTTTATTTTATTTAATAAAAAAATAATTATTATATCTATATGTAAAATGTAAAAATTATAAATATAAAAATTATAAATTTATAAATTTATTGACAAGGATTTTAGAATTTAGATTTAGACTTCAAAATTTAGAAATATAAAGTTTATGATTTAGAATTTAGAGATTTAGAATTTAATTTTTAAAAATATAACATCAAGAATTTTAAAAATTTAGGATCTAAATATTAAAAATTTTAAAATTTTAGATAGGTAGATGGAACAAGTTAAGATGTAATATGATCTAACATTTTATAAGTAAAAGGAAAAAATATGCTTTTATTTATTTGTTTCAAAAAAAATCCAAAAAATCCAAAAATTATAATTTATAAATTAACAAAGATAGATGAAGAATCTACATTAATGTTTTTTATTATTACCATGTTGAATTTATTTTTATTAATATAATAAAAATAAAAATCTTTATAATAAAAAATTCAATCATGTATAATTTAAAAATGTATTAAGATATAAAATTAGATGCACTAATTTCTTAAATTTTATTTATTTATTTATTTATTTTTAGTAATTTAGTATCTTTATTTTGTATGATTACTAAAAAATACAAAATAATCATATTTAATATGTCTATAAGAACTTTAAATAAAAATTAATTAAAATTTTATCATATTTATTCTTAATATATACACATATTAAGAATATTAAATCAACCTCAGCAGCCATTAATTCAATCCACCTATCATCAAAATGACTAAAAAATTTATCATTATCTTGTGACAACAATATCCATATGAATACAAAATTAAAAATTAGATTGTTAGGGTATAACATGTCACAATAAAAATCATTAGTAGAGCAATTAGATTAATCATAGATACTTGTTTTACAAAGGATGTTTTACCAAAGATGTTTTATTCATGCTATTTGTTATAACATTGTTGGCAATGGCAGCAACACTTGACGAGATTCAATGCGGTCCAAACATGCATTGTAATGTAGCATACAATACTTGAATCTTCACTTTGAATTGCAACAGCACTACCAAGCTTGTATAGTGCAGTATTGGAATGTGCAAACTCTAAAAGGAGAAAAATATTGTAATATTAAAAACAAGAATTTATATGTTGCAGATGCATTGTGATTTTTCAATAAAAAACTTAGATGGATTAATTATATATTAAATTAATAGGTGATGTATTGATTCACAATCTCACTTGGTTGTATGATCCTCACTACTTGTCTCTGCTTTAAACCATAGTACCACAAAACATGATCATTTTCTTATATCCAAAGAAGCTACAAAAGAAATTCAATGTTTTTTCAAGTTCAAAAGAAATAAAAAGAACTATATATTGAATATAATACAATATATCACATTTTTAATAAGTAAATGGTACTCTCCAAAGGTTGCAATACATGGTTGTCTTAATATGGCCAAATGGTGATTGATTTTTGTATTTTTACCTACAACTAAAGGTAAGAATGAAAGCAAGTATGTATCTAAGTATCCTTTACTATATTATGCTCCAACAAAGTCTTTCCTTTTTTGAGAGTCAATATTTCATATTCATTCAACTAACTAGCTTTCTATTGCCAATTTCTTCAAATGTGCAATTCTTTAGCTATTAACTAAGTACACATGGACAATGTAACTAATGTAAATACTTCCAAAGTAAATCAAGTTTCCATATTAGCATTGAACCAAGCTCTGCATAATATCAGTCCAATAGTATAAATAAAAATTGCATCAAGAGTTTTATATGAATTTGAATAGTACTATAGCATCAAAGCAAGGATTGGTGCCCATGTCTCAAGTAAAGTAATTTGACCATAATATTCTCAATGTAGCCAATATTCACAATGTTTACAACTCAACCAAATTGAAATCTCCTTGATGTTCACTTATTAATCAATATCCACTATATCCATAATCTAGCCAGTTCAATGGGACAAAAATATTTAAAATTTAGTTGGATGAGTAGATAGAATGACAAAAAATTGGAAGCCCTAATTTTCTCTCATTTTACTTCTCTTCTTCACAATAAATCCTAATGTTAGACATAAGGAGGAGTAAGAAAATTACTTCCAAAATCTTCAATATCATACTTCTCTTTTTATTTCTTCCTATCTATCATTAATTGTCTTAGGTTAAAAATCCTTGAAATTTTTAATGACCAAACAATAATGGCCTTATGCATTGGTATAGTAGGTGATACAATTCCTACTAACACAACCAACAAGTATAAGGATGGACTTCAATGATATGTCCAAGTAAGAAGGTTTGTGCAATCTCAATAAGAATGAGACATCATCTTTTGCATAAGTGCATTGGATGATGTTGTTGTATTATGTGTATTCTTGCTTGAGAATGCACCGGGCATCTAACTGTGGAAGGTAAGTAAAAATACAATAACAATTCTATCAAATCTAATAGAGCCTTAAATAAATTACAAATAATTCTTAATAAATACAATCAAACTTTAAATTATTTTTTCAAAAAAGAAGTCAAAAAAGAAATACAAAGAAGTCATGATTTAATTTCAAAAAAAAAAAAAAAAAAAAAAAAAAACTTAAATTTTTTTTTAAAAAAATCTTTAAAGAAATAAAAATAATTTGAATATATACTATAAATAGAAAATTTTAGAAACAATAAATAATTCTTTATAAATATTAAAAATAGAAATTTTAATATAACCTTAATTAAAATCTTAATTGAATCTTAACTAAATCCTAGGTCAAATCTTAATTGAAATCCTAATTGAATCTTAATCAAATTCTAAATCAAATTCTAATCAAATCCTAATCAACTTTAAATCAAATCCTAATCCTAATCAAATCTTAGATCAAATCCTAAGTCCTAATCAAATTGTAGACAAATTCTCATCAAATTCAAGATCTTAAATAAACTCTTAACAAATCCTATGGCAAAACAATTAATGATTAAACTACTGATACCAACAACTAATGATTAAAACATTGATATCAACTCAAAATTTCCACACTTCTTAATATCTTAGTTAGAAACAAGTACAAGAAAGATGAAATTGATTTCACTTATTAATTGAGAGAAATATAAGATAATCCAATCAGATGTTGGGTGGCTTCCTACTCCAACCTGAATGCTAAACTTCCAATGCAAGTATCTCTTTCTTGAACCATTGAATTACTCTCAAATTTCATCAAAATGTTGAAAATCAAGTCTAGTATCCATACAAAAAAAAATCACTTTAATCCAATTGACAAATTGCTAAAGATCTTAGAAACACTCACTAACCCTCAAACTCCAATTTTTGAGACCTCAACCTACAAAAACTTTCTTATACTTTAATCTAATTATTTGGTTAACCTCAAAATTTGCATATGCATTCAGAATTAGTAGGATATTACACAATATCTAACAAATAAAAGTTTGTTTAGATGAGCTAAGTAAACAATATCATGAACATATACAATTGTGCAAGTAAAATCAAGTGTAGGTATGTGTTACATACTATATGGTACTATAAGTGGAAATAATCTTTCTTTAGATGGAATTTTGATTTACAATATTAGATTCTTGCAAAGACCACATTTGTGAGTTTAAAGGGTTGTGTTAATAAAATACTTCTTTATTACAACTACTAAATTTAATACTTTTAATCATACAAGATCATTTTTGTGAAACACCTATAATATCCAACTCAAGATATTTAAATTAGACAATTGGCAAGAAGACTATACAAGCAGGATGCTATATGTGCCAAGAAGTCTATATACATGGGATCTGCTTTTAGACCTCAAATTCTTATAGAAGAAGTTTTTGCTCTGATAAGAAAAATTACACAATAATATTTGATCTATGAGTTATCTTTTAGTTTGTTTTTGAATCTATCTATCAAACTTTTGGCTTCAAAGAAAGCTTTTGGATGTAGCCCTATATATATGCATATCTATTTTATTTCATGAAACTAGGCCTTCTTTAGAAGAAAGTTTGTCTTTTTTTTTTGAAATAATTATTTTTGAAATACTACTTATTGTATTGCCAACTATTGCAAACTATATCGACAAATACTATGCTGATTTTTTCTATGTACTGCAAATCAAATAATTATGAAAGAATAAAAATATGATTCTTTATTTTTTAATTTTTATTTCAATCTTTTTAATATTACTTCTTAATTTTTTTTAAAACCATCTCTTTAAAATAGGTCCAATTAAAAATTCTATAAAAATTTATTATTTATAATATATAAGAAAATAAATACATTATATCTTATTTTTTTATCTTGATGTATTTAGACCTATTTTTAAAATATAAAAATAATTTAAAGATGCTTAACAATTTCAATCAATCAAAATATATATAATTTAGGATTTCTTACCTTATTTTTTAAATTTTAAGGTATGTTTTAGAAGGAAGATATTCGATCAATTTTTAATTAATCATTTATTATATATATAAGAATATAATTAAATAAAAAAATATTAAATCAATCTATTTAAATCTTAAATTAATCTACTTTATTTCTATAATATAATCTTTGTGACCACTATTTAATTTGGAAATAGAAAAAATATGTGAACTCAATAGACAATAGCAAAGATTAACCTAAGATTTTTATAAAGGAAGAAGGGATTTAGAATCTCTTTCACCTTGTTTCATAATGGTTCCAATTTTGAAGCATTCTTTAGTACCCTATTCCTACATACATATACTATAGGGCACATCCTCGCCTAATATCAGCTACCCATATTCCATATTGCTTCTTTTCTTATGCAATAGAACTTTGTTATTACACCTTTAGCTTTGCCAAGAAATCAAGGTTGAATCAAATAAATGAATTCATAGGTTTTTTTATTCCCAAATTGGAGAAGTAGTTATAAAAATTGAACCATGACAGTGAGGTGGGTTGATACAAGGTTTCAGTAGCTGAGTTCAAAGACTCCTTCGGATTTGTTGCAATTTTCAGACATCCAGCCTTGTGGGAATTGCAAGGGAGTTTGTCACCTGCCCAGACGCATGAATGCAAGAAGCAGGATAGTCTATAGCTGCCCATTCACCATTGTGAATGGTTCACAAACCATTTGAAGTAAATTTCATTTCGACGACAGTTCGGAGATAGAGATGCGTATCACTGACAGCTCTTCGATTTCACTCTGAAGCATGGAAGAGAAAATGGTTAGAAGTAAAATCACTCGGTGATGAAAGTGTGTCGATGATCATGTTTTACAGATCACCGATTTTGGTTTTAGGCGTCCACTGGGATCAATGGTCCGAGGGCACTCTCAATCTTTGGGTGGAAAATAACTCTCGCCACTTTATGATGGCATTGATGATACAAGGAACCATCATCCACCACAATCATTCGATTTGCTTTGCAAAAGAATAAAGCGATGGCTCATATTATTTTGCCACTGGAATGTACATGTACAATAATTCCTCCGCTGAGGGTCTTAATCGTTGTTCACGATTTCCTGTGAACTGGTTTAATACACGACGTTAACGAGAACCATTTGGAAACGGTTAGATCATGTTGCTAGAGACAGTTTTAAGGAGAGGCGCACAATCCAACTCAGATCGACATCGCGCCTCCAGCTGCGCACGTCAACTGAGTCGGCACCATTAATGGTGATCCGGAACTAGGCGGAGGCATCCGACCAGGGTCGTGGGGATGAGAGCACATCTGCACAGAGACAGAGCAGCAAACGGTAACAGTTCAACCAGAAGCTCAGGTTCAGTGACGTAGGCTACAACTTCAGAGTCACTAGAAAGAACGGAGAAGTCAATCGCATTGATAATACACAAAACATACGAAAGAGAAGGATGAATAGAAGGCTGACCGAAATCCTGATGAGTTCCGGCGCTTGAGAGGAATGGCAAGCTTTGGGCCGCAAGATTTGGCAATATGAGGGACGTCGCCTTCACCAGACCTGGTCGTCCAACAGAAGAGGACCTTCCACGATTGCCAGAACCAGTGAGACTTGAAGCTTGTGCATCGGCTGGGCCAGTCTCGCAAGACGGAGGGTGGTAGAACGACCGTCCTGTTTCAGGATACCGCCCATAGAAGCGGAACGCGATCACGAACCCCAAGTCCGCCAGCTCCCGCAGCGACTTGATCTGAGCCATGTTCAAAACCGCAATCGATACCCAACGCTGGAACAAACTTGCTGCAGTCTGCGGAACAGTGCGGTTCGTTGTTAGCACTGCAGCAATCCGCTCCACCAGACACCGGGACCACCCTCCCACCAGTCGTCAATGTCGGGAAAACTGCAACTCCTCACCGGTCGCAACCAGTGGTCGCATTTATGGAACACCTCAGCGCTCCACGGATCCGGAAACCAGAGGCGCATCTCACAAGGTCACGCTCACGACAACCTTGTAAGACACCAACACCCACCACACATACACACACATACACACACGAACACACGCCCCAAAACACAACCCAGAGGTGGTGGGGGAGGGATGCAGGGCCCTAAAAGCAGGCACCACTGCGCACAGTCAGAGACGCGGAACCACAGCTCGCAAACCAAACTAAGCGTGGCTCACACAATTCTAGACGAAAAACAAAAAGGAAAAAAGGGGAGATCCCTCCTCCTTAACACACTCCCACACGAATTCCACGTTCGGGTCAATCCAACCCAGTCAGTCAGTCGCAAAGGCCACGCCGCACTTTTGGACGCAACTCCTCATCTCTAAACAATATGGATTTTAGTCTACGCACTGCCACTCGCAACCACCGCAGCAACAACAACAACAACTACTACTACTACTACGGCGACGCCGACGCCGACGACGACTACGACGAGGGCGATGGCAAGCTGGGATTGGCGGTGTCGGTGAGACGGTGATTGAACTTGTTCGGCTTTTATTGTTGCAGTTCGTGAGCAAGTTCTTCTGCGCATCCTCTTTTAGCTTATTTGAGTTTATTTTGAAGTCAATGGGATAATTGTATAAATTAAATTTTAAATTTTTTTTCTTAAAATTTATATAATTATTAATCAAATTTATTTTTCGCTGACAAAAAACTCAAAAAAATATCAGAAAATTATAGTAAACGATTAATAAGTTGTCCCATCCAAGTGCTTGATGAAAAAAATTCCTCTGCAAAGTTCCTAGGAAAACGGTTCTTCAACTATGTAATAATAGAAGGTGGTTCAGTCATTCTAATATTAGATCCATTATTGGTTTTCAAATACTTCTTAAACAACCTTGAAGATACAACATCCTTTTCTATTTATGTTTTGATTGAAACAATCACCATATACTTTTTCAAAAGACTGTACTTTCTTATGCAATTTTGTGCAATGAGCAATAGCATGAGTTTTAGGTTTAATATTTTTCCCATAAAGAAGGCTAGAATATGCAGTATTTGTGTGTCTTTTAATTTTAGAAGTACAAGGGTTAGAAGAGTTTGATGCAACTTTTTTTCAAAGCAACCATATTCTTAAATGAATACACAATATTTTTAGAATTAGAACTATGTAATTTTTAAGTGTAAACTTATGTAACTATATATATATATATATATATATATATATATATATTTAAATGTACAAATATCCTATAATTTTATATTTTCACCTCATTAGTATTTTTTTTATCTAATTAGAAGTATACTACATTAACAAAAAATCAACAGGTTGATCAAATACACCAATAGAACTTTTTTCTCAAAATCAGTCAATTTTTTTATCAATTTGGTCTGTATTGGAGAAAAAGATCTAGCTTGGAGATATTATTAATTATTTATAAAAGTAATACTATAACTTTATTAAGATTAGATGGCAATTTATTTTTTGTTTGTATGGATCACTAATTTAAAAAGAAAACAAAAATGGTGAACTAACATCTTCATTTATAGAATTTCAATATTTTCATTAAACCAAACAGTTGTCATTAGATGTGCACATAAGTTCTAAAGGAAAAGAATTTTTAAAACAAATCATAGTATACTTTGAAACTTATATGCAATCAAGAATTTAAAATAGATTCAACACGTCTTTTGCTTAAACAATATATATATATATATATATATATATATATATATATATATATTATAATTCCTTACTGAAAATCATAGTATACTTTAATGATTTTTAATATACAAAATAAAAAAATTACATAATATGTAAAAAAAATAAGAGTATAATATTATTATTATTGATAATGGATCAAACTTGAAGAACAATTCCAATCAAAAAGAAAAGAAGCCAAACAAGCCTTGTCTAAAAAATAACTGCAATCAATAATGTGGTAGATTTTGTAAGAAAAGAGAGTTCTCGAGTTATTACATGTGAAATATTTTTATTGGTGCCACGTTCTGTTTTTTTGTAATTTGGGGGCCAACATTCTATGTCTTCAATCATTAATTGAAATGTTTGAACTCTTCATGGTATTCATTTGAGAGTTAATTAAATTCTAACTTATTCAAGTTGTGAAAATATCTTTTTATTGTTGAGCTCAATTCAGGAACAATATAATCCCAAAATAGTATGATGTTAAAAATTAAGAGGTGTAAACCAAGGCAGAAATAGAAAAATTAGAAACGTGATCAAGATAAGCAGTTAGGTGAATCCAAAATCCATCAAAAAAAAACAAACAAAAAGTTTAGAACAATTCAATTATAAAACTAGAGGATCCGAAGGGTCACGACTTCAAGATCGTCCACCTTAATTTGGAGAGAAACAACCCTCTAAAGACCCATGAAATGGCGATTGTCCAAAGGACACAATTTACAGGGGCACAAGACAATGTCTATGCAGACATGTGTACTAGACAAGCGCCAGGATGTTGCATGCTTGTCACTACTGTCATGGAACATGCACAAGAGGCTCCACTTGTTATATTATCTATCACAATGTGGTTCAACAGAGTCACCGACTCTTCTTTGACGGCAAGGGAAATACGCTTCGTTTTTCATTGACAGATCGTGCCACGACGTAAATGCGATATTAGATTAATAATTTTACCACGTAAGGTATACTGATTTGCAGTTGTCTAATCTTTGAATTGAGCACTGATCCCGCGGCATCACTTGAATTACATGATAAAATGTTAAAATGATAAAAGGACTACTATTTCCGACTTACCACATGACACCAAAGGCTCACAATTTCAGTACACTCAAAGAGAAATTTTATCTGATTCATGGAGCAAATATAAACGGGACAATCATGACATCCTTGCTTATGTGCAGAATAACCATGATAGAGGTTGTGCAGCAAGTGCTTCTCCAAATGTTATTAAACATGGGTTCAAACCCAAGAGCTCCACTGATCATCGCTCACATCTTTCCATTGGAAAACTAGTTGTACAACAAAGTAGTTCTTCGACTTTGTCATTATCTTCTAACTCTATCTTTGTCACAGAAAACCTCATTTCACTAAAGTGCATTGCTAACTGAAAGACCGCTTCGCTAAAACGGATCCCTTCAACGAATGAGGATGAAAAGTTGGTATACCGGATAACGACAGATGGTTCTCCTCCGCTCCTAATGCCTCTCTTTCCTCCTGATGGTTTCTACAAACTTCGCGCAGAAACTGGACAAACTAAGCTTACAGAAGGCACCCACCTTAGAGCAATAATCGAGGGTAGTGTCTCTTCAGGATTGGGCTTTTCGACTACTTATCCTTTTCAGCCTCGGGAGAAGCGACCTCCTCATCGTCAGACTCTGAACCGGCAGATCCAACCATACGCTCCAGAGACTCGACGTCCGTTTGTTCGGACAGAGTATCGATCCGAATCTTGTTTGCATCATCGCTGCAGCAAATAAAAAGAAAGTAACCACCTTGATACAATACTTTTCAACTCAACTCGAGATCTCACAAAACCCAACATGAAACTTTTGAGTCCATAAATCGAGTACATAATATCAAATGCTTAGCAATAATTAAAAAGTAGTGTATGAAGACTTACTCGGTAACACCAAAAGTTGTCTTGATGGTCAAGGCACTTCTATTATCACTCGTAACAAACTCCTCCAACTGGAACACACCAGCAGCAAGTAAGATAAATTCTACAATGAAAAATACATCCGCAATCTAATCCAAAACATTCTTAAACATATGATAAGAAAACACAATTGATGACACATGACAGTCACATAGCCTTGCACATTGTGAATCTTTGGTTGGAACATGTCATGTGAGCAAAGTCAAGAAAATCAACCATGAGTTTGTTTAATTGGACTTGGAGGAATATACATATCTTTTAATCCTGAAAGCATAACTGTACTAGATTCCTTTAGAAACATGCCTAAATTGTTGCAGCAATTGGAAGGAAGAACTTACTTCAGAAAGATAGAGGAGCTTGGAAAAGAGCGCCTGAACTGCAGCCTTTCGCTTAATACCCTTTTCTGTCATGCCTTCTGTATTCATCACGACTGGGCCTGGCACAACCACATTCTTTAACTGTTGATATATTCTTTATCAAATCGTTCAGAGAATACAAGTCCCTATTTCGGATATACCAGAAAGGATGCACTTGGAGCAAACGAAAAGACAACAGAACATGCCAATATGGAGGAAGGTGTACAAAAAATGAAGTTTAATATATATAACCAAAAGACATTCAAACGAAGAACAATAGCCGCACATGGGTGAGGTACCTTTAGACTTCACTAAGCGTTTGGCAACGTCATTCAACACATCAGCAACCTCGGATTCACTTAAACCTGAGACCTTTCTCAAGTGGAGCAGGTCAGCAACTGTCTCTGGGGTGAATGGCCGCTCATTTAGAGCATAACGTACGTATTTGCGCAGAACCTCGCCTAGAGAAAAATTGCACTGCACATCTCCACAAATTAAACCATAGAGTAAGCTTTCTAATCTTAAACCGACTATGATCAAAGAAAAGGTTCAGAAAGTTTGTTTCACGACATGAAAAAATTAGCGAGTGCTAATGTTACAAACTCGCATGTGAAGGAAAGATGTTTAGAAAGATAATTATCGAATCGTAGAAACCCCACAACTTCTTAAGTCAAAATGCAAATTACCTACTTATCTGAGATAAATCGCTAATCGAAGTAACCAGCAACAACGAGCAACAAAAAATTTGATTCATAAGAACGATGTCTTCGTAATGTCTTCGTTTAGAGAACAATGAACGAAAAAGATTGATGCACACCTAGACCTTTCACACTGATAGATTCGACAGTTAAGATAAGTGCGTTTTAGACGAGCATTGTATCCAATGTGAGCGTCAGAATAGAAACTGCGGTTCTTAATTAAAGAAAAAGAACGAGAAAGGTGGATCAGTGATATTACCTTGTTTGCGAGCTTCTGAAGCTTGTTGGCATCCAATTCATCTCTTTTCGTAGGAAAGTACTCTCCTAAACTTTCCACCAAAAATGCATTCTTTCCTACCTGCCACCACAGTCTTTCGTCAGATACACAGCCAAGTCGAGACAAGCACAGGTTTTAGGGGCGGGCTGGGAATGAGTCAAAAATTGAATCCCTCTGAAATGCAAGCAAGAGACAAAGGCTAATTTGGGAGGGGGGGGGGGGGAGGGGGGGATGCAGTCAGAAATTACACTAAATACCCAAGAATTCTCGAAAACTTATATATTTACCCCTGTCGCTAATGTGGCCAAACGAATCTACCTGGCGTTTTCGTTGTCCTTTGGGGGAAGTGTATTTCTTGTACGTCCTGACACAGGCAATGACAAAAGTAATTCCTAGGTAGGCTAACGGCAATGCAACGAGCCAGGGCATGCGAGTCTCCGCTACTCGCGGCCCAGGAACTCTATCAATTGCTTGGCCAGTAGCAATAACAAGATCCTCGGCCTTTTCTTGAATCCAGGATATTTCTACTTCCTCCTCTTCCTCCTCCTCTTCGCCGGCAGGTGTACCGACCTTATCCACAGCGACTTCAACTTCTGCCACCTTCTTCGCTTGCACAACAAACGACGGCGAAATCCAACGGCCAGGTGACGAATTCCAAAGGACAGAAGAATGCGAAATCGTGGCAGCGTGCGAGCTAAACCCTAGAAAACCCGAGTTGCATCGTCGAATTGAGGACGAAGCTACACGGTTGACTGCCTCGACTCGTGAGCTTGCTACGTCTACAATTCTGGACCGAATTCGACGAGGATTGGATAAGAGAGGAGCTGAGGGAATGGGCGACACATTGGTGCCATGAAGGGAGGCTGGGGAGGCGAGAACACAGGCGTAGGAGCACCGCAACACCTCGGGAGCTGCTGCTGCCATGGTCGCCATAGCCACAACCAAAACTCTCCTTCCTCCAAAGCCCTAACTGGGCTTTGCTCACCCTCCATCCTTGTTTCTCCCTCTGTGCCCGGTTCCCCTTTGTTCCCAATATGTTCCCCATGCCCCATCTCTGAACCCTTGCTGAAACTGGCTCACCTTGCTTTGGTGGTTTCTCCGTTCCCCTTGTTCTCCACGGGAACGGCGTTCCCTATCATTCTTGGTTGTATCCAATCATAGGTAGAAATTTAGATTGATGGCCAATTTTTAAATCATAATAAAAGAATATTTGTTCCATATCATAAATTTCTTTTATTTTTTATTTTGTTTAAAATTCAAGGTTTTCAACTTTTTTTTCAGATGGATTTTTAATCAAGACTTTCGAAGTGTACTTCTAAGTCTAAAGGCCTCTAGATTCTTCACAAAACTACTGCAATAATTTTCACTTAAAAAACAATAACTCTAAAAGGTTGTTAATCCTATAATAATTTTGATGGGTAATCTACAACTACTATTCTGCATTTAAGTGTATCAGTTACTGTGAAAAACAAATCCAAAAACAAAACAAGTACATGTGAGTGGCAGCAAAATTGCACCTTACAAGAAAACTATACAAATTTTCCATCTTGATAAGATTGAGGATGCAGCCTCAAAGATAAAATTAAAACTCATTAAGTATAAAAGTCAATATCTGGTTTTTAATTGTTAATAAATATGGAAGATGTAATTCTCTCTATGTATTAAAACCTATGTATTAAGATCAAATATATATATGAAATATCTTTAAAATAAAGATTTTGATTTCTTGCGACAACAATTATAATGTATTTAAAATTTACCTAAGTGGGACTCACAATAGTACAATATTTGGATTGTGATTAAAAACCTCAACTCAGATTTAAATTAAATCTAAAAGAAAATTTTCATTTTGCTTCCATAACAAAGCATATAAATCAAATGTTTCCATGTTGAATATGAGTATTTGAAGTTGAATATGCTTACAATCAAACATTAAGTACATCTTGTATGTTGTTGTTTAACATTTGATTTTGAAATGATAATAAATAAATAAAAATCCTAATACTACTACTGATAATAAACTGTGATAAATACTGAGAATCTACCAGATATTAAATATTTTTGTTACAAACATGTTCTGATTTCTTCATTAGGAAATGACTTAATGTAATGTAGGGAGATTGTAAAAACAAATCCTTTCTTCATGTATCAAATAAAAAAGCATTAGCATTATCTAAGATTTTTAAAATATGATATTACTATTGATCTAAGATAGAAAATTTCATCATGCACAACACATTTGAATGAAGTATACTAATTAAAGTTGCAATACTCAAAGTCAATAAAACAATGTAGAAATTATCGTAATTGTGAAATCAGATGATAACAAGAATACATTTACCTGGGTTTACATGAAAATAGAATGCAAGTGAACAAATTCTCATTGAGTATCTGAAGCCATTGTTATAGGATGTAGCATTTTCGTGCCTCTTCAAACAACTTAACACTAATGTAGTTCACAGCATAAAGAGTTTTTTAAAAAAATGTTAAATTAGTGTTTTAATTTTAGAATTAATAATCAAATGGTTATACTTTTACAAAATTAATAAATTAATAAATTATACTTCATAATGCAAAGAGGCAATTCAACACTGATGAACTCACACTGTGGGGTGAATGAAGATTTGAATTCCCAAGTCCCACGGCGCATCGTCAATATCGAGGAGGCGTCGTTAACGAGGCATGCTCGTCACGGCGTCGAGAAGATTCTCAATCCTTAGCTGTGACAATGCCGATGCCCCGGCAGCTTGAAGCTTCGCAACTTGTCCTTGAATTCACGGTTACGGGAGATCCCTTGCTGCACAAGCATGACACAATCTCACTCAACCCTGCGATAATGCGTCGTCGTCTAGTCGTTGAGGATTTCTTGTCAGACGAGCACGTTAACTTTAAACCAAGCACCGAAAAAAACACACACACACGGCTTCATAATGCGGTTTCCCTTCGCACTGAAGGGATCGGAAAACTTGAGGTGACGCTACAATTAGTGAGAGCTCGTTTCCTGGTGCACATGTGCGTGAATGACGACGACACCGCACGATTCCACCGGGGTGGTTTTGAAACAATAGACACGTTGTAATCGAGGCCGTCGCGAAGCGCTTCAAGGGCTGTGGGGATCCCACACCTACCTACTTCAACACCCAGTTTGACCAGTGAAGGCTACACGAAGATGATGGTCTACAGCTGATAAGCCTGGCGCATGTAAATTTCAGAGAATTGGCGTGAGAAGAGGAGCGCACCACGATGCTGCTGTGCGAGGCAAGTTTTGCGCAGGTCTTTTTGCGACCAGCATCTGCAGTAACGGATTATTTATTAAGAGAGCCTCAGGAGCAATTTGACCGGGATTCTGTTTCGTGCAGTGGCGGTGGGGGAGACGATGATAAACATTATAATTTTAAAACTAGATTATAAACATTATAATTATGTATTTATTGGTATATACATACACACACAATGTGATTATAATTTATTTTTGATAATAGAGATTTCATGAATATCCTGAATGAATTTTGAAGCAATAAAACACGTAAATGTTCAGATTTTTTTCTGTGTTTTTTTATTAAACAAATACCAAATAGGCTTTAGGAGCTATAATTGTTTTTTTTTAAACGCCAAAATTTACTTGGTTTGGTAGCTCAAGATGTTGAAATCTGTTCAAAAAGAATAAATCTAAAATTGAGATTTAATATATAACAATGGTATTTTACAGTAAACAAAAAAAAACAATAATAATAATAATCTATGACTTAAATTAAAATATTCAATTTGTGATTTGTTACACTAGGGTACTTTTAAAAAAACCAATCTTCTAACAACCGTGATGAGTACATTATGAGTTGCTAACTTAAATTATGTGTTATTAGTTATAATCTTTAAGTTAAAAAAATGAATTAATCCAAAACTACTTCTTTGACACAAATATTAAATACATTACCGGCCATGCATGTATTTATCATAAAAAAATTATGATAATAATAATCATAATAATAACTTAAATATCTTGCAATAAAGAGTTATATTAATGATTTTAAAAATAATCTAGATAGATTTAAAGTAATTCAATGTAGAAGCATGTAACAAAGCTTTATTATAAGAATATATATATATATATATATATATATATTTATATTTGTTATTTGTTATTACACAAATACTTTATGTGAATAGTTTAAGATAAAATTTGTTACCATGTCATCTAAGAGTTACATGTAAATTGATCATAAACTAATTTAGGATTGGACTATTTTTTATTTGAAGAAAAATTTTAAACTATAAAAATAGGAGAATATTAAATAGATCCGTGCTTTTACTAAATAGATCCACTCTTAATGAAGAATGTAATAATTATAATGAATGTGGTCAGTTTTTATTGGTTGTAAATCCAATAGTAGAGAAATAAATCTACATGTTTTTTTAATTTTTAAAATTTTTCCATGATGGTTAGAATAGGTCGATTTAATAAAAATTTATGTCCATTTAACATCCATCTAAAATTAATATCAAAACAATGCATGTATAATTACAAAGTTAATTATAATCAAAGAAAAAATAAACTATTTATCTTATATGAAAATTTGAAGTATTTAAATTTCATAATAATTGATGTGAAACATCTACTTTTATATAACAACAAAACAAAAACAAAAAAAACTTAATAATACAATATACTATTATCATTAATGAATTAATACAATGACAAAATACATTAAAAATATAGACAATGTATTGCACTTGTTTGTGTAGTCTTGTGTTGTTTTATGAGTACAGAGTAAAATATTGGTATTTGAATACACTCATTATTCTAATATGTAAACACTAATTCAATAATAGATTAATAAGATGATTTATTATTAACTCAAATCTCCTCAAATAAATAATAATAAATATCATATAAATTTTTTTGTGTAAGTATTTAAATGGATGAATAGTCAAAAAATGGATGAATAGTCAGGTAGAATGGATGAATAGTCAGGAAAATGGATGAATAGTCATGTAGAATGGATGAATAGTTAGAAAAAGTAGTTATCATCTATAGTATAGGAGTTGGTATCTCGGGGTAGTATAAGGAGGATGGGAGAGGGGAAGAAAAGGCCAAACTGTGAGAGTTGTGAGCCGGGGTAAGCTTAGTGCTACCTCTTTTCTTTTGTTTGTTATTTCCTTTGAATAAGAGGATTGGAAGTTTCTGAATATTGTGAAATGAATTATGGAATGGAAATGTATTTGGTATTATTTGAAAAGAAGAAAGATTGAATGCTGAAATCTGATTGTAGTTCAGAATAGAGAGAATGAGTCTGTGTTTGTCTAAAACATTGTAATGTGAATGGTAGTTCTGTGTGAAGAATTCCAGAGATTGGAACGAGGGTAATTGTGTGCTGAAAGCTGTGAGGGCACAGTATTACAGTTGGAGATTATGAGGGTGAATATATTGGTAGAAATAGCAGTTATTGGTATGACTGAATTATTGTAAGGAAGAGACTGATAAGGTGAAGGAGGAGATTATAATTTCCTTGTGTGTTCAGATATTGGAAATAGAGACGATACATTCATGAGGTAATTGATTGTATGACCTTAACGTGAACACTTAAGCAACTAGTCATTCCTCGTGTTCGAATCCCCTTATACGGGTTTATGCTGGGAGGTTTCTTCCGGAATAAGTAAAACGAGCAATCACATTTTGGTGCCGCTGCTGGGGAGTGATAATAGCTTTGAGTGTTAGGAATTAATTACCAAACGTGTGAGAAAATTGGCAATGGAAGACGATTTTAGTAGTGTTTGAAGAAAGAGTATGCTTATTAAGAATGAGAATTTAACAGCAAAGAGAATAAAGCAATCAAAAGAAAGAATAGAGCGATCGCAAGCAAGAAATTTGTTGGGTAATGAGCGAGATCGTAAATTAAAAAAGAAGCATCGACAAAGTTGGATTAAGTCGTGGTTGCATACCTATCGGCATATTCGATCCTACCCAGAAGACGATCAACCTCTAATATTTCAGAAGTACATATCGTTAAAGAAATTGTTAAGAGCACTCGCAAGGAGCGCTGCTAATAGTCCAGTAAACATCTCGAAGCCGTTAACCGAAAACGAGGAAGGCACAGAGGAATTAGGTACCCCATTGGATATCTTTTCAATTGGAAATACGTCCGATCCTAACAAGACTAGTTTTGAAGATCGGCATAAATCACTTGCTAATAAAGATCAATTCATAGTATATCAAAACCTGTCGTTTTCACCTAATATTCAACTAGTAAAATTATTTGGGGATAATAATAGTCAATCGAGAAGGCCTGGAAGTTCGAAAAAGACTTTTACGGGAGATAGTTTTTATTTTAATAAGAAATTGAGCGGAACATCGGCATCTTTAATGACGTCCGGAGGACCAGCAGTTCCGATTGCAGTTCAAATGGGTGCAGTGGGCGATCGAACGACTAGTGTCGCGCCATTACCTACTTTTCGGGGTTTGCCAGGTGCGGATCCAGATCAACATTTGTCTCAATTCTTGACGGTGTGTGTAGCCAATAATGGAAGAATAGAAGACATTTGGCTGAGATGGCTGCCAACGACATTGAAAGACACAACGTTTGAGTGATATAACCGCCAACCTGTGGGACAATTTATCAATTGGGGGGCATTGAAAAATACATTTTTAGCCCATTTTCGACCAATTGGTTTTGAAGAACGTCTTAGAGAAAAACTAATGAACAGCAGAATTGTACCAAGGGAAGCTGTACCGTCATATTATGATCGTGTAGCGGATATACTTCGAAAATGGCCAAATAATCAAATGCCGGAATCATTTGTGTTGTCCATATTGGTTAATGGACTACACCAACTAGAATTGAAAATGTTTGTAAAGGAGGCCCAATCAGCCACCATTGCATCATCTCTTGAGCGAGCAAAAGTATGGGAGGAATGTCACTATGACCAAAACTTAACAGTTGGACCCACGATGATTCCATCTCAAGGAGGTTATCAAATGACAAATTGGAATGACGCATCGGGAAGTTATCTGGGAAGGAATGATTATGGTACAATTCCATAGGGAATAGTGGATGTCGTTCCATTGCAAGCTGTACCACCATCATCATCACACCCATATGCGCCTTATAAATATTGGTGTTTGAATACACTCATTATTCTAATATGTAAACACTAATTCAATAATAGATTAATAAGATGATTTATTATTAACTCAAATCTCTTCAAATAAATAATAATAAATATCATATAAATTTTTTTGTATAAGTATTTATGCAACAGTAGGTAATTCATATTATTGTAATACATACACAAATATAAATTTGAGAAAGAGCTATTTAAAACAAAAGTGTCAAGTGAAATGGAAAAGTCTTAACTCTTTTAGTGTCACATTAGAAAAAAAAATTAAGATATATATATATATATATATATATATGGAATAATATAAATTAGGTTTAAAAAATATTAAAAAACCATCTTTTTATATGTATTATTTTTTTGGTCATTATTATAAAGGTTATTTTATATTGCTAGGAGTAAATGAATTATGGTTTGATTCTTATCAATAGCATTATTGTATATATTATTGTTTGAATTATAGGCTACCAAGTTAAAGTGTGTAATTTGAAAATCTTTGGACTTACATGGATTCTTTATTTGGATGAGCATCAATTATATATTTGCATCTTCTCTAATGCCATTGAGTTTGTTTTTGGCAGCTATTCTTTAATTCTATGATTCATAGTTTACGAAAGAAAGGTTTTAAAAAAATAATCTTATACTTTTAATCTATTATATTATTATTTCTTTTTGAGAATGGCAATGAATATTTAACTCACACCGTTTAATTTATTTATTTTAAAAATTTATTTAGATTTTACTTTTCTATCTTCCTATAAATACAAGTTTGCAAAAACATCACAAACATTTCTTTAACAATGGATGTCCTTCTAAATAGATATCCATCTATTTGCACCTTAGGCAACCTATTGTCACCCAAGGTCTAAGAATGTAACAAACTTATATTTCTTTACTTTTATTACATACTATATAGGGATGATAATGTTAAAGGATTTTAGTTTTAGTTTTAGAGTAAAGGATTTAGGAGTTGGGTATGGGGGGTTGGGCAACCCCGAAGCAGCAGGCACCTGATTCCACGTCACCACTTGCCAAGTGGCAATAGCCCAGGACCGACCCCGATGAGCAAGTGCCAATTAACTGTCCGTGCCAAGTCACCCACAAACACCCTGGGGCTCATGCCACCGTGGCACACCACCTTCGAGCAACCCTGGTTTGCTGTGTGAGCCGCCGCCTCATGCCCAGTTGCGACGGTAATCCTAATTCCATCGCTGGAGCACTCCATCCCCTGCACCCACTCCACTCCACTCGCACTGTTTCTCTCTCGCAGCAGCTGTCGCCAGCGTAGGTCTACGTCCGCCACGGCGTTAGCAGCTGTCTGGACGACTTCGCGGACGAGCTCCAGCGATGGAATTAGGGGGACGGGTCTGGAGGGAGACAGACAGACTGGAAACGCGCTTCGTCGCCAGTTAGGTATGTCAGGACATCGACTGACCTCGTGTGCAATTTAGAAATGCCCCATCGCCCTTCACCATCTGGGCTGGTGGGCAGGCAGGCAGGTTGGCAATCCGGTCAATGATTGAATCTGTCGAGCAGGAATCCGTTGGATCTTGTTGACACGATCCATGACGAAAAATAAATAAATAAATAGATGAAAGCAAACAGAAAATCGTGTGTGTCGTCAACCTGAAGGACAAATCAGAACGGTGTTTTATCGATAATTGCACGGTGTTATTTAGTGGGGCTTCAGAAAACCATCCATTCAAATAACCGCACTGTGGGAGCTTCACACCCCCACACGTAATGCGCACATCATCAACATTACCAACAATGATCATCACTTTATTGTTGTGCTAAGCAATCACGTTACAAGATCACCCTGTGTCATTTGACAGTTGCTGTTCCTACATTACGCGTCTTCGTCAATCTAGTTCTCCCACAAAATTGAAGTATTACTTCAATTCTCAAAATACTAAAAAAAAAAAAAAGAGCATTTTCTTGGAAGTGTTAATTTGGTTGTCTGTTCGATACTTAAACTCGTAACGGATAATTATGAATTTCAATTCAGATTCTGTTCCTGTGAATGAATTAATTTGTCCATCAAATTTTCTATGTCGTTGCAAATTGTTTTCATACATAGCTCACCTCAAATATAACACCAACTCTGTAAGTATTGTACCGAATTTGCTAGTTATTAGTACCAACTCCTGTTGTTCGCCGTGGATTGAGTTAGACGCTATCGGGACACGAGCATCGTCGACGCGTCGGCTACGGACCGGGGTCGCTGCAACGAACTTTCCACCAGTCGGCGTTTCATCAACTAGGATGCCAGTTCCGAGAAATAGCGACACGGATTCTGTGCATAACAATTCGCTTCTTCACGCGAGGTCCGGTGAAATTACGGACCTTCATGTGGACACAGATTCTCCAACAAGAATCCTCGAAAGCAGAGTGTGTGTGAATCCGCGAAGTCTATAACCCAGTTTCAGCATATGCAAATATATATGTATATATAGGTAAAGTTGTGTACAAAATAGAAAACACCATCGACAGTGACCTGTGACATCGGCAAGTTTTCTAGTTCGTTGCTAACGATCCCTCTCCCTACACGATGCCGTCACGTGACGATAAATGGCACGGGGAGGGCGCAGATTTGCAACTGCCGCGGTGAGCAGTGGGATCACTGACCTAGGACCGGTCGAGGATAGAGAGCGTCGACCGGGGAGAGCTGATTTAGCGTGAGTCTTGTGCTTTGTCAGAGTTCCGCGTGACTGTGCAACTGGTAAAGCAGGCGATGGAATGGGCGGACAGCGGAAACCAGGTGGACTGATATCGCAGGTGTGCTATGCCCTCCGAATGCGAGCTGGTTTTAACCCAGCTGCCACTTGTTTTGAACCGTTTCTCCATCAGCTCTCGCTCTCCGACAGCACAAAGGTGGTTACTAGTCTGCTTCAGTCTGCCCGCTCCGTATACTTTAGTTATCAGCTTCTGTTCGTCGAATGCAGGTCTGATTTGAGCTCCAAGCTGATGTACGCGCAAAGGATTTCCTTATTTTTATGTAATGTGTGTTAGATTAGTTGGGTGTTGTTTGCGGGGGAGCATGCTGTAGTTTTATACGGTTCTGAGTGCGTGGATTAAAACTCGTGCCTCGGACAGTGATTAGACTTGAAACGGCATCAGGAGCTGCGTCAGTGTAATGACATGAGTGTGTAGAAGAAATGTGACGATTCGAGATAGAGCAGACCGTCTCACATGCACGTTAGATGAACTGATGTTGAGTATCGCATATGAGAAGATTTGCGTCATTTCTGTTAGTTTTTGAGCTTAGTCGTTCTTCGACTGTGACTCAGAAACGGATCGATTTGAACTACAACCTCGTGATATTCAGTAGCTGGCGACCATTTACAGCTTCATCAGCTGTTGGCAGCTCGCAGCTCTTCTCTTAGTTTTGAAACGATCGACGACCATCTTTTTTTTCTTTTTCCGTGAGCTTCATATGGAAGCATAGGATACCATGAAGATGGAGAAGCATCAAACTGTCATCAAGGTGGAGAACGAAACGGGTAGAGTGAAGGACAAAGTGCGGTCCAAGGAGCTTAGATGCCACACAGCCATTAAGTTCCACATGAGGGCATTCCCGGATATTCGAGTGAATGTAATCTACACCATGGTTTTGGCAATCGGCCTCTGCCTTGTTGTTGCCCAGTTCTCACCTCTACTCGGCTTCGACCCGAAGGTCTGGTGCGCAGTAATGGCGAAACTGGAAAAGCTAGGGAAGCCGGAAGTCTCACATCCTCCTCAACTCATCTCGGAGGCCTTGTTCCATGAGAAGATCAACACTTCCTCTATAGATTTAACTCATGGAGAATTGCGGCTCTTCAAGCCGCATGGGTTGGCAACGCACTTGTACATCGAGATGAGTGCCTATCGAGGAGGCCCGCGAGTATTTTCCATAGTTGGCCTTGCATCGAAGTCTCTCGAAACCCATCATAATCCACCGTATGCTTGCGAGTGGGTGTCAAATTCTACGGGCGAGGTGGTGCAGGGTCGCTCTCACAAGGTTTTGCCTGACTGGGGCTATGGGAAGCTGTATACTGTTGTGGTGATCACTTGTAATTTTGCGAAGGATGTGGGAGTAGATGGAGAGGATGGCGAGCTAATCCTGCTTGCAAGTTACGGTGATCAATATAGGCAGCCGGAAAGAATAAAGGTTCTCTCGGAATCGAAAGGGGAGTACAATGGGAGCATTTTCAACCCTCAAAACTTTCCTTACGATTATGTATATTGTGGATCTTCTGTCTACGGCAACATTAGCCCTCAAAGAATGCGTGAATGGATGGCGTATCATGCGAGATTCTTCGGAGACAAGGCACATTTTATCCTTCACGACTCTGGCGGCTTCCACGAAGATGTGCGCAAGGTGCTGGAGCCTTGGATCAAGCAAGGGAAAGTGACCTTGCAGAACATCAGGCAGCAGGAGATTTACGACGGCTACTACCACAACCAGTTCTTGATTGTGAATGACTGCCTCTTTCGGTCTCGATTTATGGCGAACTGGACATTCTTCTTCGATGTTGATGAGTACATGTATGTCGAACCCACAACGACTCTGTCGCAGGTGCTCAACGAAAATCCCAACATTACCCAGATTACAATCGAACAAGTTCCAATGGCGAAGGATATTTGTGTCGCTGATAACGCTACTCGAGGTGACCTCAAAAGGTATAAAAACCTACACTTCCTTCAAGTTCTTGTGGTCTTTGATTGTAGCAGACTACTCAGACGAAAGGACTGTTAGTCGCCTTAGGCTAGTGGGACTTGGCAATGTTTTAGGGTTTTTAGGAATCCAGGAACGCACGCGCAGGATTCAAGCCTGACGTAGCCGAACCGGTGATAATTTGCTGTGTCATGTTTCGTTTTTGCGTGCAGTTCGTGGGGATTTGAGAAACTAGTCTACCGGAAGGTTTTGAAGCCAGGACTACGTTACGACCGCAAATACGCTGTGCAAGCTCGCCACGCTGAGGCAGCCGGAATTCATATGTCGATGAACATGCTCAAAGGGCAGAACCTCTACCCGAAAGGTGACAAGATTCGCTACTACCATTACCACGGCACCATTAATAAGAGAGGGGAAGTCTGCAAAAAATTCGTCGATGCGGGAAACAAAACAGCCTTGCAGACACACGACAATCACTACCATAGACTGGAGGAGACAATAGCAAAAATGGCGAAGGATGTGAAGTTGTACGAGCTTAACACTGTTGGGACACAACCATTCATTGTATAATGCCAGGAGAGGCATGCAAACAACGGATCATCTCCTTCTCAGCAGCAGTGAGAATGTCAGTTAGAACGGCAGGCAGCTTCGGCAGAGGCATCAAACAAGAAATCTCGATTCTTTTTGCTCAGGCAATCCTCATTTAGATTGTAAATACGAATTGCAGGGGATCTGACTGGTGCAAAACTGTAGCAAACATGGTCGCGCAGGCTGCAAACACGGAAAAACCAAAGCCGTCTTTGTTACGTGCTACATATTCCTCGAGTGCCACTGACAGCACGCTCATGCTCGAAGCGTACGCCAAATTCAGAAAGCAACAAACAGGCATTAGATTTATTTGTAAGCAAGAATATTCTTCATAACAAGGATATTTCTTACACAGTGTCAATTCTCAAATGCCAGAGCATTCACACCCATGATATTATGATATTGTAGATTGTAGATACACGACTACGAGTGCAACATTTGAGCAGGTCACATTTAAAGTAATGCTAATCTGGATCAACTCCGACTCTACATGCCAATCATACAACGATCAACTTCTGATGTCAACAGTGAGATGGATTCGACGATTTGTTTGGTTGGGTCTGGCAACCAAGAATCCGCAAATCTGCACCTGCTTCATGTTGTCGAAGTCCCACACGCGTACATGACACCAGAGGAATGTCTTCTTGCACTCCTCGATCACCCTCAACGCCCTGGGCGGCGTCCTGGCATCCGAACACGAGCCGTGGCTTCCACATCGTCCAGTACTGGCCGTCGGAGTAGCTAGAGAACGAGTAGTTCTCACGGATCACTTCGTTGTAGTTCTGTTCTCAAACACCAGCACTGCTCAGGAATGACCGACTGTGAGTTAAATTGCTTCTTGAGGCGACACTGAGGGTATCGAAGTAAGCTTCAAACTTAGTCATGCCGATGGGGTTCCACCCTTGCACATACGGCACGCTGCGGTCATTCTGGGCGGAGCTCAAGATCTGAGACTTGCTGGAGAAGAGAATGGCGCTCTAGAAGACTTCACAGAGATGATCTCAGCAGGTGGGCACTGAAAATGTGGCTGCAGTGAAAGCAGTCAGGAGCCACAACGAGACTCTGCGACACCAGCAGCCATCTTTCACAAGAAAATGGCGTGAAGGCAGGATAAAGACTGAGAAGATGAACAGCTGAGGGTTACGAGTGAACAACACAGGAGTGGTATCAAGCAGGATTCAGAATGGAGAGTAATGACCACAAAGCTAAAGCTGGAGTGGGTTTCAACAACCGTCAGGTTGTGGGGCAGCATCATCTTCACCCCTCAGACCACATCCTTCGTTGAATGGAGGCGGAAGTGTGACGTCGAGGTCGAAGAACTTCGTTGATGGGGGATTTCAGAGGAACCTTTTCGTTACTCCATTCAGAAGTCTAACAGATTAAATAGTTTTCGTCGTTCTCCACACACACAAAGATGTACAAAGCATTTCATGATTTGTTGCAGATTACCGATAAACCACCGTTGTGGCTTTCTTGAAATGAATCAACTCGGGAAAAATTGCCCTTGCACTGCTACTGGTGGAGATTGCTCGAAACCCTAAAACTCAGAGAAATATTTGCTGTTCACAACTCATACAGCAATAATACGTACATTTCAGAATTTCGAAACTGAGAAACACAAGACAAGTTAGCTTAATAAGTCAAGGAGCAACTCAAAAAGGAGCGCTGAAAGATGCGAGTCCAGAACATGCAAGCCCCATCTCGCTTTTTACTATTTAAAATCTGAATTGTGTCATCGATTAGAGTTAAATAATGTGCTCCTAAGCTTCAACTGCAGGAACACCCCGACTGGATTGACAACCTATACATTACAAGTATCATGTCTGTACAAATAATATTAAAATGGTCATATGGTTGTAACATTAATGTTTGATAATAGAAGGGCAGTGCTAAGTACTTCTGCGATAGGAGACCTAGAAGATACAGTGGATCTTAACCATGAATGTTTTTCATCTGCCACAAAACATATTACATCTGAGAAAACTCCAGAGCATTGCCGTCAGGGTCCCTTGCAAAGAGGGCTGGTCGTCCAGACTGGCTGAACGTGTAAGTAACACCTGCACATAATAGTTTAAAAGTTTGTGACTAGTCTTCTAAATACAGAACAGGATTTCAGTACTAATACCATAAGAGAACATAGATTTGCAAAACAACCTGGACAGGAATCATTTCAAGAAGATGTATGTGCGGATTAGCAAGTTCGACTTAGGAGAGTACGACTTAGACACTAGTATGGACCTGCACCTTATTTGTAAACTTCTTAATAATGCTGCGATGGCGCAAAACAAAGAATAAAAAGGCAGCGGTGGTGCAATATAAAAAGAGGTAGAGATCAGGTTTGAGCATACCAGCTCTATCAAATACTTCCTTTATTTTCATAACATCCTTAACCGAGACACATGCATGGCGATCCCGCCCACCATGTTTTGGGCGACCTTCTTTGGGATCTGGATTGGGCAACTCCATCAAGTGTATCATTTGAGACGGTGACCCAACATTTAACCAGACACCCCCATAAGGGAGCTTGTCATTAGGTCGATTTGGGTTAATTTCAAGACCTGTTTCGAAAAGAAGAAAGGTACCACCGATTAAAACTCTGGTAAGCAGCAGTAACATAAGACAAGTAATAACAAAGCTGTCTTGTAAGCATACAGCCAAGAGAAACTTGATTTTTTAGAGGAAAACAAATTAAAAGGTAAAAAGTAGAACGTGATGCAAGCGTATCTGAACTCTCAGGTAAGATGAAAAGAAAACAAGTTAACAGGTGAGAATATTATCCATCACAACGTGCCTTTGAGGTCTGCTATTTGAATGGCCAAGACTATTCTTCTCATATGGAAGCTATTTCCTGATAACAATTTCTAAAAATATTCTAAAAAAAGTAAGAAATTTTCATTTAAAAGCAGGAGATTGGGAACTGCGGAAACATTGAAAGCATTCTACTAGTGGAGAGAGACATGAATAGAATGATTTCCGTGAGATCGGGTGCCAAACATGAGAGAAACATACCCAGTAAGCCACAATAAAATTCAAGTGATTTCTCAACGCTCTCACAGAGCAAACCTACGTGATGCACGCCCGTGAATTCAATTGCTGATGTCACACAAGCATTCACGCTTCTATTAGAACTTTACGCGATGGACGCAATTAGCATTGCAGCAAGCTGCTAGGTTACATGGCATACTTCTTAAATCTCTACATTTTGCTAATATCACACCGACAAGTGTCTGACGATTGGCATTATCAATAACAAACTGCGGTTTGCATTCTGCTTTTGAAGATGGTTTGACACACGTGGGAATTACAGGATAAAGTAAGCATTGTTAGTGAGCCTTTGAATCATCAAGTGGCACAAACCTTTAACAGCAGCTTCCAGGCTATCGTCAGATGACTTCTTTGCTTCTCTTTCAACTGCTGATGAAGCCTGTGGGATTGCAGATAGTCTGCAGACTTTCCTACCGCTTATTGGAACCGTCTTTGCGCTCAGGTATTGCTTGTTGATTCGACAAAATGACTGGCTTGTTCCACCCAAAGAAGGGCTAGCCTACTCACACCATCCAATTATTTACACAACAAGACCCGTTATTCTTCACATGCTTCTTGGACTAGCAGACTGTTGTACCCAATTCAAAGTCCAGAGTGACCAATTCAGCTTCACGTTTCACTGTTTGCATTCACCTGTGCAAGAGTTGTAGCTTTGCATACTTTCTCTCGTGTTGCGACTATTCTCATCAATCTGTACGTGGTTGTTAACTTTGACCTAAACACTACAACGCCTTGCAAATTCTAGATCCATTCCTCGCCCTCGTCAAGGCAACTTTTGCACTCCACACCCTATGTATACTCAATGAAAATTATCCACAAGAATTTGCTAGTCACATCAAACATGAGCTATCATCGTCTGTAATTTCATATGTAATTCACGAAAAAAACGCAAATATTACCACTTCAGTAACCTTACAAAACGCCCCAATATCACGGATTATCATGAGCAGATTAAGGTTGCCAGCAAAACCTCGTCAGTTCACCAGCGAATGAGACACTTCATTCGATGGGCTAATAGTAGTTACGAACTACACGTAAAAAAACAAGACCCGATGGATCTATCAAAAATGGGTGAGAATTTCAAAAAGCTCAACCAGAGGAGTTGAATTTTGGTGGGTTACCAAGGGCATGCAAGAACGACTGCAGCAGATAGAGCTCATCGCCCCCAAATTCAGCATCGCCCCCAAATTCAGCGTCGCCATGTCTAACAAACCAACGCATGACCACACAATCAGAAACCAAGTACAAACCCGCAGAGCTCAGATAACACCAGAAACCCCACCTCATCTCCAACACCGAAGCAATATATATACATATGTAATAAAACAAAGAATAAAAGAATAAAATAAAAATCATACCCACCAGCAAATTTCTCCCCTCGAATGTCCAAATTACTAAACCAGCTCAATTCTCAAGCTTGTTCACCTCCTCCGAACCACACACACACAGATTTAAGGAAAACATCAATAAACAACCATGTGGGCGTTACGAATGCGAAGGTCCATCGCACCCAACAGAGCCCACAACGGAATTTGGGTCATCCAACCCTGAGCTGAGCAAACCACAGGAATCGAATTTGGTGTCCCGGATCGAATGCAGTCGGGAAGATTCCAGGGATTCCAGAGCTATCGTGGAGCCCGCGACTTGAAGATCCACCTGCCAAATTTGTGGCCTTGGATTTGTGCCACGTGTCGTCCATTATAAATCTACGGTATGGTGGGGTCTAATGAACATGTTGGTATTCAGACGAAAATGTAGATTCTATAGGCTACTTTCGTTATCGGCGGAAGACTGGGATGACGCTTTACCGTGTTCGTAAGGTCACGAAAAATAAAATTTTAACAATATATATAAATAAAAGGGTTTAAGAGGAAATCTATATCATTTATTAAGCCTTTAGGTCATTGTATGTAATGGAAGTAATAATAACAATAATAATGATGATGAAGATGGTGGTGGTGGCGGTGGTGATTTGAATTACTGTATTACTTTTATTGAGACTAGCTATGAATATTAGTTGTATTGTTACAATGTTTTAAAACCTCAGAATAATCGATGTGTTCGAGGATATGGAAGAGTTCACATTATTTGTTACCTATTTAATGCTGTTGTATTATGTTTTTATGTGTCGTCTTTTTTGTGTAGTGATACAAAAATCAATGAACTTGCAATGCTGGTATTGATCAACTGAGATCTAAAAATGCAATGAAAAAACCACATATGTTTTTAAAAATATAGTTACGAATTCACATGATAAGTTGGAATTACATAGATATAAAAATAAATAAAATATTACTACATGTAAAGAAATTGCATTGCAACTACTCATTAAATTTTATCATATATATGCAAAAAGTCTATCATTAACTCAATTGATGTTAAAATCATAAATTCATGTACCAAATATCATTCATAATTTTATGTACTATATCTAATATTTGTGTCTAAAAAATCACTCATGGTTGATTTCAATTTGATATACCTCTATAGTATTACTCAAGCCACTTATTCTTCTTCATCTCATAACATGTAAACAAAGCCTTGAAAAAATACTATAAAAATGCACAAATCCAAAAATATATTGATTTAAAAATAAAATAAAAGTCATATATTGCAGAAATTAAATTTGACCTAAAGGCTTTTGTAGTGTTTATAATTTTATATAATTTTTTTGCTGATTGTGCAATCATATCTAAAGTATGTAATTAGTATAATAGGTGCACCTCTCAAACAATCCTAAATAAGGATGTCATAAATACTTCTTTAGAAAACAGACTCCAAGTGAAAAATGCTCTCCCCTAATTTCAGAGGATCAAGCCCATCAGAATTTGAAAAACCTAGTTTTTGTATGCACTTTTTAGAAAGAAAAAAACATAAATACAACACCCAAAAGTGGTGGAGAGGAAATTAGGGTTTTATTATTGAAAAGAGAGTGTTGTGTCTTTTGAAATGTGAGAAACTACTTATCTTAGAGATGACTAAATTCTAACAAATTCATAAATCCATAAATCCAATGCTAAGAACTTTATACTCAGTATAACAATAATAATAATAATAATAACAATAACTGATACATGACCTATTTTAATGCAATATATTGATGCCTTGGACAACATATGAATTAGACAACAAGATGATAACATATTAACCAGTTTTTGCAAATCTTTTGCTATTATATGATTCTTTATGATAAACCTTTTAAGTTTCTATCACACAAGATGCTACATTAATTTATTCTTATTTATTTTTGTACTAGTTTTAGAATGTAATTTTTAAATTATATTTCATGAAATAAATTGTAAATTCACTCTTATACTCTATTCCAAGAAAGCATGCTTGTCATGTCTTCATGAGGAATGGTAGAAGTGTATCAACTTTCAAAACAATAAAGTACTTGAAATCTCAAAGCTGAAGATTTGGGGGAAAAATGACATGTGTCAAATCAAACATTGCTAATCACCAATTCTATAGGCAAGGTCCCAAGTCTCCATATTTTGTATTTTGAATATCAAACCACTACACAGTATCATTATACATTAGGATCAGTTTTAAATATTACAATATTTAGTCAAAACATTGTATGTATTGTAACAAAATATGATAAAACAACCTTCAATATTCAATAACACAGGTCTGTGCATGTGTATATACAAGTTCATACTGACATGAAATCTTGTGTTGTCGGGCATGAAAATAGTATTCACAAGCTCCGATGACTTTTTTGATTAAGAGGCATCTCCTTAAAACTCCAACCAGCACTTTAATCACAAAAAAATTATTCACAGAAGAAGAAGAAGAAGAAGAAGAAAAAAAAAAAAAAAAAAAAAAAAACTTTGACCAGTGGGGAGACATGCATTCATCCTCTATTGATTTTGTCATTATTTCTCTTTTTCACATGAAACCCATCTTAATGTAAACATATACACACACACACACACACTACAAATGAGAAGTAATAATGGTTCACTTCTAGTCCACCTGGAGAATGAATGCAACTAAACTTGGTGGAAATAGTACAAAAAGATGAAAAGAAACAGAAGAAAGAGTGGAGAATTCCCCTGAATGTTGAGGAATTCTGCAGCTTCCTTCACCACTAGCTTGACTTGGCATGGCTTGATGTGGGGAAGCATGGCTCCCTTGGCAACTGCAAGCTCAGCTCTGATCCATGAAGATCATGGTGTTTCTACACCTACAACACATCCTCCTCCTCCTCTGCAGCAGCAGAAGCAGAAGCAGAAAGACCTGCAAGCGATGGAAGATATGGTGGCGTTGAAGTTGGGGGATGATGGGAGCTGGATGGGGTGAGGTAGGTGGTGATGTTTCCTAAAGCTGCATTCAATGCCTGCGTCCTTTTCCTCTGCACTAGTAGGTTGAGGCCTGCACTGCTCGAGATCATCAGCAGGGCTCACAGAGAGAGGCGGTTTCTGCACTTGCAGCTCTCGTTTCGAGCACGCTCTCCGGTTCCTCTCTTCCCCTTCCTCGCTGTGGGTTGTGTGTGTGTGTGTGTGTGTCTGTCTGTCTGCTTACTTGCTTGCTTGCTTCCCTTCCTGTGGGTTGCAGTTGGCTGTCTTCTGGTTCGTTGAGGAATGAGTATCGAGCTACTGTTCTCAGCTGTCATCCTGGAAGCGTGTTGATGCTGGAACAAATTGTGCTGGCGTTGCTGGGGTTAGTTGTGCGCTTATGTGCTTGTTCAGAAAACTGGTCGGGGGTATGGGAGAAGCTTGAGAGGATCAGTTTCGGCAGAGCAGAGGTTAGGCTGTTATTATGTAGCTAGTGAAGTCTTGGGTGGAGTGTGGGCGATTTATTCCACGTCTTTACTACATGTGCAGTATTATTGTTTACAGTTCATGACGTGAGGATACGAACCGAGAGAGAAAATCTGCTTTAGCGCGTAACGTAGTATACTTGTTCATAATTGTATAGGGGTCCATCGAGCCGGATCTCACAATGTGTAAATGAGATAAGCTTTCGGCACTTTGGGTGCACTTTCAGAGCTCGAAGCGTTTTTGAGGGCGCATTAGTTAATTCAATGAAGCAATTTGGAGCTTGAAGCGAGTAGAACTTTTTTTGGGTTTAGTAACTCTGTTTGGTTGCACCCGGAAGCTTCACGAAGTGTTGCTGTCCACGTTTCTTCACCTGTCATTGTAATCGAGGCAGAGGAATATCTGGCCAACAATGTGGACGTAGTAAGGAATTAATCGTGTTTAATCGTTTGAATGTCCGAGAAATTACTGCCCTAGTGGATGAGGAGATCGAGCTATAACCAAGGGTTTGAAGAGATATGGACTTGTTATCCTATTGCTAGAGAAACTACCGCCAATAAATGTTTTTGTCGAGTCTCTGAGGTTCTCTACGGGGCCATTCCAATATAAATCATGGCAAATGTTGAGAGTAACCTCGACCTCCTGGAGCGCATCTTCGTGTGGAGTGCGTTGACTGCATGGATGCTCGGCTCTCTTACCTCTGTGACCACAGCCAAGGTCATTTCGAAGGAGTTTCCGAATGTGCAGACATTCAGTGATGGTACTCTGAAGAGCCCCTGGCGTATGCACACCCTGTTCTCCGTGGAGTGTCATGTATACTTCGACTGGCAGACAGTGGGCATGATACACAGCTTCAAGAAAAGTGGACAGCCGGGTTCTGTGACTCGTCTGCTCAGCTGCACCGACGAGAAGCTGGAGAGTTACCGTGGGATGGACTTGGCCCCCACCCACAAAGTTCCTTCCATGAGCAAGCACCCTGTTACTGGAGACTGGTGTGTTTAGTCCCTACTTGTCAGCATAATTCTTTTTGATTCTCTATTGTTATGCTGCATCACGTGCCTTAGCCGATCTGGTACATTCGAAGTCTAATGGAAGCACGTGCACGATAGGATGTCAATATGCTCCATCTTCTATCTTCGACAGTCAGTGAGGTATGTTAATCAGGTGTGGTTTGATGCATTTATTTGTCATGGATGTTTTAACAGGTATCCAGCGATTAATAAACCTGCAGGTGTGGTTCACTGGCTGAACAACAACAAAGATGCCCAAAATGTTGATTGGGTACTCATTCTGGACGCAGACCAAATCATCCGTCACCCCATAACACCATGGGCTCTCGGCGCTGAAATAGGGAAACCTGTTGCAGCTCGATATGGGTAAGAGGCCCCTGCAAAACTATTCTGCTTTTATGAATGTTTTTCTTATAAATGGGTTGGTGTTCTTCAAGGGAATTTTACCACTACCCATAGCTAAAGATGCATAATCACTCCAGGTATCTGATAGGATGTGACAATGAACTTGCTAAGCTGCACACAAAGCATCCATATCTGTGTGACAAAGTCGGAGGATTTATCATGATGCACATCGAAGATTTGCGCAAGTTTGCTCCACTCTGGCTCTCAAAAACCGAAGATGTGCGGAATGATCGTGACCACTGGGCAACTAACATTACTGGCGACATTTATGGCAAAGGCTGGATTAGTGAGATGTATGGGTACTCGTTTGGAGCTGCTGAGGTACAACTTATTTTGTAAGGATTCGAGTCTGATTAATTGACGTTTTCTTTTGTGAGATTGATCTGCATGTTTTTGCAATGTAAATGATCATGTTGTATATTTTACCTTCACTCCCAATTCTTAGAGTCTGAATTTTGTGTTAACAGGTGGGATTAAGGCATAAAATCGATGACGTAGTGATGATCTATCCAGGCTACATACCACAAGCGGGTGTAGAGCCTTTGTTGATGCACTACGGCCTCCCATTTAAAGTCGGGGACTGGGAATTCGCAAAGCTGCAACATTTCGACGACGATCTCGTTCATGAATGCAATCGTCTGTTTGCAGCTCCTCCTTCTCCTCACGAGGTAAACCCTGTCAATACCATTCCTGAAAAGAAATGCAATGCAAAACTAGAGATTCTGTCAATCTGATAGTCTGAAGTTCCGCTATTCAACTCATCATGTTCATAAACAAATGAGGGAATTCATAAATTCGTTGTGAATATAAACTGAGAGTTATTTCCACATCTTTTATCCTAGGAATAAAGATGGACATAATAGCAGAAAAGATATTGGCACTCATGTCGTCTGTTTTGTTAACCAGGTTGAAAAGAAGCAACTTGATCGCAATCAGCTGAGAGCCGATCTCTTAAGTATAGAGTGCATCAATACGATCAACGAAGGACTTGTTATCCACCATGAGACTCATGGATGTCCCAAAATTGAGGAAACGGACTATGTCAAGTTTTTGATGGAGAATGCACACCAGGAAGCTCATAAACTACCGCAAGAAGAACAACAACCTGCAAAGATTCTATATTATCCTCGCATTCACACACTTTTCTCCGCAGAATGCACTCCATATTTTGATTGGCAAACAGTTGGACTGGTGCATAGTTTCAAACAGAGCAAGCAGCCAGGGTATATCACTCGGTTGCTAAGCTGCACAGACGAGAACCTCAAGACTTATAGAGGCATGAACCTGGCGCCCACCCACATCGTCCCCTCAATGAGCCTTCATCCTCTTACTGGAGACTGGTAAGAAGCCATGGCATAAACAATATACCACTTCCCTCATTTGGTTTTTGGAATTCATTTGCTTGGTTTTTTGTCTAATGACATAGGAAACAATATTTAGAGCTGAGAAGGTGTGGGATGTAAATTTGATGTGCCCCTCATTATTGTTTAGGTATCCGGCCATCAACAAGCCAGCCGCCGTGCTTCACTGGTTGAACCATGTACAAACAGATGCAGAGTTTATCATAATTTTAGATGCAGATATGATAATGAGGGGACCTATTACCCCTTGGGAGTACGGCGCCGAAAAAGACCTGGTTGTTGCAGCCCCATATGAGTAAGTCTCACTTTTTACCATGATACTTCTAGCTTTGTCTACAATGCTTCAATGCGCAACATTTTTGTATGATTCATTAAGTACTAAGTAGGTTCTCTGTTTGCAGCTATTTAATTGGTTGTGACAACATTCTCGCTCAACTCCACACAAGAAACCCACAAGCGTGCAGCAAAGTAGGTGGAGTCTTGATTATCCACATCGAAAATCTTCGCCGCTTGGCTCCTTTCTGGCTCCACAAAACAGAAGAAGTGCGGGCAGATAAAGCCCATTGGGCAACGAACATCACTGGAGATATGTACGAGCAGGGATGGATCAGTGAGATGTATGGATATTCATTTGGTGCAGCTGAGGTAAATGTTTTTTTTCATATTTTTCTAAACTATGTTTGGGATTGCGAATTGCGAGCGGCAGGGTCGGCTTTGTTGGACTGACAGCCAACACGTCAAAGGATGAGTTCCATCTCTCCATGTGGTTTTGTGGCTTCTCTACTACACACACAGCACCGGTCTTACGAGTTCCTCAAGTTCTTCACCAAACTTGATCAAGCTTCTGCAATGACTGACGATCCCTTCTTTTGCCAGATCAACCTGAAGCACAAGCGACGTGGCGACATCATGATGTACCCGGGCTACGAGCCCAACACACCCCCGCGCCTGCTTCACTACGGTCTAAAGTTCAGCGTTGGAGACTGGCACTTCGACAAGGCAGAGTGGCGAGACCACGACATGACCAACAACTGCTGGCAACAGTTTCCAGAACCTCCAGATCAGTCCACGCTACCGAAGACTCTCACCACCCGAGAATTCGCCCGGGACAACATTAGCATTGAATGCATCCGGACTCTCAACGAAGCACTCCACTTGCACCACCTCAAGCGGGGCTGCCGAGTGCCGCCAGTGCAAGAGGAGGAGGAGGAGAAGCCACTGGAAAAAATATCCAAGACACAACAGCAGCATCCCATCAATCTGTCTTATGTGCAGACTGAAAGAGAAGATTCACGGCATTCTAGAGCTCTGTCAACCAGGCCTGCCGATACTGTTGCAGTTGTGAGTCTCAGTCTTGGGAAGGTGGCGTTGTGGACGCTGTTGGTGAGCTGCTTCTTGCTGGTTGTGTCGAGTTTGTTTTCTAGAAGCAAATCTGCTCCGCAACGGCACAGAAAACCTAGGTCGTCGTCGTCGTCGTCTCACCGAAGGGCCAGATCTCACTCCAGGTTGAGCTTACCAGGTGAGGCCATCACTCTCATTTCTGGAGACTTGAATGCTTAGATCTACGCCCACTTCTGCCTCCTCAAAATCAATGCCCAACTCCTCCCTCATTTCTTGCTTTGAAGAGTTCGTGAGAGCTGCAACAAAATCATTTTTTTTTGTCGACATTTTATTCGAACTCTTAGTGAATGTTTCAGTTGACATAGGAATAGTGAAATTTTGGCCATAAAAGCGTTTGGTTGTGTCCTTTGTTTCTTCATTGTTTCTTTCTCAAGTGAGATTCTTTTCTTTATTTCTTACATGGATTGAATACTATGATTTTGTGGTTGATAGATTTAGTGGGTGTTGAGCATCCAGATTGAATATTGGTTTCTGAGCACAGAGAACGTAAAGTTGTGAGTTTTGTTTGTCGGTATATTGTGCTGCCATTTTTTTGGGAAAATCCTGATGTTTGTATTGTATTTGTTTTTTTAGAGATGCTTGGGATCTCATGAGAAAAATGGATGAGAATAAGGTTTTAGAGTGATCCATGTGACATGTAACAAATGATACATATCAAAATAGAGAAAAAAAATTGATAAAGGAGAGAAGTTAAAGATAAAAAGTAATCGTAAGAGTAATTTAAAATAAATCAGAATAATTTTTTTTAATTGGCATAACTTTTTTGAATGAGGAATATGTTAGCATCTATCTGTTAAATGAATAATGGGTGCTAGATTATATGCATTATTTTAAGTAAAAGTAAGATGAAATGAAACTTAGAAAATTTTAACATAATGATTAAGGAACTTTATATAAAGATATGTGTTAATTTAAAGAATTAAAGTAGGTCTTTTACTTATTTTAATATTTTAGAATATAAAAATATTGATGCTTTCCTGTCAGTAAGTTCTACTAACTTTTTCGCCACCAAGGCTCTGCTTGAATAGATAAAACAAATCTTAAAAAGAAAATTATTAATTAATAATGTCAACAAAAAAACATATAAATATTTATCTATATAGATATGTATATATATACATACATGTGTACCTTACTATTATATCAAAATTAAGTTCGAAGCTATACCATAAATCTTTACATCTATATAGATGCTGAAGTGTAAGATGATGATAATGCCAAGTACAATGAATTGTGAAACAAAGTAATAAGATTCCACAATATTAAACTCAAGTTCAATGTTTTACTTAAATTTATAATTTCAGTATTAATATTTAAAATAATTTTGTGGAATTTCATAAAATACTCATTAGTCAATTGTGATTTATAAATATTGAATTTTTATTATTTTTTAGTTTGTGCAATACTTTTATCAACAAAAGATGCTTAAATTTGGTAATATTTCTAAAAAAGACTGCTTTTATTTAGTTTTTGAGGACTGATTTATAAGTTTTTAGTTTTCTGAATTGTTAATTTAAAATATACGTATATATTTGCATATAATTTTTGTAATAATATGTAACCAAACTTATTGTGGAATAGTATTAATTAAATTATATATAACATCAGTATGTTTATGGCATTATTGATCTGAATAAAAATTTAAATGTACCAAATATATATATATATATATATATATATATATATATTGTGAATAGTTTTAGTTTTTATGCAATTTAATATGATAAAGAATATGCATAAATATATATACATATACATATTAGGTGGTATCTTCTTACTTTAAAATTTTATTTTATTTTTGGTAATTAAAATTAAAAGTTCACCAAAAATCCATTTATCTATATTCGCTTCTACAAACAATATATTTTCAAACATCAGCTGGTTGTTTTAAAATATTTAAAATACTTAAAAAAATCATAATCAATTAAATATATCATTGATTTTTCTAAATGATAGTAAATAACATCATCCAATATAATACACACCTAAATTTAAATTGGACTATAGGTTAGACCACAATTGTTTTTTATATTGTATAAACATAATGTTCAAACTCATTATTCAATAAAGTGAAATGATTAACATGATTGGATTGGTAGAATAAGATTATAGTTTAAATCTTTTAACCTAAGTTGCTACTATTAAGATTTTAATTGCGAAAAATAAACATATAACAAATATATAATAAAATGAAGACAGGAAAAAAGATAAGAAGGTAAAAAGAATCAAATTCTGATTTAAGTTACATATTTTTTTGGATTCTTAACATAATTTATCACATACCTTCTGTATTGTTGCACGCCAAGTAAGATATTTAAAAAACACAATAAATAAAAAGTTGACCCTTGACAACCAAGTACATGATGTATCCTCAAGTAGAAAATTCACAAAAAATGAAATAAATGAAAAAAAAAGAATAAAGAAAGAGTTTCCAAATGGATAAGTAAAAAATTTCTGATTTAAATAATAATAATAATAATAGTAATAATCAGAAGAAAAAAAAATCCAGGCTCAAAAAATGAAAGCAACACATGAAATAAAATGGATGAATGAATTAATGGATGAATGATATGGCCACCGACAACTGATGCGATTCGTTGCCTACGTAGCACACGTGTCGACTTGACATGCGTGAGATGTACGTTTGGGGAACGTTGTTCCCTCACCCGGTATGGGTGGGTGCGTCCAGGCCTATGACCACGAAGTCCGAAGTATCGAGCAGCCGGAGAGACTTCAAGGGTGAAGACTTCAAGGGCGAAGACTTCATTCGTCCCGAAGTGAGTCAGCTTCCTCCTGGCCAGCTGTCCCTTCTAACTGGCTGATGTGGCACTTTAGGAGTTCTTCTTCGCGACAGGTGGCCATACATTCACTACGATCGCGGTGCCAACAAGGACAGAGTGACCCGGGTATATATCCACGTGGAAGCCGGCACGTATCCTGCGTTGCTAGAGGAACTCTCCTTCCTCGTTCATCCATCCATCAATCATTTTGAAGCGGCTAATTCACTAGTTAATTCACTAAATTAAAAGTTTAATCCTGTTATTCTTCCTTCATGAGTTAAAGGAGTTCCAATTACATGCCAGAATAGTTTTCAGTATTTTCTCAACCAAATTAAGAGTATTAAAAGTGTATTACAGTGACCTTACTTATTTTTTTGAAAATAAGTTTTATTTACATAATTTGTTGTAAATTTAATCTCACACTAGTATATAAAATCACAGATATATCTATATATATAGTTTGTGTGCATGTATGTTCAATAGCACTTGAAAATCAATTTTTTATTTTTAAGAATAATCTTTTGACCAAGTATATTATCAAATGAAAAAAACCATTGTTCTCAACCGTGAATGCATACAAAATAAAATATATTCATACGTTTTATTTATTTAAATGCAATTGAATTTAATTATGTCACTATTTTATACGTATTTTAGTGCTATATTATAAGTTGGCATAAGAACTCAATGATGATGCTTGATTTAAGATGTTGGTTTTTGTTTGAATCATTGGTGATGAGGAATTGAACTCATGTGTAAGTATATTATTCAAGTCCTATACCATCAATCTAATGTGTACAACAAAGCACTATAATGTTTTGAGCAATTCTATTTAGATGTTTGAAGGCAGATTCCTATATCCTGAATATTGCAATAGGAAGCAACATGGGATATACCTTTTGATTGGAGACTTGGAGATATATTTTTTGTAATAAAAAAGTTTACAATATACTTTTGTCTTTGTCAAAATATTCTCATGCTTTGTTATTTTTTTATTTATTTTGTTTTAATTTAATATGTTATGTTGTTTTGTTTTGAATCACCATGTTTGAAGTGCCTCTACCTTGACAATGTTTGTGGTGTCATGTTAAAGAAGGTTGTATGTATTGATGGTAAAAATTTAAAGATATTTAACCCTTTTTAAAAATAAAAATAAAATTATTCAACTAATTTAAAGGTTCTATTTGGATGCTGATTTAGCCTAATTCCAATTCTACCCATCTTCAAAAGATTTACTTTTCTACTTTCAAAACTTAATTAGTGATATCAAAAAAACACTATGTTTACTAGAACTATGAAAAGGAGTGCAAATGTAAAAGTGAAAAAACTACCCAAATTAGAGTTGTTATAATCAACCAGGATCTCCAATTAATTTTTATTAAGAAAATACTGAATTATTAATTTAATTGTATGTTTTTTATGTATAAATCTAAATAATAATTACCTTTCAACAAAAGATTATCTGAAGATAATTACACTAATGACATGAAATTATTTGAAAATTTCTCAACGTTTTGAAACCAGTTGTATGAAAGAACTTAAGAGAATCACACATTGTATAAAATACTTTGGATTCATCATATTTAAATTTTACAATTAAGATTGTGCAGACCAATGAATTTAACAACATTTTTCATGCAAATAAAGTAATTACAAAAGTTTATTACAGAGCTTTTTATGATTTAAATAAAATTTGAAAAAGTCTTTAGTGATGATATTAGAAACATATGTTCTGTTTACCTTTATATTGCAATTTTCAGAGCTCACATATCATAGCACGATTTCTACAAACAAAAAGATAAAAATATACTCCGAGAGCAAATTAAAAAATGTATTATATATATATAGTTTTTTATAATGATAAAAAATGATCACATAATTGTGAGAAATATATAAAATATATGTTGGACGTTATGTAAAAGAAAATCAAACCAAATATGGAGAAAAGACTAATAACATTAAAAAAAAAAATCGTAAACCAATAATCAATAATAATAATAATAATAATACATGCTTATATATATAAATATATAAATAAATGAATCTTAATATGTTTCAAGCCCGAAAATAAAATATGCTTACATATGCATTTGGAAGATTTGTCAATGTGGTGACAACTTTTTGAACTAACAGTATGTATGCATTATAAATTAAAACCCAATATCTAAAATTCATGATGCATACTAATAAATTCATATGATGTAAATTATTTGAGTCATTTAAAAGCACATTAGATTACATGCTATAGACAATGGAAAGTTTTAAGTTTTATTAGATATTCTAGAAATTTACATAAATTCACACAGATAATGATATAATTTAATAAAATATTAAACAATTAATTTCTTATCAAATTGTACCAAAGAATGTGAACCATTTCTAAAAATAAGAAAAATAAAATACAAACATCATTAAAAGATACTGGACTTCTTCAAACAATATTTATATACCCATTTCAATGTTAGTCACAACTACACTTTGCTTTCAAGTAAATGCATTTCCTATACTTGTAAACCATATTTCAAATTCCATATCAAATTCTCTTAAGAATTAAGAAATGAAAATATAAATCTTAATTTTTTGGTGGAGAAAACGCTCCATTTCAAAAGTAATAGAATACTTTCTAATCGCATTGTTAAACTTTATTTTATTATTATTATTATTATTATTATTTTTAATTGTTTTTTTGGTACTTGAAACAAGACCCTCCCGCGAGATTTAGGGAGCGTCGGTGACCCCACCCGGGCCCGTTATAAAGGGCGCTGCAATTCACTCCGCATTATATGCTCACGGGCAAGGCAAACGAAACTGGATCCGCGGAGGTAGGGAGGGGGTGAGCCTTTTTACTTTTTCCGATGCAGCCGGAAGCTTTATTTTTGCAGTTTCCCACAGCTGGAGCGCATTTATTTAAGGAAGCCATTGACCGATCCTTTTTCTGCCTCCTTCAAGCTCTTTCATACGCACCCACACCTGGAAAGAGCCTATGAGCGCGCCCCTCGGGGCCCCGGTTTAGGGGCCAGATATTTTGTAGTGCAAGCTTTTTTTTCTATCTCTCACCCCCGCCCCGACCCGACTTTTCCCCCCGCAAGTTTTGCCAGTGTGAATGGTTCCCACACTCGCTCTATCTCAACATCACTCTCGGAAAGTTTAAATATAAACTACATTGCCGGAGTATGATATGTTCCAAGTCGATCCCTGTGGAATAGTGATCACCAGTGTGAACAGCACCTAAGAGCGCGGGTGACTTGGACGGTGCAAAGTCGAACAGGTGGCGACCATTGGGCCCAGGTGGGTGAAACCCTGTTCAAATTGGCACGCTGCTATTGGATAGCTGTCTATTCACCGCGGTGGTTTGAGTTTGACTGCGATTTGTTTGTTTGTTTGTGAGTGAGTGAGTTTGTTTGCTTTGCTAGGTTTTGCTTTGCTTTGGTTTTGTGTTTTTAATTGTGGATGGATCCCTATCTTGTACGCTCGCGGTCTCGTTGTGTCGTCGCATGGAGGCGTGGTTGGGAGCGAGGGCTGCTGCTGATGCTGCTGCTTCTGTGGGACCCTGGGCTGTGGAGAACGAGGCCTTGATTGTGGCCCAAGGTAAGAGTGGCCACGGCTGCGCCTCACGGTTTCCCCCCGCTGCCTGCGATCCTCGTGCTGCACCTACGCTATGCTTCTATCCTCTGCCGCTGCTGCCCCTGGTCTTTGTTTGTTTGTATTTTTTTTGTTTTTTGGCTTGCCCCTTTTTCTCGTCTCCTCGCCACTCTTGATCTATCACACCTGTGCACTTGAGTTTTGCTGCAACGTTCTTGTCTTAACCGAATCAGCAAGGTATTCCCCGTCGAATCCTACGGGCTTGTCGGCACGGATGAGCGAGTGGACATTTTTGGTACTTTACTTGGCACTTGCAGGGTGCGTGGTCGTGAAGGGTGATGTAGTATGTTTGCGTGGAATTTCTTGTGGGGATTCGAGCTAGCTGTGGTGTGGATGGTTGAGATGTGACATGCGGGGTTTCCAGTGAGGGAAATGGTGGTGGTGATGAATGGCCGTAGGGAGAGTGATATAAGTGGTTAAGATTTTTGGCGCATTGGAGGTTTGATTAGGTGTGTTGTAGGAGGAGTTGCGGTGGCTGTGGTTTGGAACGAGTTTGGACGCTAGGTTTCCCGTGTGTTGAATGATTGTGTTTGCATCTGATGGTTGTGGAACTCTCTCCCGGCCGTGTGGTTGGCGGCTATTTGAGATTCTCTGCTTGTCTTGTAGCGCTTTGTTGCGCTTTGGAGCTAGTTTCTTGGGCGTTTCAGGTTTTCCTGGCAAGTGCACGGATTTCTCTGCGTTGTAGTCTGCATCTGACCCCGTTGTGTGGTCGAATTCCGGGTTTGAGATGAAACATTTTCGGATAACATTGACACGTTTTTGAGTTGTGGCTAATGGCGTGAAGGGATTACATGTGGACTCTCGCTGTTGGCGTCCTTCGAACAGATGTAGTTAGTTTAGGTGCAGAACTTGCTCGAGTTGCCTTTCGTTTGCTGGTTGAGCTCCGTCAGCACCTTGCCGTGTTATTTCAATTAAATTCTTTGGTTGCTCTTATATTTTCTGTTCTGAAATTCCCCTCATCTTTTTTGTGTGTGTGTGTGTCACAGGGAGTTACTAGTTTTCCTTGCATTGCTTGACAGGTAAAGCTCTTGTTGTCAGGCGTTCTCCATGGTTGCTGCCGCATTTGAATCATTGAAGTCGGAATTTGGACGAAGTACATCAGGGCGGCTGGACGCTGTCATTCTTCGTAGATCTACGCCTATGCGGTTGAATACTGTGGGAAGAGTTGGGGAAGAGATCTCTTGACAGGTTGCACATGAATGCCGCTGGTTCAGAGATGCTAGGTGTTATGGTAGCAGGCTCTACGGTACCTGGCATGACCTCAGTCTCTGTCTCAGAAGAAGGTTCCAAAAAAATACGAAAACCTTACACCATCACTAAGTCGAGGGAAAGCTGGACTGAGCAGGAACACGATAAATTTCTCGATGCGCTGCAACTGTGAGTGTTTCTGTTCCATTTTGTTATTGTCCAGGGATTTCATACATGCTCGGTATTCTGCATGAGTAGTGAAGCTTGTTATTGCTCAGAGCCTTGAGGACAAAAGTTTGCAGTTTTCTTTGAAGTTGATTCTGTTCAATGATTGGCGACGGAACCCTTGCATTTATCACGGTGTCCCCAGCGTTGAACTCGTTCAGTCTGCATACAGCGGTCTTCCGTAGTTTAACAATGCTTTTCACCTCAAGTTTTAGCGGTCACTAGCAAATGAGTTTATTTTGTAAGCTGAGCCGTGATTCTAGCTCTGGCATTCAGAAGCCCAGAGAGCATTATGAAAGTGTTGTTGAAATGAGTTATTTCTGTTTGTGTTCATTTACGTGGATGGAATGGACTCTAGCCCCCTGTTATGTCTTCTGCATTCAGGATCTTCTGAACAGAGATGTTATTTAGTTATTTGTTTATCAGACTATCTCTCAACTGTCACATTACATCGTGAATTTTTATTGTCAATGTGTTATACAGATCTGCTTCGGTCCTCAGTTTAAGAAATTTGAGGGGATAAGAAAGTGCCATGATTAGCTCTGTAATATTCGTAGTTGGTGCTTGGAAGGCTTGCACCGTAATATGAAGCCTGTGTGGTTCATTGTAGTTTTCGGAGGTCGTTTCCTTGTTGACATTGATCTAAGAATGTGTTCTAGATAATTTTCTCTCCTCAGGATTGCAATATCTGGTTTTGTTTATTCTTAGAACCTTTTTGTGTTCTCGTTTGGGCTGCTTTTAAGTACCTTTTGCCGCAAAACCTTCTGTAATTCCAAAATATATTTTCCCTTTTTACTAAGCTGTGCTCTGTATATGAGTATCCAGTCATCTAGTTTTAGAGGAGCCAGATATATTTGGGATTTCTAGCACAATTCACTAGCGGTGAAGTTAATTGAAGGTTTTCTCCTGTACTTCTTGGTTCTCTTAGGGGCACAGGACGCATTTGATCAGCACTTATTCTTTATTCTTCTGTACAGGTTCGATCGTGATTGGAAAAAAATTGAAGCTTTTGTGGGGTCCAAGACAGTCATCCAGGTACAATGACGTTCTCGCTGATTTTCGCATGGAGAGAGAATCTACGTTCACATTGTTCTAGTCTTGCGGGTTTTAGTGCACAAAGCAGTTTTCATGTTTTTTCAGTGTGTGAGACATGTTCTCAGTTATTTTTCCTTTTGAAGTTCTTGCTTATGAAACGAAATTCATATGCTGCTCTTTATGTTAATTTCGTGCAGATCCGAAGCCATGCACAAAAATATTTTCTGAAAGTTCAGAAAAACAGAACTGGCGAGCATGTTCCTCCACCACGTCCGAAACGCAAGTCCGCTCAACCATACCCGCAGAAGGCATCAAAATGTGGTACAGTTCTTGACACATATAGCTTTGACGATGGAACGTTTAGGTACTCCTGTAAGTCTGATATAAGAAGATGCTTATTTTACTCTATACGGTAGATAAAAGCAGTGGCCTCATCATCAGATAGGATTTCTTGGTGCTTGAACATCCTGATTATTGGACAGTGTCGCCGTCCTTCAGTACATTCCTTAACTTGTTTCTCGTTCCGACTGCGGCCAGATCTTTTAGTACTCACGAATATGCACTAATTCACATATGAAAATACAAAGTTGATAAAATGTACCTCGGTAATACAGTAAGCATAAATAGCGAAGTCTTGAGCATCTCTGTAATGGACGGGCGGCTGCGAGAAATGCATTGTGTGGAGTATGTACAATTAAATGTCATGGACAGAGAGTAAGGTGCAACAGAGTGTGGATTCAGTGTAATTCATTCTCAGCACACACAAGCAGTTTTGTGCTATTAGAAGAGATTAGTGGAATTCTTAACGAATTTATGTTCCGGGACTAATATGAATACACACTTGGTATGTATAGTACCAGCTCAACTGCAGGTTTCGGATGGATTAAGAACTCATTCTGGACAGACAGAGTCCAGCCATGGTACATGTTCTCGAATACCTTCCATGTCCCCTGCAAGCCCGTCTGTCTCAGCCTGGGTTCAACAATCAGTCTCTCCTAACACGAGTATTTCTTATGATGCCCCTGGTGAGTGCTTGACCTTTCACTTGCATAGACTCTGAGTTGTTCCAGAGACCCGCTGTTTCCAGAATGAACCTGCCATATATTTTTTCGTATTGATTACTTTTTCTCATGTAGGCACCAAACCAGAAGTTGGAGGCGTAAGTTTGACTTCTGTGCGCGCTTCGAGTAACAGCATCAGTGGTAGTTCCCCAGGAGGTTGGCCACATGTCGTGTCTGCAAGTCCACTAGCACCTGATTCCTGTATACGAGGTAGGCAATTTAATGTATTGATCTTTAAAATCTCGTTTCTATCTATCTATCTATCTATCTATCTATCTATCTATCTATCTATCTATCTATCTATATATATATATATATATATATATTTTTGGCTTGTTTGCTCTCTCTGCACAAAACATAATCATTATTGTAAATAAATCCAGTCTACTTTCCTTGAGTCGTTCCAAACTGCTTACCATCCAGTTATGTACATTTATATTTACTGTTACTTTTATTAGGCTTTGTCATCAAGTTTGTAGCCAGTCTGGCCTTGTCAATTTAATGGCTTGGATCAACCTGACCATAATTTTACTGTTTGGTTCACCAGCTGCGCCTGATTTTGCGGAGGTTTACAAGTTTATTGGCAGCGTGTTTGACCCAATTGTTTCTGGTCATCTTCGAACGCTCAAGGAAATGGCTGCCATTGATCGCGAAACGGTAAGTTTTATCTTCAGAATAGACTATTTCATTCTTGTGTAGGTCCCAAAATGTTTTTCTGAGGGATTAGAATCATCCGACTTTTATGAGATCTTTTGGATATACAGGTGTACTGTAAAGATTGAGAGTTTTTCCTTACTCTATGGATATTATTTTGTAGGGATGGAAACGCAATTTGACATCATGTGCATACTTTAACATATAATGAACATGTTTTACCTGGATTTTTCAATAGATTCTAGTGAGAAGGAAGCCAACCTCTCAGTTTAGTAAACAAGTCGTTATGGTTGAATGATTTGTGAATATTAGTTGGTTAGAATTTCTCAGGGCGTCTGTCGTGCTACAAGATGTCGGTATCTAATCTTGCATCATTGCTGACTGGCAGGTTTTACTTTTAATGCGTAACCTCTCCATTAACCTGTCCAGCCCCGACTTCGATGAACATGTAAGTTCAAGCGGTGAATTGGATGTAAATAATGCAGATAGCTCCAATCGCTAAACGAAGCTATTAATAGACGTTTTTTTTTTTTTTTCAAGATCTTTATTCGTCCAAGTTATATAATTCATAATGTCTTCAATTTTCTTTCATTGAGAGTTTTATTTTTTAAGCTTTTTAAAAAGCATTTTTTGTTCTTTGTTTGAACAGAAATTATTTATGCCAGTAATTGATAAGAATGTAATAAGAGAAAAACCCTCTGAGGCAGAGGACTCGACAAGTATTCCAGGCGCTGTTCCTCAACCTTGTTCGGTATGCTGCCCATGATTTCTGACGACTCTGAGCCGCTCATTTTCCAACTTGACGGTCGGATTTTGTGATCACTCTGCCACTTTTTGATGTCTCAGCTTTGAAACTGAGCCCAAGGTTCTTGATTTAATGTTTAATATGTAAATCTTGTGTGATGCAGCAGGATGCAGGTGAAGCAACCACGTGCGTATCTGGTCAAGGAGGAACGCCTGCACCCTCTACACCCTTGCTCGTTGGTCCAAGAAGTGGAGACTCGGATCACAGTCAACAAAAAGCATCGTTGTTGCAAACATTCGCAGACAACACTACTGATGCTGAGACACCTCGAAGGCACTCATATGATGGAGGCGGAACAATGTCAGCTTCGTATACTAGCTGTTGTGTGTCTCCTGCTTCACCTGGAATCCTTGAACCTGGATCAACAGGATTGCCCACTTCTACAGCACTGCAACCGCAGAGCCCGGTTTTGACATCAGAACCGGAAAGTGTGTACTCGTTACCTAGATTACCCAGCTTACCGAGTTTGCCAAGCTTGCCTAGCCTGCCTAGTCTGCCTGCAGGCTTAGTTGGAGATGGGATCGGTGTAGATAATTGGTGGACTTGAAGGAAGTCTTGGCTTTTTGATCGAAATGTGTAAGAACTACAGAGTCACATGGTTCAATTTTTGGGTCCACTGTGCATACGATGTGGCTTCTGTCACATGTGAACGAGGTTCCTGGCCTTGCGGGAGGTTTCCATTCTGCAGGGTGCTGAACAGGCCAATGGGATTCCTCTCACGAATGTGGAGAGTGTAATAGATTGCGGTTATATTTTGTTTGTTTTTTTTTTGTTTTTTGTCGCTTTCTTCGGTGTTTGTGAGAACGTTTGACCTTCGCATTTCTTAGAATCTGGCGTGTACATTTTTAGGAATCTCTCATTTATGAATTCACCACATTCTATTTTTAGGAGATTCACAGCTATCTGATCACTTTTGTGTATCAGTCCAGAGGCAGTTGACGAGGTTAAGATTATCCTTCTTTAAATATAAGGATCTAGGTTAGTTTTTGGCGATACTACATAAAAAATTATTCAAAGGTCTTGTAAGAGACTTGTACCTGCATTATTCGCAATCAGGCTTGGTCTGTTCAACACAGGAATAGATGTACAGATAGTTAACTATGAGTTTCATGTTAATTATTAATATTGCAGTTCTCTCAATTGTTAAATAGTTATATTGCAGTGATTTGTTTTGATGACTGCTTCATGAGGATTGCTTCGCATTTTACGTGTAACAAGCATAGCATACATGCTTGTAAATTTTCTTTATTACCTTCTGTGCAAAAAGCTTTGTCTATACATATGTTGATTGAAACTTTCAATACATGCCACTTCATAACTGTTTCATTGTAGTATACAATCTGAAATTATTTGTGATAAGTGGTAATTGTTGTAACATCTACTATTCTTATTACAAATGATACACTTTTCAACTCATCTATGTTCATATTTCATTTTACTTTACAAATGGATTAGAATTTGGTGACCCTTCCATTTCACACTTACTAGTTTTTCAAAAATACAAGATCTAAAAGTGGCCAAAGAATGGTTGATATAACGATCTAACTTAAATGAAGTTTTAAATTATAATCTTGAACATGGATTGCTTTTTTTTTAATAAAAAAACAAGATAAATTCTTTGATTCTTTCAAACCAGTCACGTTTATCTCATCTTATTTGAATAGTCCCTTAATAGTTTGTCTTATTCTTTTTTATTTGAATTCATTCTCATCTTTTAATCTTTTAATGACACTTGATAAAAAAAATATTAACATTAATTTTTAAAATTAATAAATTTCTATTTTAAGGAAAAATATCATACATACTCTTGAAAGTTGCCAAAATATCAAGAATGCCCTTATATTCTTGATTATATCAAATCTATCCCTCTTTTTTGTGATAATTGTTAATTTATCTTTCAACATGATAAGCTATATATATATATATATATACATACATATATTTAGTTGTAAATGGAGCCCAAAGCAATTTTGGTATGGCAGTTTGCCTCACGTCTAGAGCACCTCACAAAATGGATGCCGCCTTTACTTGGAAATGCTAGAATTGCTTGAAGCAATGAGTGCTTGACCATGGTTGAGATCATTATAAAAGTTAGGGCTGAGAAGTATCTAGACTTGCTAGAGAAGATTAGCAACCCATAGGTGCAAGCATTCATAGAGAGATGCTTGGCTCTTGCATATAAGAGGCCCTATATGTGGGAACTGAGGTGGAATCCTTTCCTAGCCTTTGATTTGGATATCTCTTTAGCATCCAGTGTTATTGGTTCCTTTGACAATATAGAATTCTAGTTCTAGTTCTAGTTTAGGCTAACGAATTGTAACTATTCTCTTAGTTTTTTATATAACATTATCATTTATTTTATTTTATTTTATTTTTTATTTTACCTTTTAACCTTATTAATATTGAATTTGTTGAAAAACTTATAGCAATGGTCTACTATTGATGTGGCATAGGAGAGGAAGTGGTGTCCACACAATAAAAGGGAGTTGTCTAATTTAGAACTTTTTAAAATATAGTATTATATTTTATATAATTTTTTTAAATATATGATTATCAATACTAATTTGTTTTAAAATATCTAAATTTAATATTATTTTATTTTTAGAATAATTTAAAAATAAACTTTCTTTAAGGCAATTCATAATTTTTATTGATTATTATAATTGATTACTATTTATTACATTCTACATCAAATTTTATTTTTTTCTCAAAAATAATAAAAATAGAATATTGTACGACTTTAAAAGTTGGAATTTTTTTAAAGATTTTTAAAGTTTTACTTGTGATTTTTTTTAAAAAAAAAAAGAAGAGCTTGTAAAAATAATATTTAAGGTTTTTATATTTGGTATTTGGTTAAAAGATGTTTATATTAGATAAAAGAATAACTTATTAAAAGTATTTTTTTATTATATTTAAATATAATCATTTAAAAAAATATAATAAATATTTATTTTTTGTTTGAATTTTTTTAGAAAATTGACTTGTAGACACCCCTCTTTTATTGCATGGACATTCTCCTTACCATGCAGCCTTGCATACACATAATAAAGTTCTTATCTATACTAATTTTTTTTAGAATAAATGAATAATAAATGACTTGTATCCAATGGCATATGACACTTCTTCTTATCATTTAAATTTTTATTTTTTAAAAGCAATTTTAATAAAAATTTATAATAAATTTTATATAATTCTATTAAAATCTTATTAATTTATTTAGAATTTAAAGTAATTCAAAAGCTATATACTAAAAGTGAATTTAAAGTAATTCACCTTAAAAGCTCATTAATTTTATTTAGAAATTTTTTACTATAAATTTATCCTAAAGCTTTTAGAATAAGAATTTCATTATTTATTAGAAATTTCCAAACATATATATATATATATATATATATATATACACAAATAGTATAAAATATGAAGTAATTTGATAAGAGCCATAATCCACTCTTTATTTCTCAATAAGCTCCAAATGAATGTTTTTATAATCATGATATAACTTATTAATGTCAAATTAATCTCAATGCTTTAAACCGTTAGGAATGTAATATTAAATCTTTATTTGCTTGTCTTATCTAATAAATATAATTTTTACCAATTTTTTTTGAGGAAATCATCGTTCATTTTTTAATCAATGAGTGACCAAGTTCTAAAAATTTGACCATTTTGAAAAGACCTTACTATTTTGCTGGCACTTTAACCATTACAGAAGGTTTACCGCAACACAAATGTAAGGCTTGAAGGTACTGAGATGAAAATTCTTTTGATATTAAATTTGTTTCCATTCATTGAGGTCTTTGATTGAAGCATGAATTCAATAAAATCTTCATCCTAAGTTGAAATCATGTGCATCGAATGTCTACAGTCATAATCTTACCACACAAAAGAGACCTACATTCTACAGTAATCAGCAGGTAGAATGTGATATGGAATTTTACTTTTTGCAACCAAAAGATCTGCAAGAAATTACAAGGGGTGTGAAGAGATTGTGTTGTTTTCTACGTAAAAAGCCACCGACAACCCAAGACGCAAACTGTGAAACAAGCTGTCGGCAAGGTTGAGGATACCGACAATCCAACGGTTCGACAAGATCATGCTCAAGAATGTAGGAGTAAAACAGCGACAACCTGATGGCTCAGCAACTTAAAGATGAATTGGTCCATGTTTAGCTGATAATTCAACTTCACAAAAGACTTTGTGCCAGTAAAAATCCTTGGAGTAAGTAAAGACTCGAATGGAACTGAATACAGTGGTGTGCTAACCCAAGAACTGAATGATGCAAATCAGAACTGCTTGACATCGATCGGTGAAGTTCACAAAAACTAGGCACGACCAGAGCTTATTCAGTGCGTGGAACCCACGGGAATTGTTCGATCTCATCCAACTTTAACCTGTTATTTTTCTTCAGGAAATTACCACGTCGCAGTGTCATAAACTGAAGCTGACTTGGCTTCTATCGGGACAAAAGTTGGTGCGAGAAGGTGGGAGAGACCTTAACAACGCCAACTACCCTGGTGGTGCGCGATCAATCGCATGAGTGCCGAGCAGTTGAAGGGACCGGTCAATACTTATCTATTCAAACTGGTGGCGGGTCTGATAAGGCATTACATTTTGACCGCCCCACGTGATGTGACCAGCAAATAAAAATTTGTTTCTCGTCCCCAACATCATGGAACTTATCTACTACCTCGCACGTCCCGGATTTGAGGATGCGAGTCGATCAAACTAGATGCCGGAAACTCTGGAAGCTTCGCCGCTCCGACACCATTCAGACAGAATTCACGAATCGATTAAGGTTCGCATCTCCAGCACAAACACAAACTGTTGGCTGCCCGGTCGAACAGATTGCGTGTTGTTGTTTTACATTCACATGACGCGACAATCCTCGGTGCTCCGATCTTCGAACTGGTGCTCATGCTTCGGCGTTGACCGGATTCATCCCGAGCAGGGAAATGGTTAGGAAGCTTCGGCGCTGGTCCCTGGAATGGATGGTCTCGTCGGTGTCGGCAGATGTTTGTCGGTGGACGAGCCCACTGTACGACCGCTGGCGGTAAATGCATGCTAAAAAATAGTTGAGTTTTGCTTCAGGAATTGTTATGTTTGAATGTGGTTTTATTTTTTGATACAGGGATGTAGTTTTTATTGCCAATAATAAAATATAATTAAATGAAAACTATATATATATATATATATATACATTAGTAATATTATCTTTATTGATTTACTAGAGGATATAAGAAAACCAAGATGATTACTATTTCGATGAAGGATGATAGTTTTTCATACTACCATTGTCATAGCTTAGAATTTTTTAATCTATCCAAAATTAATGTTAACTTTCATTGTTATATATATATATATATATATATCTTATAAATATGTATCTTATATCATATTAATAAAATATTTTTTCTTTAATAAGAAAATGTAAATACCAATCTATAGATATGTATGATTCTATCACATTTATTTGTTTAATACTATACAAAGTAATTGAGTAAGTTTGATACATAATTATTAGTTCTTTTGCTAGTAAGTGCTCTCAATTTAAGTCATATTTTTAGATCTATTTTTTTATATATAGTTTTAGAAAATATTTTACAATGAGTCAAGCTACTATCAACCATCATGATGTGGTATTGTGACTATTAGTTTGTTTTTGAGACTTTCTTAGGTAAATGTTATAAATGATTATTTTTTTAATAAATTTGATTTGGTAATGTTAACTCATTTTAAATATTATATATTCTAAAATAAATTTAAAATTTTATTTTATTTTATTAATGCAAATCTTATTTAAAGAAGCAATAGTTCTAGTATTATTTATTTATTTATTCAAGAAGCATTTAAATTTTCTTAATTTCAAATGGTCTATCATATAAAATCAAGACTTCAATAATATATATATATATATATATATATATATATATATATATATATGTAGGGAGTTGTTAAAGTTATACATTCAAACCATGTGATGATTAATTTTAGGATCTAGAAAACAAAGGATGGAGATGAGGAATAAGAAATAAGAGTTGTAAACAAGGAATGGGGGACATGGAACAAGGAATAAAGATAAGAATGGATAGAATCAACCATAAAATAGTAATATGGTATGTGGCTTTAACTTCCTATATATATATATATATACATATTCTTAAATAAAGCCCATTGTATCATGATAATTTGTATATAACATCTTCTACTACATTCCAATTATTTCTTAAAATCTATAGAATGACTTTTATAATATTTTACAATATTTAGTTACATAAAAGAAATTTAATTCATTTAATAAAAAAATTAATTATACAACTATAAAAAATACATATTTCTCTAATCCTTGATCTATTCAAAAAAATTACATATTTTAATATAACTTTGAAGACAAAAAGTCTCACTTTGTGCTAAAAATAGATACGACTTAATTCTTGTCCCCAAGTGCCACATAGTTTATGTTTATGCAAAAATACAATATCATATCTTGGTTATAGACTATATATTTAATACTTTAATTTGAAGATTTTTTAAGAACATTGTTGACCTTTAATACTTTGTAGTGTAATATTTAATCTTGTTAGAAATTAGTATGAAAAGAATGTAAATACATAACCAAATTATAAGTTTTTATAAGAGGATTGGAATAAGTTCAAAATCAATTTTATTATTTGTATGTAGGTTATATTGCCACATGGTTCTTTGTGCATAGAATAGTGAATAGAAGTAGATTTTTGGATTACTTTTGCCCAAGGTTTCTAATAATAATATGATGATGTAATTATGTAGACCTAATCCTAATACTTGAAATTGTTTCAAGTGTTTTTTGCCATGTATCTTGTAATTTGCACTTATCAATAAATTAAATTGCATTGCTACTATGAGTGATTTGATTCAAGATTTAGCTGATTTTGGATCTTTATCAAGTCTTTATCTACTTGTATTAAAATTTAATAGCAATTGAGATACTTTGCATGAATATTTTTTCTGGTATGTCTTAGTTGTTAGATAAAAACACTTATAGCAGAAAATGTTTCTTAGGATAGTATTTTGAGAACTAGCAGTTTATTAAATCTATTTTACTAATTTTTGTACTAAACTTGGATATAATTGATCATAGTTTATATTTAATACTCTCAAGTTACCAATTCAATAATTGCAACTAATACAATCAACTTATATTTTTTTTATATTTTAAAAAACTTAATATATAAGATTGTCAAACTTTAGTATTTTTGATTGATATTGCCAATTGATAGTATCATGAAGTTAGCTATCAAAATGAAGATTTCACATTACAATACTAAGATACTTAAATTTAAAGATTATGTACATTTGTATGTTTTGAAAAAGATTACAAACTTGTTTGTAAAGTTTTTAATACCTTGTTGTATACGTTTCTAAAGGATGTGTTTTATAAAAGTTTCTAAATAAGACTTGCCATCTACATTTTTGTAAAAAATATCTTATAAAGATGTGTTGACCAAATCTTTCTAAGATATTTTTGTTTGAAACATATAAATATATTTTAAAATGAACTCAAAATTAATGTTTTTGACATCATCACCTTTAGTAAAATCTTGTATATAAAATATTCAAATCTTATTGTATGATTCAAAATGTATATATATATATATATATATATATATACTTTTTATTTTGCATGAAAACTACTAAAAGACAATTTTAACAATACTGTAGAGGTTTTTATAAACTTAGTGATGGCATTTGAACTATGCAATGTTCTATCCACCTTTATAATATATTACATTTTATTCAATTTTCCACCCAAATTTACATTCAAGTTTATAAACAATGTTAATACATGAAATACCTCTAAACTTTTTGGGAGTTTGTAACTCAGTTTTTTTATTTTTTTATTTTTTTAAGATGCATAAAATAGTACCAAAAAAGCCACCAACAAAAAAATACATCTGCATCCCCTGAAAAGTGACAAATAAATGAACAAAAGAAACAACAAATGATGCTTCAAAGGAGAATTTCACGACGTTTAAAACCTACACTTAATTCCACATTCTTCAGAAGTGTTTTTTCTTCCGTATTCACCAATATTCAACACCCAGTTCAAACCAACAGTTTGAGGATCCAATCCAAATTCTCGGAACCGAAAAGTAAAACATCACATTGAAACACAATTAAAAGATTAGAATACACATTGTGGCTTCAGATGATGTATAATGCTAGGTGGGTGCATCGAATGAATGAATCCTCGGCGAGATTGTCTCTTCTCCAGGCCGAAGCCTCCAGTATGTACAACTTCGTTTCACTTTCTAACACTCACCGACAGTGCAACTTGCGTTCTGTAAAACTACGAAAAGTGTCTAAAACGTTTTCCTGTAATGGGACTTTTCCCATGTCGGTATCTAATAATGCTGCAGCTAACGCGCAAACGACAACCAGAGGAGTCTCAGAGTCGGCGGAAGCAACAATAATGCTCACCTCGACGACGTCGATGTTGAGCAGGGTTGTTCAGCAACAGGTGGTTTCGTGGTCACCGTGGCTGGCATCGAATGGAATGTAGCAAACCTGCTCCGGCGAAGAGCTCTAATGAAGTGTTAAACACTGAAGGGCATCGTTGTTCAGGTGCTCAAGGAGTTGGGCGTTTCTGCCGACGTGCTGTCGCCGCTCGAACTGGTTTTAAGGTAAAAAAAAACCTTTTGTCTTCGAAGATGAGCTTGTAACACGTGGTGAGAAATTACTATTTAGTGCGGTGTCGCTGTCCGGTGCCTTGCGTTCATGGGTCTCGGCCGGAACGGAGCTGAACCTGATCCTGATCCAGACCCAGACCCTGATCCTGACCCCGATCCCGACCTCATCCTAATGGGGTAATTGTGAATGGGTTGGTTCAACGACCTCTCTCTGATGGGCCTGTGCTCCACTGGTCTGTGCTCTGCTCGTCGGTGCTCCGCTGATCTGTTCTCCGTCGAGCTCTCCCTCTGCAAGATTCCTATCACAATGTTAGTACAGGGTGGTGGAAAGCAATGTAAGTAGAAGAGTTGTGCAATAGAACTTGAGAGCGTGCTCCGAGGCGGCGTGAAGTAATAGGGGAGATATCCAGTCGAGGTGGGGGAGTCTAACGAACATGGCTGGCTCGCAACCATATTGTTTCACTACCACGTTGTCTTATGAAGGTTTACGTCTCCCTATCTAGTCAAGACTTACATTGGCTAGGTCTTGGCAGCCCAAGGCGCTGCACAGCACACTAATCCCGCGCTCTGAGTGAGATCCGTAGTGGATGTCCAAGGATGGTCATGACCAGAATCTCTCCAATACTGTCCCATCTTGGGAGGAGCCTTCTTCCTCGTAGCCTACGCATCCATGAATTCAGTGGATTACTCTCAAAATCCAGCTGTAGGTGATATAGGTCTCAATGACTCACCTACACAACACCGACCTCTCTACCGACTGGTTACCGACACACAAAACTTCATTGAAAAATGATGATGGGGTCAAATGCGTCGAATGCCGGCTATTCGAAGAGAGTATACTACGAGAACCACTGCTCACTCTCCTCCAAATCCCCTTGCCATAGCTACTGAACCGTCACGAGTACTACCGATTATGAGGATGACAGAGTCGGGCATTGGGCGATTCCCTACAATGAAGCTCAAGCAGTTGTGGATGAGGACCTCAGAGATAAGTGAACCATAGAAAGTCTTCTAAGATGTAGTGTACAAGCGGAAGATTAGACTACGTACCGGACTTTCTGGCAGTGGCGATTTGTCACCCTCGTATTGAACCAAAACGTTTCCAAGCTCATCCTTAAGTGCGAGGTATACGACACTGAATGGACCTTGGATGCGTCTTCGAGGGTCGTTCGAAGGAAGGGGGTGTGCACTAATCGCGGCAGGAATTCGCAGAGATACGTGCCACTCAGCAATCAATTTGACATCATCATCTATGATGAACTCACGGCTGCTCTTTGCATTGTACCACCATAGGCCCTTCTTCCATAGGAAAGCACCGTTTAGGGTTGCCTCGATCTTGTTGAACCCGAAATTTTTCGGCGTGGGCCAGATTTTGCATCTCAAGGCGATCTTCTGGTTGTTTCCCACAGTGCATCGTACGAGAATCGTGTTGTCTTTGATGTCATACGAAGATGACCTGCAAATAAACTTCTAAATGGTTAGTCAAGCTGTTATTGGGTTTCCAGATAGAGCTGCGAAACAGATCTCGAACGTAAACAAGAATGCAATGCACACAAGCAGGTGACATGATAGAAGAGATGAGAGAGCTTACCCGTTGCTCATCCGGGCCGATGATGGTGGTGGCATTGCAGATGGCAGTGGTGGCGGTGACGATGGCAGTGACCCTCGTGGTAATGGTGGAAGATGTGAAGTGAAGGAACTCATATTGGAGTCAAGACTTATCAAGGACGTTTGGTCCAACGTCGTCTACAGAAAAATAAAACAAAAGTAGTGTAAGACGCCAACTACGTATAAGGAGCTCAAGGGATACTACAGGAGATAAATTGATCACAAATTTGGAATGTAAGACAGGCATTCCGAGGAGTATAGAACCATTACATCGAGGCTGCTCAATTCGGAGCTGGGGTTTCCCATGAAGCTGACGTTGTGCAACCGCACAGCAACATCTTTCATGGTGAGCCGATCCTCTTGCCGGTCTTGGACGCACGCTTGGGCAATTTTCACCACCTCGAACAGCTGGTCATTAGAGTAATCGTGACAGTCAAGAATGCGCATGTCAACCATTTTGGAAACCTTATACCTCATGACGATGGGGTCTGGCTGGAAGAACTCCCTGCACCAGTTCACCAGGGGGATTCCCTGATGAATGACGCGCCGGCCAGTGATGAGCTCCAGCAAGACTACTCCATAGCTGTACACGTCGTTCTTATCGCATGGCGTGCCATTCATAATGTACACAGGATCGACATAGCCGTGGGTGCCACGCACTCGAGTGGACACTGTCACCGTATGGTCCAAGGGCAGCGGCTTGCTAAGCCCGAAGTCTGCAATCTTCGCGTGCATGTCCTCATCGAACAGAATATTGCCCGACTTGACGTCCCTGTGCACGAGTGACGGACTTGCATGGCTGTGAAGATACTCTAACCCCTGTGCAACCTCAACTGCACACTGCATGCGAGCTTTCCAATCGAAAGCCACCACCCTATTTCCTCGTTCGACATGGAAGTTTTTGTGCAGATGCTGGTCCAAGGTACCTCCCGCCATATATTCATACACTAGAAACAAGTCCTCTCTTTCGATGCAGTAACCCAGTAGCGCTACGAGGTTGCGATGGTGCAGGCGTGAGATTGTGTTGAGCTCCGCCCAGAACTCCTTCTCCATTACCTCCTGGTTGCGATCCTCGAGGTTGTGGAGCAACACATTGCTGCCATTCTGCAACCGTTTCACTGCCAATGGACGCTGAATGAGCTCGTCGGGGAGCGATTTCGCAAGGTAGACCACTCCTTCGCCACCTCGCCCGAGCTCGTTGCTAAAACTCATCGTCATCTCCACAATCTCCTTCAAAGTGTACTCTCTCACCGCGCCGGGAGTCGTTGTTCGCTGCAACTTGGGACTGTTGGTGGTAACAGTCGTTGATGAGGGAGAAGGTGGCGTTTCCGGCTCAACGGGAACTAACTCCTTCGAGGATAAGGACAGCACAGCCGATTCCGCCATTTTTTGGTTAACCTTCCACAACAACCCCGTCGTAACTCCCACAACGAAGATAGCAAGCAACAAGACAAGGCTAGTGAAGCTATCCATGCTGCGACCATGACGCACGAGAGCCCCCTGACTATCTCCTAAATTGTTAACAATGAGATTGTCCGACTTGTGTGTCGACCAGGACGGGGACTTGTTGAAATCGACGCCTGTGTCGCTGCTATACAATCCCAAACCCCCATCCACTTGCGCCATGGCCATCAAGCTCGCAAGCATCCAAGCATTCGTCTCCACCCACTGCCATGTCCGCCAAGTCTCTCCAACCAATACTTTCATCACCGGTGACAATTTCTCAAAATCCTCCGATTCACCTCGCACAAGTAAACTCCTCAGCATCCTCTGCAGAGCCTCCTTCAAGGATTCCAACTCCGCTCAAGCCACTTTGCCGGCTTCCCTCTGCCCTCTTCTTAATTCAGGCTTCAAGACTACAGTTCAACCCGCTGTTCCGAAAAGGTCTCTGGAATTCACCCTTAGAGATAACAAGAATTTTCCACAACATTCGTCCACTGATTCCTTAAGCGTCACACCACACAGCTTCTATACTGATTACGATGCGAGGCGCTCGAGCTTATTATTGCGTCTGTTTTCGGTTCTAATCCAACACCAACAGACTGGTCCAATTAATAAGCCACTCTCAGTTCCTCAACGACTTTTTGACCTCCCACAACTCTGAACGACAGTGATGCTCCTATCGCAATAGATTCCTTTTTTCCTGTGATCTATCCAGACAACCTCCTTATTCAGCGGATATGATCACAGAACAACGAACTGCAATTTATCGCACAACAAGTAGCTCACTTCACCTCACTCAATCAATCACACCCTCCTTGAATACGAAATCCGATAGCAGAGATTGTAGTTCGCCATGATAGTCTTTTAAGCACACTGAGCTGCGGAAAGCGGAGACGCGACTCCCCAGAGTTTCATGAGGCTGGAATGAATCGTCACAAACTCTACCAATACTTTCAATCATAGAGGAGGAGAGAGGGTAGAAATCATCGAAAGCCGGGCAGAACTCCTCCTCGCTAGTGACACACGGATCAAACTTTTAGAGGTCTGCACCATACCGCCAAAATTCTAACCCAACACTGTTCCCACCTAACTCTCCCTCCGATGCCCCTACACCTGCAAACCCAAAAAAGAATGAAACCCACTGGGAAAAGGACCCGAGGATTAAGACAACACAGCCGAACAGCTGCTTGAAGGCGCCCCTCCTCGGCCCCCACCCGCCGTCAATCGAACCAGAGCCAGTCGTCGCGACTGGTGTTTTCACCCCGAGGAGCGGTAAAAGAGCAACAGTGGAAGGATCCGGAAGTCAATGGTTCACGCACCAGCTTTGTCGATGCTGAGGAACTGGATAGCAGAAGAAGAACACGGTCGATAAGGATGTAGGCATGGGACTTTCCATCGCATCACTAGCACAATTAAAATTCTCGCGTAGGGGTAGCCGCCAGCTGCAGCGCGAGTTTACTGCACACTAGTTGACGTAGGTGGGTGGGGTCACAAACTAGCATCGTCGAATGCCGGCAGATTAGGAACCCAGGGTGGGAAATTACACACACACACACACTCACTCACTCACTCACTCACATGGAGAGCAGGGTGAGGATATGGAGCAGCGTTGCGATTTTCCATGATGATCAGGGAAGTGATGAGGAGGGTAGCAGCAACGAGATCTGCTGCATGATGATGCGTCGTATTAGTCTTCGTCGTCGTCATCGTCGTCCAGTCTGGTGCCGTTCTCGATCCGCCCACCAACTTCATAATCTCGCGCCTTGATGGCGCCGAAGCAGATCCCCGCGTGTCTTCTCGCCTCGCCCCCATCTCGCGCCCGCACCTTTGTTGGGGTTTCGGGGCACGGTCTTCGGGGTCGCGGTGAGACCTCCCCGTTGGTTTTGCTAAGACCGTGCTCTTGTGGATTTATGGATTTGTTTGACCACCCGTGCCGACTGTAACCAACTAACCTTTTGTTTTTTGTTTTTTTATTATTTATTATTTATTTTTATTCTTGTTGTTGTTTTGTGATAAGATGCTGATTTTTGATATGTAAGCTATCGCCCCACTTGATGTCAAAAGTTGTATTGAAGTACAAAAATGGAGTTTAAGCATGGCATATGCTTTTCCAAATATGAAATATGAATTTAGAGATTTTAACTGCAAGTTAAAACAAGATTCAAATCTGAGAATAGATTTATTAGAATAAAACATTGAGATTTATGATTAAAAAGAAAATTACAATTATTTATTTATTTATTGTTAGATTGGTTTTTGTTACACTATCATTGTTGTTACAAACATGGTGCAATGAAACTACCAACTACAACATGTGTTAAATAAAGTAAAACCATCAAATTTCTTCCCTTCAATACAATAGACATTCCACATACATAAAAAAAAATAGATATTAAATTTACGCATGTTGAAAATGATTCCTTCAGCACCAAGCAACTGAAACAAGTAAAGTCACAAACTAAAAGTGAGAAGAGTGGAATGTGCGTGCACACGTGTTTATGTGCATGCGTGTACAACCTTGTTTATATTTATATATAGAAATAAATAAGTAAAGAAATGAAGAAAAGGGATTTTCCAATGGTGGTATTCTCTATCTTTCTTTAGCCTCTATCTTTTATCTTTTATCTTTTTTTGTCTTATCTTGTCTTTTTCTTTCCACTCACATGAGGGGCATGAAGCAAAGGGTAATCAATCTTTCCACATGAGCAGACCAAATCTTCCACCTCGAAACCCAACGCGAATCCCCCTCCTAACCTCCTTTTCATCCATCCATAAACACACAACCACGTGGATGAATGCGTAAACAAACGAACTAACGAACGAACTAGCGAACGAATGTGTGATGGGTGTGTATGAACGCGATGAGACATTCATGGATGAAGTCTCAGACTCTCGCACAGACCCCCCCGGGTACCGAAGCCCGCGGGCGCGGTGGCATCATCGGAAACCCTAGAGTAGATCCTCCTTCCTGCCCATCGATCAATTCTACTTCACCCAAAACGAGGATTTCTTCCACACCGCAACAGTGCGCAAGCAAGGATAGATATGCTTCGGAACTGCTCTCGGCAGTGGCATTCATGGGATTAGTGTGGGGGTCACATTCAAGTTCCGAGCTCGAGCGGATTGTGGATGCTCGCGCCCACTACTCAATGCCGCCAGCGGGAGAGAGAGAGAAGTGCCACAACGACGCCGTGCAGTGGAGAATGATGGTGGCTCTTGGGTGGGGATATCAGTTTTCTAGTTAGGTGGCCGGTCTCATCAATCCAATCAGTTGAGACCAAATACTTGAGTGAGCAATTCTGTCTTTCTGGCATCTCAATTACACAGGTGGGACGTCTGCTATTCCACCTGACTGGGTGGAATTGGTTGGTGCAGCATTCGCATTTCGTTTTGCGATTTTTTCTTGCTCTTGTGCCAGCACCTGTCCCACCAACTGATCATAATTTACCCACTAGGTCAATAATACAAGAAAAAAAGAAAGTAAGAGAGAAAGAGAAAGAAAGAACTCCGAACTGTAATGGATTGCGTCTTTACCGGTGCTTCTAGTAAATTGCCCTGACACAGAAGTACAAGTACCTTTGATGGCTGGAGTGCCTCGTTTTTCGTACTGGGCTGGGCGAGTGTGTCAAAAAGTGGGAGAATTATGATTCATTTGTGCACATTTCTTTAGTCGGAAGCTGTTGGGTTTGAAGAAGCAGAAGGAATAGTCTGAGTGAACGAATGGACTTATGTACCGATTATACTGTAGCGGAAATATGCGACACATGGTGGAAGATCTGGCACACAGAGTCACGCAAATGGATGGCGGGTGTTACGGCCAACAATTACGAACCGAAGCTTGTGGAAGAGTCAGGAAGTAAATTTGTGGGGTTCATGCTGGTTGCAAGCTGTTGAGTTACGTGGGAATTGCTTGGGACGTGCAATGGGGTCATGTGATCAATGCCAACTTCCTTTTTTACTGGAACAGTGTAGTCTCCAAACATGAAATTATGCCGGCTCCTGAATCCGAGCACAGTGCTGAGTAGCTTCTAATTTTGGATGATCATGTTGAGACGTGAAGAGGGAATTCACCGTAGATGAGTACAAACGGAACCCTAAACTAGTACAACTCACCTGGTGGTACCGATTCTTACAGTTGTTGATTGTGTAAGGTCGATAATGTGGTTCCCAGCATGCTACAGTACTCGCAGTCTTGACCCCATCAAATTGACATGGTCCATGCCAGCTCAGTACTGGGGTTGCAGCTACACTATGGTGGCAGCCTGAAAGGGCATCGCACTAGGATGAATTGAGAAAGGGGGGGGGGCATCTTGTGAAAAGAAATCTAGGTGACTGTGTTGAGAAGAATCTTCCGGATGCCATTAGATAAACTTGCAGACCAAGTAATAAATGCAGTTCGAACTGGGCCCAGAAACTTGTCACCTCCACGACCCATTTCCAAAGATGAGAACGATGAGATGAGAACGATGAGATGATGGACCTCAGAACTGGCGGCCAAAACTATTGTCTGCAACGGGGGAACCCTTCGTTGCGATTGCAAGGAGGAACGTCACACAAGTCGCCACTTTCATTCTCTACGCTCCAGGCCAGGATGTTGGCTGGGTTTCAAATGTTTAGTCGTCAACGTGTTGTTTTGAGGGGCTCCAGTTTACGGCTGCGAAGTTTGATGAGAAGCACCTCTCTAGTTTAGGAACCCACTTTCAAAGAGCAAGCCAATAACACTGATCCGTCGATGTACGAAATCGCGAGCATAACCAGGAAACGTCCCTCCAAACCTTTGTCCAGCGGCAGTTAGGTAAGATGCGTGGCTGAATCTTTCATTCTGGTTTCTGATCACGTGGCATGTCAGCTATTGCCTGCAATGTGATTTGGACGCTACCAGCAGCAAATCCCAGTGCAGTTTCTATTCCAAGAGAGTGACGGGACCAGAGGCATTCAGCGGTACTTTTGAGTCCTTTGGACTGTCGTTGTTCAGCATCCAGTTTTCGAGGCCGTTTTCATAATTTTGCAGACGTGCGTTCCACGACATTCTTCCGAAACTTCGCTGCTTATCAATGCTTGTATCGGTGGAATGGACTGCTGAGCATGGCTGCTCTTGATGATTTCCTAACCCTCCAATAGAATCATCAAAACAAATTTCAAGTTCGAAATCCTCAAAAGGCTAAGAAAGGGAGTTTCCACGTTCACTCACTGCCGAAAAAATTAGTCGGTCTCTCCCACGAATTTCCGAATCTGATTTATGGAAAGATAAACTTTACAGAGTGGAATGCACCAATCGCATTCCCTCCCCACTCATCATCGTTAACAAACCTATCATTTCTTCCGCACTCAAATTACTCGCTTGTCACGACTTTCATTCTGCACCATACGAGGCAATCTGACGTGGGGGAGGGAGAGTAAGAAAGTCTGGGCAACCGATGAAACCCCTCGTGGAATTTCTCGTCGACATAAAGCTTGTGCAGCAAGACAACCGTAATTAGACCTTTTTGTGTAGTCAAGCATCCGCCAAACGGCAGCATGAAGCTTTCATCAGGCCAAGGGCATGAAGCCCCACAATTCAGCACAGTGAGTGATGAGGTCGAGATCCCCTCCTTGCGAAGTTGACCACGCCATGGCTTCGGGCACAATCTCGTCGAAAGCTCAAACCAGTTCATCGTCCGCACAGATCAAGTCAAACTCCCTCCCCAACCCGCAATTCCTCACCCTAACAGGGAACATATTCACAGTTGGAAAGCAGCTCAATTATACACACATCCACACACACAAACTCATATATCTCTCTCTATACATATTAATACATCGTATTCTTAGGATGCTCGCATTCTTCGAGAAATTAGTGGAGGTCCACACTGGGGTGAACATCCCTACACAAGCTTGGCGTTCTTTCTATTCTAGAGCTCTAGTTCCGTGTGGACTTTCCCCATGTCTGGCGAGGTTGCCGCCACGATGCTCCATCGAAGCTGCGATTAAACCGACAAAAAGCCATAGGATTAAACTAGCACCAGGCACTAGGATTAGGATGCACTAATAATAGAAATAAGAATATATATCAAGGTGTATGTATTCTTTGCAACAAGAGTAGCAAATGAGAGCTAGACATGGTAAGAGTTGAAGGGGAATGAGGAGGAGGGATGAATTGTGGGTTTGTTTAGTGTGTGGGAATGTGGGTGTAGGCCCCACAAATTGAGTGCCTTCTTCATGTCCCATGTGTGTTGGGTGACGTCAAGCTAGTCTTTTTAGGGTTTTGGATGTTGTGCAATGTGACACTTCTCACGTTTGAGAGACGACGGCTCAGTTTTACTTTTGCTTCATTTAACATAGGAATGTGATTACACATTTTGGTCTAACTAAAGCCTTGTACAATTCAATAAACACATAACATGTCTTTTATATATATGTAAATATGTATTTGCACACATTCATAAATGCATACATGTTAAACATAAAGTTCATAAGAAATCATGTAAAAAATAGTTTTTAATTATTATTTGAATTATAATTAACTTTAAAATTTTATTTTTTTAAAAAAATTACAATATATATATATATATATATATATTTATTTATGGTGTATATAATATGTCTTTTATATATATGTAAATATATATAAAAGACATGTTATGTATTTCCCTATTTAATTAAAATACTAAGTGTTTTATTTAAATAATACAAAAACTATATCTAAATTTATATTTTGGTTTCCAACTTCATTTTAATTTAATTTATTCGAATAAAATAATATCTATTAAATATTATAGTGATTGGATTTCTAATAAGCTCTGACATTATGTACTTTAAGTCTTTGATTTTAGTAGAAAAATTATGTAGGTGATTGAAATATGAAATATGAATAGTCAACTTAAATAATTGATTCAAATTACCTTTTATTTGATAAAATCGTTACAAAATGATGGATTGTGGGTTTGTTTATGTGATGTTATAAGAAATGACTATTACTAATAAATTTTTGAGCCAAATAGTTAAGAACTTGTGATGTTAGATGTGGAACTGATGATTTTTAATTTGAAATGTTCAACTTCTAACACTTGAATAGGGAATTCTTTTGTGATGTTGTTTATTATGCAATTATCTTGTTATGTACCAGCTTTGCTTGAAATGAGCGAATGGATAAATATGTAGGCAAGGATTAAGGATCTATACGTTTTTATTTATTTTATGTTATTTTTGTAATCCACAACTTCTATACAAAGAATAGTTTTGAATGTAAGATTTCTCTCTTTAAAAAAAATGCAATGTGTTGAATGTACTAACGTACAGAAAATGTCAATTTATTTTATTTTATTTTTTAGTTATGTTTCAACTATTTCAAACTGTCTATCATCTACTACATATTTTTTGCCATCTTTAATATATATATATATATATATATACATAGTAAAGTAGTAAATTAATGGAATTAATTTTAAAAAATACACCAGCATTAGTATCTTGTCTTCTTATTTATCAACACTTGAACTGTAAGTGCACATACATGTTCCAAATATGATAGTGTAATATTAGCTTTCTGCTATTGTTGGTTAGCATGGCCTGGATCCCGATTCCTTATAATGAGCAGATGTAGATTCTAAGTGGAAAAGTTTTTAATCTTAAACAAGTAGCCATATTCAGTCATGCTTAATCAGAACATGACAATAATTTAAAAAATTATTTGACCTTAGCAAGGGTCTTTAATAAGATTAAAGTTTTAAACCACAAAGTTAATCTATAGTGTGTTATAGAATTCTTTATCCGATTCATATGTAGAGAGTTATTACTAAGACAAAATTAAAATAAAATAAAGAACATAGATTGAATTACAATGTAATTGAAATAATTTTTTTAAATGATTAATAAAACAAATTTATATGAAAAAAAATTCAACTTTATTACCAATTGAACAAACCAAATAAAAACAAAGCCTTACAACAACCAAGTGCGGTCTAAAATTGATTGATTAATTTAATTATAAAGCATTCATCATCACTCTTTAATTTTTATTCATTTATTAAAATAAATTGGACATCGAGACTTTTCACACATTACAGGCATATTGTTTTATTTAATTTATTATGATACAAATATTATCTACTTTCTTTCTAAAAAAATTATTATGCCTGTTCATATGTATGCATGTACACAGGTCTTAAGTAAAATATTTTAGCACAATCTTGTATAGTTTTAGTTCATTTATTTTTAGATATCCTGTGGTTATACATATATACATATTGAAGTAGTGTAACAAAAAATCAGTACATTTTAAATTGATTTTTGAAAATGTATTGACAAACCACATCTGAAAGGTATTCATTTTGAAGAAAGTTAATTTAAAAAATAATTATAATAGTGTGCACAACAACTCAATTTTGTGGTCAAATAATTTTCTATTATTGAAAAAGTAGCACAGCTATACTACATGAAATCAAAATATGAAGTACAAAAATATATATGAAATGAAATGCTATTAAAATAATCATATTGTAAAATGAATTGCATTAAACACATTCTACCTCATATTATTCTAATTCATACTCTGGTCTATTTGTGGATTTTAAATGTACATTTTGTAACTACCCTTCACGCTAAGATTAAGGACATTGATGATTTTGAAATCCAGATTGATTGAATTTGGATTCACAAAACAAGAATATCTGATCTCATTCTGGCATAGTGCATCATTCCTCGTTCTTAATTCAACCCTAACTTTTAGACTTCTGAGTTCCACTAAACAATAATTTCTTGTGACTCAAGGCTCTAGCCCACTTGCCTTCAAGACTTGTTGCATTTCATACATTAAAAATATGACTTGTTTATTTTTCCCCACTTATCTTACAGTTTTAAGCCATTTGACCCGACTCTTAAAGTTTGTTCACTCTTTACACTAACAGTTCATGTCTACAGTTACTGAAGAAAAAGTAAAACAGCCACACAAAAGCATTTCCGTTTCTGCTAGTAAGTGTAAAATTTTATCCCAAAGGTTTCATAATTTCCATGTTATAGAATATAAAATCCTCGTGTGCTCCTCAGTTTCACAATAGGCTAACAATACAACCTACCCACAATTCTTGATAACTTTAGGAGCTCACATTACAATCATCTAGATATGTATTTATCTGACAAACGAATAATATATATATATATATATATATATATCCACACCTGACATCTGGGTGGGTCAAGAACTAGGTTCCCATTGTGTAAGACCCATCAAATGTTACCACCACTATTTTCGCACAACTTTTTCACAACTGCAGACACTGTTTTGTGGCCAAAACCACCACCACCTCTCAGTATCTCACTCTTCTAGTAAAGTTATAAGATGAGAAAGGGATGAATAATTAATGGTTAATGGATGCATGGTAATGTGGGTATTTCTCCCTTGGGACGTTAAAGGACATGCAACCACGCAGCTGACCAGAGTGTGTGTGGACCCCGCGTGGATACCATGCCACACTTACATCTTGCGGACCTTTAGGACCATAAAAAAACGTGACATGCGCTGTGTATGGATTTGAGGTTGTACTTCTGATAACTTCCGGGTTGAGAACTCTGAGTCACTCAACATCCCTCTCTTTTGCCACTTTCTCCTTTTGGATCTTTTGTAAGTTGCATTAAATAATCCATGAAAACCAAATTGTGCACGTCATATGTTGGGAGGCCAGGTTTTCAGCATTTGAAGGTCGGTCCAGGTCGGCATCCGGTTCAACTGTTGGCCTCATAACCCACTTCAGGATAGGTTGGAAGAAAATTTAAAATGGATTAGGACCATGTCAGCACCACCAGTGCATCAAAATGGAGGAGTTCTATTGGAATTGAACTCAAACAGAACTGAGGCTCTCTGATGCGTAACTGGAGACACTGACAAACTACCCCAAGCTGCTTGATTAAATGAAGGTGAAAAGAACTCTCAATTTGAAACTGAATTCCATTGTAGGCAACGCTATTGGTGTCGTGATCAAAACATGTTTGGATATCAAAGTCGATTCAGGTTTTCTGTACGTTGGAACGTGTGGTTGGTACATTCCACCATAAAAGTGCCAGTGTTGGTGGTTGAATGTTCACCTCAACCTGCTAGTCTAATCATAGTGTGGATAAATGTGCTGTTACAATTCCAGTGACTAAGGCGCAGGAGATCTAACTTGCAAATTGAACTGCTGAAGATTGCAACTGAAACGAATTTTGAACAACGAAGTCATTGAACTCTTGAAGGTGGTTAAGTAGAGAAGCTGATATGAAATTAACCTCTGCGGAACTGAGCCGGCTGCAAAGCATCAGGGCCGATGAGGCCCTCCAGTAGTGAAAATCTAACATCGTATCATGGGCTATGGTTGATCATTTAAAGATATCCATTGCAAAATCAGATGATGCAATCTGGATATTATTACCAGTCATTGTAAAGCATGTACACCATAACACCCACGCAAATGAAAACCAACAGGATCTGCAAAATGCCAATATAATTCTCATTAGTGGACAATTCAAGCCACAGCTTCTGATACTGACGAGCACAATGACTGTTTTGAGCTAACATTGTGTCATGAGCTATGCCCATTGATATTGGCGATAAATCAACGAATTCATCCATGAAACCATAATCTCGAAACCAGTACAGAAACCGCGCAACAAAGTCACTACGGGAAAGGCATACCAAGAAGAAGTCCAGTCCAGTTTCTTGGTCTATTGAGAAAACTCGCCTGTGATCATAATTAAAGACGCCATATTCCAACAACTCATCAGCTTTCACACATGCCGGGGTGTAGACATGTCATCTTTTGTAAACCATATCAGAAAGTGCTAACGAGGAGGAAAAAATTAAAAGAAAAGAAAAGAAAAGAAAAAGGAAATTATTGAGTAAAAGCACAGACAACATCCTCATGAGTACAAGCCAAATATTTCAATCCAAATGATACTTGGAACGGCGAAAATCATTTCATGAGAATAAATCGGAAGAGGAACATACGGCTCAAGCAAGTGAGATTCACAGTACTCCTGAATGTCCTCAATATGTTTACGTGTCACTGATGCTGAATCGTCATTATCATCAATCTGCGGTACACAACAATTTCACTAACCCTCAATTCCTAGGCTGATTGCATAAAGGAAATATTGGTATCATTAATTTCTCGATACACCAAATTAATATTGTTGGCAACCTTCCAGGAATTTTAGAACACGGATGTGAGATGAGAAAATACACTCCAAAACATGAGGAAACCGCAAAAATGTAACACCAGGAATAAAAATAAAGATATTTTTATAGAGAAAAACATTTCAAGTACATAAAAATAAAATCTAAGTGACGACGAAAAGAAAGTGGAAGAATAAAGAAGTAAGAAAAAAGAAGAGAAAGAACATTTTAATGTGCAACCTATACGTTGTGTCTGTTTCACAGTGATCAATGTCCTAAAGAAAAGAACCACGATCCTAGCAGTAAGATTAAAGTACATCAACTTCATGCATATAGCAAGATTAGATTTTTTGTAAACCTTGGCAGCGATTTTCTTAGAGAAATCAAAGAAAGTCCCATACACATCGCCCATTGTCCTAGTCTGCATAATTTTGGCCGTTATTCCTGTCACGGAAAAAATTAAGCTTCGGTAAGTTCAGTAAAGTTGCCAAAGTTTCTAACTTGTATTCCGCCTTTCGAACAATCAATCACGAGTGTTGTATCTTGAGCGCAAATAAAATAAAATAAATGTTAAGATCTCCACCTCGTCTAATCTTCACAACTCCTCTGAAGACATTAATGTTGTTGTAGCACTCGGCAAGTGTCGCAATCGCCATAATCTGTACAAGTTCAGAGCAAGGTCAAGAATCAAGATTAACGAGTACCACATGACCACCATATCGGCCTCTCAAGTGCCCGTTTCCAGCTACACTGGCAACTTAACTTCATTTTATATCCTAGACATCACTATACTTTCCCAGCAAATTCAGAGGCATCAGCATACTCGAATCATCTACGTTCCGCATAATCATTTCATGCCGTGAAGTACTTATGTCATACCTGAGGAATGGCACAGAACCGTAAATTGTCTTCTTGGTTGATATCTTCCATGTATTTGAGACAGTCTGTTGCATGTGCTAGTGCATTCGTAATCAATGCATTCAGACACCTCAGGGCATTTTGTGAGTTGTCCTCATGCTTGAAATCCTGTAAGATGCATTACTTTGCATAAGCATGAAAGGCGGTCATCAAAGACGAAAACAAAGTAATACTAGTGCTTTACATTCAAATAAGGTGTGTCACTTGTATGTAGGTTGGATCGAGTCAAATATTTGCATATGTTTTCTCACCTCAAGCTTAGTTGCGTACTTGCCCCAGACCTCATGTGGCCAGAACATTCGAGGTGCTGGAATTTCATTGATATCCTCTAGATAGTCCCTTATGATGTTTGTTTTCTGGAACCAAACAACATCCAAATTAAAGACGATCAGAAGGGACAATACGTAGAACCTAAAGAAACACTATGTCAGTTCACGTGGGATGGACTGCAAAGCAAAACACGAGAGCAAATTTCAAGCACATATTACAGCAAATTCAGTAGAAAATACTAAAATAAATAAATGAATAAATAAATAAAAACAATTAAGCCAATGCACTTGACATGCAATAATCATGCATACACTTGTAAGCACCTGAAGGAAGAGGCCCATGGAGTTTGAGAGATCGTCTGGTTTAAAAGCCTCAAGACCAGAGGCATGAAACAAGCGGGTCAAACCTAAGCCCACAATGCCTGCAACATAGTGACAGTATTCGTCGTAGTCGTCTACTGTGCTCACCTGTGTATGATCATAAGGCCTAAATTAGCCTTGGAGAACGCGCTGCAGTTTGATTTTTAGAAGTATGGGCGTAAGGAGACAAGATGTTTTTTAAAATGGCAAGCTCATTGTTTTGACAGGGCCCAAAGCCATCAAGACAGCAATTCTAACATTACAATATCACATTATACATAATATGTTTTTGATGTTTTCATCAAGGAACGAATGGAAATATAGAACAGCACACTTCACAAGTACTAATTTAACTACATACCTCAGATTCAATAAATTTAGCCATCCCATTACCCATACGCTCCGTCATTTCAGCAATTACTTTTTGATAACTATTTCATTACAAACCAGATACACAACATTAGTCTTCAACACATTAAAACATGGTCAGGGCATTGACTCATTGTTATCTTAAATTGTAAGGCGATGCGTTCCAGATCGGACTCTGGTATCAACAATCCATCGGCTGAAACAGCTTCAATTACAAAACAAGAAGTTGTATTCGATCGTGAACACTTCAACCTGCAGAATTTCATCATTAGATATTACGACTAAAAAGCGTTTGCTCAAGTTTGCAAACGTCTGATGATTAATTAAGCTCGACTGCACATACGAATGGAGCTTTTTGTCGGATTGAACATTGACTGCTCCTGGAAGAGAAAAGTCAGCGAAGATGATTACCCCTCCTCAAGATTCAAGAATGCATTAGAAACAAGTTCGAATTTGTTCATAAGCTCCTTGTAGTCCTTCTCACCACCTGATACCCTCAAATTGATTAGCTCAGAGCTCATACGACAACAAACAAGCCATGGTTGTATTTGACATGATATAGGACTAGATAGTACTCTAATTAAGAAGATAATTTTATTTTCAAAAAAGTTAGTACAAAATCAAACCAGACCAAGGTTTACATTCTTAATTTCACTCACGACACAAACTGGGTAGATTTTGAAATTTCAAGTTTTCAACGTGAGCACTTGGCATGCGAAAAAGATCTCTTTAAAGATGTAAAAACGAACACTTACAAGAAAATTTCCAAGAAGGATCGTATATATGTTTGTGAAAAGCCTTAAGGATGGGGACCTTGATGTCTATTGGTATGGCCATGTCATCCTCTGTAAATGTAGCACACGTTTCACACAGGTTTAGAATACTTAAAGCACTACAAACTAGCCAAGTCACATGTGATTGATTGCAAACACATGTTGAGATCTTGATGAGAGCAGTGCACTTTCTGAGTCAATAAAAGCTTAAGTTCACAATGTATTCTTGTTCGAAGATATTCTTCCAGGATAAACATGCAAGGTCAGCATCCTGCAGCATAAAATTTTGCACAGAACAATCGCCATATTCTAAAGGAATACTAAACAATCTTTCAGTTCAGTAGATTTAGAGGCATAAATTGACAGGTTCAGGAAGCTCTCACCGACTGTATCAAGACCTCGCAACACCAAGTAGAAAACACAAACCTACAGCACCACATAACAAATAAGACGGAGAATCTTGAATTTATCGCAACATCTTCGGTGAGCTTGAGGGCAACGCGTGAATAAGGAGACATCATCAAAGTGACGATGATTTCAACATAGTACATTTTTAGCATAACACAATGTAAGGTATCTGATTCAAGAGCTGGGCCCTATGAGAGCAACACCCTCAACTATAATCTCCATACTCTGTTTCAAAAAAATGCACTCGGTCTTAAACGGAAGAGGATTTATCTAATATCAAGTGTTGCGTCCTGACTCCGAAGCATGTCTTCAAAAAGGAGCAAGACGACTCTCATAATAAGAAACCATAGTAGAAAAAGAGAATATGGGTCTGTTCATCTACCGATCTGTATCTCATCATGGATGTTCACTTCTCTACTTTTACAAACCTCAATACAAAAGCTCTTACTTATCATTTTGCATACTGCCGTACTCCCTAATTGTGACATTCCAGGCAAAGAATGCAACCTCTGATTCCATCAAAACAACAATGCGATAAAATCAAAAGAACCCCACCAAATCTAGATTCCGCATTGCATCCCCTTCATTCATATATATATATATATATATATATATATATATATATAAATATTTCACACACACACAAATAAAAGAAAAGAAAAACCTCCAAACCCCCCGTCCCCTGAAAACTGACACATCCAGGCACCCTACCGCATCACGAAGCTCAGGGCTCAGCTGCTGGATAACAATAGAGAAGCTGCGCGACACGCGCGTGAGCATCCGGTAACAGAATGCGAGGTTGGGGTCCTTCGGAATCGCCTTCTGAGCTCGATGCGCAGCGATCTTGAGCTTGATAAGAGGCGGAATCTCGTCCGGGTGCTTGACGAGGGTACCTATGATCCCCATTGCTACCAAACTCGCTCCGGGAAAAACAAATGCTACTTTTCCTACCCTCCTCCTCCTTCTCGCTCACAATCTCTCTCTCGCTCTCTCTCTCTCGATTGCTCGACAGCCTTCACTGTATACAACACAATAGAAAATGGCATTCAGGAAATTCCCTGGTCTCACAGTACGCCCTCCGCCTCAGAAATTCGGACCAAAGGTTGCAAAACTTTAGAAAAAAGCAGCGATCCCGTGATGTGGCGAAGGCAGGAACAGGGAATGGCAGTGGAACCAAGGATGCGTGAGGTCGCGGAGTGCGAGAGTTCCTTCGCACCCCAAAGCGCGATCTGAAAAGCAGCCGAAGAAGAATGAGGACTCGTAGGAAGAAGACCGGGTGGCCCCCACGCCAGGTCGCGCCTTCGGATGGGCAACTTTTCACCGTCGGCAACGCCGTCGCCGTCGCCGTCGCCGTCGCGGTGGAGTGAGGGCGACGCTGTGGAACCCACGCCATCGACACATCCTGCACCAACAAGCCTGTGGGTGTGGGTTTTAGCTCTGCCTCATATTGTCTTGTAATTAGGGTTTGTTGACAAGGTGAGTGGGGGGAGCGACAATTCGTAAGGGGATTTTGAAACCTTGAGAGAAATTCTTGTGATAATTTGAGGTTTTTTGTGACTGAAACTTTGGTTTTATTCTATGGCATTGTGTAGGACTACACAATTAATTCTAAATTTATATTTAAGATTTATAATTTATGTAATTTTTATTGATATTTTTTGTATTATTATGTAATTTTTATTTTTTTAATGTACATTGATTATTATCTTGAATTAGTAGAATGAGCTAAAGAGGTCACATGATTTATTTATTTTTTGGATCTTAATACCAAAATTATGAGTTTTTCCATAAAAAAAATCAAACCTCAACCTCTTCTAATTAAGATATTTCCATTCTAAAGCATCAATCATAATATATCTAATATTTGTTTAGAAGAATTCCAATATCAGTTGGATGGGTCTAAATGCACTAAACCAACTTCAGAAATCACTTCTTAACAATAGACAAATTCAAAAAAATTCTCTTATAGGTTTGCTATAAGTCTAATAAAATATTCTAAAATATAAACTCTTTTTATTTCACAAAAACCAAAGTCATTCTAAAACAACCTTAACTTTGCAAAGCTCTTACAAAGTCATTATAAATTCAAACCACCTAAAATTAATGGTCAAAAAAACTTTTTTTACTTTGCTCTCAAATCCTATTTTTGAATTAACAAAAAAAAAAAACCTTAGAATTGTTATAAGTGGATAGTTTTGTGCCTCAAGATTTGGTTTCAACCTTGGTTCACAACTACTCCTCTTTGGATATCAATTTCTAGGTCTTAGAGGTGATTTTTGCTACAAACTACTCTCAATTTCTTTCTAAAGATGTTTGATTTTTTTTTCTTCCTAATCTATTTTATTTTGCCTTGTTTATAATCCTATAATTTAAGTGAAAGTCCTTTTATATATATGAAAAGAAACATAAATATTAAGTGTGTTTACTACCTTTTCATCTTTTATTTATGTCTTTTTAAATTATAATTTATATTTTTTTATTTTACCTTATAATATATTATAACAAAAAAATATCAACTTGTTAGTAGATACAATAATAGAAATAATTTTAGATAATGAGCCATAAGAATACTATGATTTTTATTATTATTATTTATTTATTTATTTTTACCTTCAATAAAACTAACAAATATTATCGCAAAACTTTTATAGCCAACAAATCTTGCTTTGTGGAGAAAAATAGTAAATATACATAATTCTAATATAATCCTAAGCTCTTTGGCCTTAAAGACATATATAAGGCTTCTAATTAAATTACTATTGCTAATTGTTATATGTCCAAGTTCTCTCTTTGCTTTATATATTCTACTTCTAATCATGTAGTTATATTTTGAAGTTAAAACTTTACTTTCCTATCAAGAACATGAAGTTTAAAGAAAAAAATCCTCAATACACTCTTGTGTCATTTAAAAGAATTAAAAAGTCACTCAAAGATGATATATTATTAAACTAGAATGGCTATTTCTAAGGACAAGAAAACTAGAAAGTCTTGAAATAAGATTAAAGACTAGAAAGACATTGAAAAGAGTAAAGAAGGCTTTATTCTTATGTCCATATATACTCTTAACTAGGAGCTATGTTGAAATATCCTATAAGACCTCCAAAATGTGTTGATTTTTATAAGACATGTATCTTAACTTGGAAGACAAGTTTTCTATATGTATGCCTTATAGTTAACTTGTTTCGTAAGCTATCAACATGTAGTTAACTTGTTGACTAAGTTTTTAACCTACTAATCAACTACAAACATATATGAAGTCAAAGCAAGCTTCTAGAAAGTTTCTCTAAAAAATATTATGAAATAAATGTACTTTTACTTATTTCTATTTAATTATATATATACATATTAAGATAAATATGTATGTCTATGATATCATCTCCTCTTCTAAAGATAAGTTCCATGAGGAGTAGTCATCATATGTTGAAAAAATCCAAAATGCAACAAATTGTGTTAGCCACATACTCTGATCTTTGTCTCTTTGAAGATGGTTGATAGGTTCTTTCAGCCATTGATAGTGTCTTATACCAAGGTAGGAAGACTACCTTGTTATTTGATTATTATTAAGGCCTTCATAACTTTCTTTAAATAAAATATTTAGAACACCATCAGAAGTTGTTCCTACTTCTAATAAAATCACCAAATATCTAGAGTTTTTTCTAAGCTTATGATATCAAATACTATATATCTTGCCATCTATTTGAAGAAGGATATGTTGTTCTTAAGGATCTTCATCTTGATTACGTCATCTTGAAGGTTGTGACAATTGCAATGACTTCTTTAATAAGTAAATAAGTGAAAGCTTTTGGATTAAATCTGTTGATTATTGATTCTCCATCTCCTTAATATCACAAATGCACAAAAGTATCAAACAATAATAGAAGATAAATATTATCTTTTTTAGATCTTATTACTTTTATAAAAAAGATTTGATATTCTTCATTTTGATTTTGATGGATATTATTAATGAAAATCGTCAACTTTTTTAGTTGTATTTGTAAGATTCTTTGGTGGCTCTCATGTGCATTCACTAATATCATATCTACACCAATAAACAAGATATTTTAACTTATTTCAGCACCACCTAGAATTTAAGATTTCTTCTACCTCAAATTTTTGATTATTATCTACTTCTATAGAAAGAAGTGATATTTGTCTTCTTTCCAAGATATTCAATGTCTTATATAGCTCAAAAAAAGACACATGGTATACGAGATAGATCTTCATAGACTCTAGTAGATATTATCCATAAGCAATAGAATTTACTTATTCACAAATAGAAAAAGATCCAAGCATATGATAGTCCAACTTATCACAAGGAGATGCATTCAACAAAAGACCATGGTTTGTTGAATGAGATACATCTCCTTCTTTTGGTGTAAGTTAAGAACGTTTAGAAAGGATGTTTGACAAACCTTGTTATTTTTTGAGTTGATAAATAATCTTCAAATCAAATCTTCATAAAGACATGCTCCAATAGGTTTGACAATGATTCAAAATAGGTGTTGATATGAAGTACTTGAGATTCTTGTGATTTGTATATATAGTGACTGAACTCCTAGTATTTTTTAGATAGTGACACTATTCTTAAAATAAATCTATAAATGTAAAGAACTCTTTGTTATGGATCTCATAATTAATTTTGGCTATTAAAATTTTTCTAAAATAGAAAGCTACTAAATGGATTTTTTCATCTTTTCTCATTTTTTATATTATTGCATCTAAAAAAATTTTTGATGCATCTGTTTTTATGAAAAATGCTTAAAAAAAGTCAACACAATATAAAATTGCTATAGAAATAAAGTCATTTTTAAAAGCATCAAACAATACTTTGGCTTCTTTATTTCACTCAATTTTGTCTTTATAAATCAAATGTATAAGTGAAGCTATAATTTGAAAAAAAAATTTGATGAAGATTTGATAGTAATTGACAAAGCCCAAAAATCATTACACATCTTTTATTGTTCTTGAAATCTTTCAATTGATGATAAATTGAATCTTCTTTGGATCCATCATTAGCCTTTTTTTAGAAATGATATATCATAAGAAGTCAATTTGCATAGTATAGAATACACACTTTTCTAACTTGACATATAATCTTACATTTCTTAGTTTTTATAAAATACAACAAATATAAACTTCATGTTCTTCTATATTCTTAGAATATATTATGATATTATCCAAATAATAGAAGAGCATGAAGTTTATAAAAGTATTTCTAAGAATTTTACAAGAGATATTTTTTGTTTAAGAAATTTACAAAAGATATCATTCATTAGATATTGAAAAGCAGTTGGTGCATTCGAGAATCAAAAAGGCATGACATTACATTCAAAATGTCCATACTTGATTTGAAATGTAATTTTTGATTCATCTCTTATTTTAATGCATACTAGATTATATGTTCTTTGTAGATCTATTTTTATATAGATCTTTTGTTGATTGAATTGATAAAAAAGTCTTAAAATCAAATGTAGATGATACCTATTTTTAATAGTGTTCTTGTTGAGTTCTCAATAATCCATACACATCTGCAAAGATCCATCTTTTTTTTTCAGAAATAAGATAGAAGCTCCAGTTTAAGATTTAGAATGGCATATGAAGTTTTTAGTCAAATTCTCATCAGTGTACTTCTTAATTGTAATCAATTCATTTTGTGATAGGCTATAAATTAATCCAAATGGTGGTTGAGCTATTTCTCAAAGATTGATGGAACAATCATAAGAACAATGCTTTAAAGAATATTTGTATTATTTTTTTTCAAAAATATCATGAAAATCTTAATATTAGCTAAAAATATCACTTGACATCTTTCTACTATCAAAAATAGGCATGGCATATATAGGAAAAGATGATCCTTCTTTTGCAACATGCATAAAAGCTCTCGCACCTATAAGTATGGATTTGGATGTACTAGACTTATGTATTTCTACTTCACTTACATGATTTTTAATTAAATTACTAAAAAAATTAAAGTTACAAGAAATTCAATCTATTTGAGGATTATATTTTTTTTCACCACAATAATCCTAAAATAATTAGATTAGAAAGAAATCTTATCACATTAAATATTATTATACTATTGTGATCTTTAATTGCTACATCTAAAAGAATAGTCTTATGGATAACATCTCTAGAAGACAACAAATGACCATCTATGATCTTTACATATATAAATTTAATTTTCTTAACCAAAATTATTTCTTATCTTTTGAAAAATTCTTCATCTATAAAATAGGCTAAGGCTCTA